GGGGGGGGGGGGGGGGGGGGGGGGGGGGGGGGGGGGGGGGGGGGGCAGCCAAGTAATCGAATAGATAAAATCTATAGATTGTTTTATAGGAGGCACAAATATGTGACTACCCGTGTGCGACGCAGCTCTCGGTTGAATCAGTCTCTATTGTGGCCTGGAACCCAGAGGATAGAGCCGGAATTAAGGTGGGATCTAGAGAAGCATACTCTATGGAGTGTGTCGAGCTGCGGGTATGTACGCTGTATATGGATATCCATAGATGTCGTATGTCGTGCACTTGGTGGGGTGGTGCAGAGATGCCTATGGATGCTGCTATGCAGTTGCGCAGTCAGATAAGATAAGATGGCTATTCTGCAAGAAGGGTCCTCACAACAACTATTCCGCTTGAATCTGTGTGATTAATCTATTGGATGCCAGGTTTAATGAAGCCAAGACGTCGAGAAAGATTGGTTTCCCCCCCCGGCTTCTTTATTTTCCCTGCGAATGGATTCCTCATTACTACTTATCATTTGAACTGCGTACTATCCCTAGATAACAGATAGATATTTGAGCCAAGAGGGCAGATATTGACTGCAACTTCCCCCCCCCCCTCCTGTAAGTTTTTCACAAGAAGAATAAGAATAATAATAAATATGCTTTTATTTATATAGTATATTTGTAATAGATAGAAATTTATTTAGCATGCATCTTGGAATACCCCTATCAGGCCTGTTCTTCGAGTCTGCAAATCTTTTTAAACCCGAATCTTGATCAAGCTTTTTGATCGGGACCCTGGTTGATTAAGAAGATCCTTGGCCATAGGTAGTCCGGGCGACTTTAAACCTAGTTATTTTCACACTCCTTAAACACAAATATATTCGGAGTGTTGGAAGGATGTTGAAGTTTTTAAGTCTTGGAGGTGAGAGAGAAAACCAGATATAACGGTTACATTTTCTCACAGATGGATAGAGGAAGAGTGTGAGTGGTGGTTCGTCAAGACTCTGATTTCATGCGAGGGAAAGAAAACTAGGCTGGAAATAACGGATTTGAGTCACAGAGAGAGTGAGACCGGGGACGTTGTCCATTGTGCCATTACGTATGCCATAGACGTACCTTTGGGGGGGGGGGGGGGGGGAAGCACAGGACGCAGGATGGGGGGTCCAGAACCCCGCAGGCAGCTCGCCCTTGAAGTAATGCCCCACCTCTTGCCTAACACTCCCTATAACTGCCGCTATGTAGTTAGACTACCTACCCTCTTCTTTAGAGTTAACCCTCCCCCGGGGCCCCAAGACCCCCGGCACCCAGTCCTTATTGGACGCTTGGCTGACTTTTCTGCCGACGCCAAGCCTGAAAAGTTTAACATCTCACTAAATTCGCCCCCCGCCAACCTCACTCCCAAGCTTCCTTCGACCTCAATTCCAACCTCAACCTCACCTTAGATGCATTTCACCCTTCATTCCCCCTCTGGCCCTCCACGCTCCTATTAGCCCACGCTGTGGATATATTTACAGACTCTAGCCTTTTTGTTTCTCACTCCGCTGATATTGTTTCCAACTGTCTAATTGGGTCTATTCTGTGTCTTGTTTTCCTACGTAGTTTGCAGGCAAGACTTGTCTTCACTAGACAGTCAGCCAGCTAACCCCCCCTCTCCTCTCCACGCCGTTCAATCCAGCGACCCTGGAGTTATTCAACTACCACTCTGAGGCCACAGTCAAGTTGGCGGGGCTCAACTATACCCAGTTCTCCTTCATTCACCCTCTCCTGGGCCCAAAATTCCGCGTCTTCTCCGGGGCCGACACTAGACCTCCATAACTGGACTTTCCCCATCTCAAGATTATTTATATATATATATATCTCCATATCTCCATATATCTATATATATCAAGGCTTCTCAGACCTATCACGGACGAAAGAAGCCCCTCTGCCCATGGGCTGAGCTGGAGGAAAAGCAGAGGCTGCTTAACCGTTGTGTGTTTGTGTCTCCCCCGCAAGATTTATATACAGTTGTGGTCTAGTCAAAGTGCCGTGAGTCGCTCTCGGCTGTCTCACTTTCGACCAAACCGTCCGCATATAGCGTGCGTCCTTTCGGAAAAACAAAAATCGACAACCCTGGCTTATCCAATTGATATCAACAAGGGGGTACCACTCATTCGCCATGAGTGAGTCGCCAAGATCCGAGAAGTACCAGACTAGGTACAGCACGCCTGCGCCAGAACTGGATGACCACCGCTTCCAGGCCGAGTCTCTCCCCAGAGCGGAGGCAACGGCAGAGGTTGTGCTTAGTTGGCAGGAACAGTTGCAGCAGGCGCGCCATGCGATAGAAGGAAACCTGAATTTCCGCCGTATCAACGAAGCCCTGCACCATGATGCGGGTCCTATCACCAGAGATTTTGAGAATGCAGTTGCCGATGATGAGCCCAGTGGCATTGTGGAAATACGTCCACCTGTGAACCCTATGGCTGTTCGGTCGAGCGCTCAGAGACGCAGCTTCACGGTCCCGGACCGCCCGAGCCGTTCCCGGGCTTCGTCGACCTCGAGTGCGTCAACCTCCCCGCCGAACTCTGTCGAGGCGTTTGCCGAGCCCCGCCGCCGTGGACGTGCGAATACCATAGAGAGCCATACCCCTTTGGACGTAGATGTTGTTCTCCAGAAGACTATGTCCACTGGCACCCAACACCGTCGCCCGACGTTTAGCAATGCCAGCGCCATTGGCGAGGAGAGCATGGACCCGAGAGCCAACCTCAATGAGGATGCGGACGTGTGTTTTCCTCCATACGATGAACCGGGAAAGACTTCCATCATCGACTTTGAGGAATTGGAGGAATTCGTTGCCCTTAGCAAACGGACGAGCCCAGTCCACCAACAGATGTGCCGCATCGACCACCACCACCGTAAACAGAGCTCGAGCTCGCAGAGCAAGCCCCGCATCTTTCACGATCTGCGACCTAAGTCTCAGTCTACGGATGTCCCCAAGATTTTCAAGCGCCCATCGACTACTGAAAACAGCTCACCTGACTTCGTCGACCACATTACCCACGATCTTGAGAAGGAAGTGAGCAACACTGCCGATGAGAAGGAGGTCAAGAATCTCTACAACGAGAATGAGCGCAATCGTTTCAGCTTCTTCTCATCGGAGTATCAGAACACTGTCCATGCTTGCGAATTGGGCGCTCTGGTGCTTGAAGGAGAGACTTTCCGTGACCTGTTCCATCTGGGTCCGGAGGGAGGAGTATGGTGGCTCGATATTCTCAACCCAACTAATGAAGAAGTAGGAGCTATCTCCCGAGCGTTCTCCATCCATCCTTTGACAGCGGAGGATATTATGACTCAGGAAGCTCGAGAGAAAGTGGAATTGTTCAAGCAGTATTACTTTGTTTGTTTCAGGACGTTCTTCCAGGATAAACACCATGAGGATTTCCTGGAGCCTGTGAACCTTTATATGGTTGTTTTCCGCGAGGGAGTGATCTCCTTCTCATACACTGAGAACCCCCATGCGACCAATGTACGGAAGAGAATTGGGAAACTGCGCGACTACGTTTCCCTTAGCAGTGACTGGGTTTGCTATGCAATGATGTAAGTTTCGGACATTATACTCCATAACCTTCATCTTAAGAGCAACAACTAACAAATCCCCAAACCACAGTGACGATATCGTCGACAGCTTCGGCCCCGTCATTCGTGACGTCGAAATCGAATCCGAAGCAATAGAAGACCAAGTCTATATCGCACGTGTCGGGGATTTCAACGCCTTCCTCCCGCGAATCGGCGGCTTACGCAAAAAGGTGATGAGTCTCATGCGCCTGCTAGGTGGGAAAGCGGATGTCATCAAAGGCTTCTCCAAGCGCTGCAACGAGCAGTATTCTGTCACTCCACGTGGTGATATCGGCCTCTACCTCGGCGATATCCAGGACCACGTCGTCACTATGATGTCCAACCTTGGCCATTTCGAGAAAATGCTTAGCCGCTCGCATACCAATTACCTGGCCCAGCTTAATGTTACGAATCTTATGCTGGGGAATCATGTCAATAAGGTCTTGAGCAAGATTACATTCCTGGCGACGATTTTGGTGCCGTTGAACTTGATCTGTGGCCTTTTTGGCATGAACGTTCCTGTCCCAGGGGGCCAGAGCCATGGTTTTGGTTGGTTCTTTGGTATTTTGGGAGCTATCATGTTGATTATTGTTATTAGCTTGGTGATGGCTCGTCGGTTTAAGCTCGTGTGAGAAAGTTTTGTTTCTTAGGGATAATGGCACTGGAAGACGTAATGGCGTCTGAGCTTTGCCTTTTTCTCGACAATTCTTGTATCTTTCCTTCCTTTGTCTGGTCATATCTTTGTATCGGAGGACTTATAATGTTGCGACTACCTTTTGATTTTTCCATTGATTTTGTTCATATTTATGTCTATTTTGTCTTTATGTAATCCTTACGTGGTTACAGCATCATGGATTGGGAAAAGAAAATTGATTGTTTTTGCCGTTCATTGTTGATAGAGCTTAAATTCTCATCCTTCTCTGTATCATCATGTACCTCTTGCGAAGTGAGGTTTAAATCCCATTATAACTAGAAGTAGCCTCTGTCCAACGTCTAATGCCCAAATCTTAACAATAAAGCCTCTTTATATTATATCTACTATTTTAGAATAGTTGTATATACATGTTAGAAGCAGAATAAAGCCTATCTACCTATGGTGAATATCTCTTAAATCAAACCCCTAGTCCCTGCGCCGAGCCCAATGATCCGTATGCACTCCATGAAAACTACTCGTAAGATTAAAATCCTTTTTCCCTTCAGTGGTCAATAAAACTTTAACCAAGCTTTGGCCTTTTTATGTTAAACCCACTAAACCCTTTTCCCTTGTCCTTTTCCCTCTCCTCCCTAGCCCTTTTCCGCTCCATATCCTCTTTCATGATACGTTCCGTGGCTGTGAGGGGTTTGGGCGGAGCTTCTACTTTCTTCCTTGTAGCGCCAGCCAGTGCATTTTTCTTTGAAACAGCGGCAAAGACGTTTTTAGGCTTTGAGATAGTGACGGCAGGTTTTAATGATGTTGATGCTGATGTTGTTGCTGACGGTTCCGGCGTCATGGCAGTTGATTCTGAGGATGTGGGTGAAATATGAGCTGCAGGTTGTGCTGGGTCTCGGTGCGCAAGGGTGGGCAATGCTGATTTCTTGTCATTGCCCGCTGGAGCTGGACAGGTGGAAGCAACAGCAGAGGTAGCATTTCCCTTCGACAGCGCAAAATTCAACTTAATCTTCTCTCCTTCAGTCCGCTGCAACTCCTTTGGGGCTGCCTCCGCATCACCCCCATCGGAACCCTTCCCCACGGCCTCCCTATCCCTTTTCGCCCTACGCACCTGCTCCTCTATCATCTTCTGCTCCAGCTCCTCATCCCCGCGATCCTGCATTTCCTTTCTTCGCAGTGCTTCCTGTCTTCTTAGGGCTTCTGGACTATTATCAATCCACGAGATGAAAATGCCCTTCTCACTCTCCTCAACCCTACAAATACCCTCGCGGCCCAAATATTTCGCAAATTCCGTCAGACTAGGCCAGCGTGTGGCGTTCATGTGTATATGTTCCTTGTTGGCGATGTACTCTTGATAATAGTGGTTAATGTTGACTGCCTTTTCGCCGTGAGAGGTGCGGAGCTGTTTGAGGAAGTCGGAGAGGAACTCGTTGGAGTATTGCTGGATGTATTTGCGGGGGTCTTCGCCTACCAGCAACATCTGGCGCACATGCGATTCTGACTGGGTATGGCATTTGAAACCATTTTCATCACGCATCTGCCTTTGACATACTTGACAGTACCAGCGGAGACGCTGGAGGCCCTTCGATTTGAGCTTGTTGCTGAGGTATTTTGTGCTGCCTACTTCGGCGCGAGGCATATCAGGCTTGTTAGTTGGTTCCTAAGAATGAGTGTGGACTTCTGGTTCTGTTCTTTTCCTTTTTCTTCTGCTTCTGCTTCTGCTTCTTCTACTATATGCATTTCATTCTTTTCATTCTTTTTTATGCCACAGTTGAAGTTGTATCTTGCTTTGGGGCGCGATCGAAGCGTGGCGGTGGCTTAGTCACATAGTTAGTTATCGGGTGAGATTAATATTTATCCGATTACTCGCAAGGCTGAAATCACATGATTCCATATCCAACCTTAAGATGTTGACTCAAGTGCAAAGGCACATCGAGCGTTGATGAAGCATCGTCTTCTATATCTCGGTCGCTATCTTCATGTTAATTGGGGCTGAGGTGCTCTTGGTATCCTGTGTCCTCAATCATTGTTTCATGAATCAATGGGACCCCGTCAAGACTGCCAAACCTGCAGGCTTCTAGCAGTTCAATCATTCGTTATGTAAACGCTTATCCTGGGATTCAGCTGTAAATTTGTCTTCATATCAACGACGCATACGAACGCAAACCAGCTGGCACCTCAGTGTGCCCTCTCTATTTTGCGCATCAAAGGTCTTAGGCCCTCTCATAATTATCGTTGAGCCGGAATCTGAGATACCGTTTGTGATGCCGTGCCCGAAACTATCCCCCCTGCAATCGCGATTCGTGGCCTCTCTAGCAGCCACTCTCTTCATCCTCATTCTCTACTTTATCCTTTCAAACCCCAGCTTTGCATATGCCATCGAAGTTGACTCGATAAAACACAAAGACCATAACCATCCAATAACATTGGAGCTCGAGCTTTCTCTCGACTTTGATACACCGCCTCTTGGGAACTCTCAAATTCAGGCTTCTAAACTGAATTTAGGCGGGGTGTCCGCTATCATTATGCGGAGAGCGCCAGATGGACTTGTTGCGTTAGCGAACAATGCCCCTGAAAAGAGAGAATTGGAACCGGGGGAGACACTTTATTTTAAGTTTCCCAAAGCAGCTTTGGCTGGCCCAAAGTCTGGTCCTCCTGCCGGACTTCCTGGGGGCAATGGGGTTGAGTTTTTGGATGGCTTGTCAGTGGATAATGATGAATTGGAGTTGCGGGATAATGACCTGGCTAAACGGGCGACCAAAGTCTATATATCCGCAAACACCTGCTCGCAGCCTGTGTTTAATAGTGCGACACGACGTGATCCGGATCCTGGTCCGCCGCAGTTACAGCTTTATGTCTCCACAACCGAGGAAATTCAACAGCCAGGCCCTGATGTTAATTCTCCGGATTTAAACGTTTTCACTTTTGATGGTGGTTATGTGAACGCTACATTCGATGTTGAAGACGATATTTACATGGGGGTATCCGCGCCGAAGAACGAGAGCTACTCTGGCAAGTACAAATTCGAGATTGCAGCGTCAATTGATCAGCCGTTCCATGAAGCTGAACCTAATGTCCCATATCTATTCTTCGTCGATGGTGACAGCGGCGCTGCTTTGCTGCAGACAAGCGACATTACCCAAGCAAATCCTGATGATGAAATTTACAAGAAGTGGATGAGCCTGGATCCTCCACCATTCATCATGTTTGCCCACAATATGAATGACACGTCGATTCTTGGCTTGCAGAAATCCTTCTGCGGGTTAAAAAATAATGCCCAAATTCGCAAGGACGGTGATAATGTTCAGGTCAGCATGACTAACAGAGGTATAAACCGCAAACCGAAAGAACAATTCTATATCCAGGGTCTAAATAGCAGTTCATTCTATTATGGATTTTTGGCCATGGAAGGCAACTCCACCCACTCCGGCCGCGGAGTTGTGGGAGGAGGCGGAAAGGTTTGGAGGCCGGTCAACTTCAACACCAAATCAGGTACACATCATTTACCCCTAAGAGTTTTAATCCGATATACATACATATCCCAGCTTATCACATACTAATCACCCACCAATAGAAAACAACTGTGCCATCCTATACAACCTCGACTTCTGCTCCGATGTCGCCTACGCCGTCCCTTCAAATCCCTCCTTAACCAGCGACGACCTCGCAAAATTCTACGACACCCACGCCGTCAATCTGTACAAAAACTTCACACGCTCCCTCGCCCAAATCCCCTGTAACACCTCCGCCAAATCCCAATACTCGCTCACACGCAACTGTACCCACTGCGCCGCCGCCTACAAACAATGGCTGTGCGCCGTAACCATCCCCCGCTGCGCTGACTATTCCAGCAACCTCCCCTTCCTGCTCCCGCGCAACACTGCGCAGCAATTCACAAACGGCACCAGCATCGAGCTGGACAACCCGTTGCGCCAGACCGTGCTATCAAACTCATCCCGCAACCCATTGATCGACGAGCAGATCAAGCCCGGACCGTATAAGGAGGTTCTCCCCTGCCAGGACCTCTGCTATGAGCTTGTGCAGAGCTGTCCGGCCGCACTGGGCTTTTCGTGTCCCATTGACACGTGGTTGAATGGCTCGTACGGAACAAGGAGCGTTGATGGCGATATTACCTGTAGTTACCTTGGTGCAGCGTATTTTTTGAATGGTGCTGGGTTTCTAAGGGCGGGCTTCAAGTTCATTCTTTGGGGAGTTTTGGGATTCTGGGTATTGTTTTGGATATTATAGATGTGATATTGCTCTTTTCTCTCGATCTTTTTTTTTATTATTATTTTTTCTTATTATTTTTTACGTTCGATTGGCGGCGTAGGCGAATTTTTATTTTCCACAGAAAGAGAAGACATAGAAACAAGAAACAGAGAACTGGTTGATTGAAGATATATATACAGTTAAGATCATGTCTTGGCAACAATTCATCCCCTCTACCTCTGGGCATTTGCTTGGTTGAAAATAGAGTCGATGGCATTATCTTGAAGCAGAGTGGAAGTTCCATATATGCTTATGTTGCAGTTATCTATGAGACTCCTTTGCTCTGATTGTCCTCAACTTCCCTTCTCTTTCTAGTCCTATGCATGACTCGGAAATTTCTTTTCAGCAGCATCCTCAAGAAACTAAATTCAGATATATATATATATATATACAGTGCATTTTAATATATTTCTTTTTCTTTGATTCTCTTCAACTGCCCCTGTTTACATACTTTGAATTTAAAATATTAGTTATAGATGCACAATAGAAGTGCGATTGTGATCTGTTTGTTAGTAACACAGAAGAGAGCATATGAACAGCACTTAATTCAGAAAGTATATAAAAAACTGAAAGATATATATATATATAAGGAGTCTGGGAGGTGGATAGCCTAATTCCTTACAGTGATAGGTAGATACCTGCTATGTATTGCTATGTATTACTTTGAATTATCAGAAATGTCATACTTGAGTCTGTAATGCATTCAAACAGAATAACAGAAGTTCTTTACTTTTCCTTAGACTGATCTTGGAATCTATGCATATATTTCAGTATTGTATAGAATGAACTGACAAGGAGTCTCCATATTGCTTTGATTATAACCAAGTCAAAATATCAACCAAAAACCTGTAACCTCTACTTCCTCTTCGGCGTAGCCTTGGGTGTCCACATATCCGTCCCCATCCCCGAAACCCCCGCCCCCTTTCCCCGCCCCGGCGTACTCCCAACAGCCGCCCATAACCTCTGCGCCGCAGGCGTCAGCGACGCCTTACTGAACCCTTTCCCTGCACCCATACCAGCGCCACCAAGACCAGGAGTGCTACCAGTACCAGGAGTCCGCCCAAACGCAATCATCGGGCTACTCGGAAACTTGGGCACTGGCGTCTTAATATCCCTTCCAGACCGCTCTGCGCGTTTAGTAGAGGCAACACGCTCGACCATGCGGTGGTGCAGGAGTTCGCGACGACGATTTTCGCGGATGGTGAAAGGGTTGGGTGTGCCGGAGCTGGAGGTGTCATTGTTCATTTTCATGAGGGAGAGGTAATAGGCAGAGTTATCTTCGTCATCGGAGGATGGTTGAGGAGCGGGCTCGGGCTCGTCTTCATCGACGAATGAGTAGCCGTTTACGCGGGGTGTTTCGCCGCCAGTGTAGCCTGGTTCGGAGCCGGTGGAGCGGGGACGGCCAGCGATTGCGTCGCGGATGGCGGAAAGGGAAGGAGATGGTGGGATGGTCTGGTTATTGCTGCTTGCGCTATGTTGTGTCGGGATTGCTTGGACACGGGTATTTCTGTATATTACTTGTTTGGGGCCGGCGCGGGAAGTGGATTCCGCTTTCTGTATGATGGTCTCATGCGTATCTTCTATGGAAGAGGGGATGAACATGAGGGCATTTTCGGGTTTGGAGGCCCAGGCGTCTGGTTGGGCAGGGCGGGCATCTTGGTCTGTTGTGATGAGTTGGAGTTGCTTCTTATCCTTATCCTCACTGTCCAAAGCTACAGCTGAAACCGCAAGAGAAGAGGTCGAAGACGATGAGGAGGGGGCAAGCCGCTTTGTCCTCTCAGCTTCCCTCTTCCTGAACGCAATCTGCCTAGGCGTCAAAATCTTATTACCACTCCACATCCACGCATACTTTTCTCTCCTCTTTATATTCTGTTTATCAAGCAACTTATAAAATGACTCGTTGTCTTCGCTAGTATATTTCGTTTGGAATGCAGAGAGACTCATATTCCGCACATCCACAACAGAATCCCCCTCTTCACTTCGTTTCGAATAAGAAGATGTCGTCGAACCCACGACGGATACTGGAGTATCGCCACCAGCCCACTGAGTACTTCCTTTGGGGGTCTCATCGCCTGCTCCTGCCTTGGACGATTGGCCTGGTCGCATAGGAATCGCACTCCCCAACCTTTCAACCCTCGTTGCCGTGGCACTTCCATTCCTTCGTTCACCAGCACCAGCACCAGCACCTGCACGCGGCGTCATAACCGCCTCCAAGTTCTTTCCCGCTCGCTTAATCCATTCCTTATTGCGCGACTCGAGAGCATCCAGGTACTCGCGCTGTGTCTGAGTCTCCAGCAGGCCGGGGAAGAAGTCCCGGGCGATGATGTGAGAGAGGGCATCGGTGTATTCGTCTTCGTCGAGGACTGTGGCGGGCCGTTTTATGCGTTTCGGAGGAGGGGGAGGGGGCATCATAAGAGCATCTGAAGCGGAAGAGGGGCGTTTTATCAGGGATTGGGATTGTGAGAGGGAGGGAGACGGGGATGGAGAGGAGGCGGTTGTGGTGGGTGTTGAGAGGGCCATGGTGGGTGGATATGTAGATGTAGGCTAAAAACTAAGAGATAAGATGCTAAAGACTGTTTGGAGGTAGAGCGGAGGTTGATGGGAATGATACATTATAGTGTGCATCGGTAGATTAATGGGTGGGAAGATATGGGTGTAAAATACAGTTGAGCAGTTGAGAACTACGAACAAGGGCAGGCGTGGCGGCATATATATCACGTGACAATAAATGAGGCTGAAATAAGCTTTTAATCCCGGAAGTTTATTTGTAAAACTCACAGGGAAGGAGGAATAGTTAGAGGAATAGGCAAGCACAAGCACAACAAAGCAAAGAGTAATGTCCACAGAAACATCCCATTGTATTTGAGCATAGATATTTAAAATGGGCCACCGATCGAACCCAGTATTTGATCTATGCGCAAACAATATTAGCTGAAGGGATAAAGTCATTCTAGATGTGAAGAAGATATAAAAACAAAATGAACTTGCAAAACTCGAACGAGTGAAAACCTCCGTTTACCAAAACGAACAAGCCAATCGCGCCCCAGTAAATCATACCAGACCAAAATTGAAACTAAACAAGGCTTGATGCCTCCCCCCCGCCTATATATATGTAATAGTGCATACTATAAACCCACAGCGACAAGTAGATCCTAAACCGAAACATTTTGCACCAGATGAAAAATGAAAGGAAGAGAAAGGGTGAGGGAAATTGGAAAATGAGTGGTATTTATTGTCCGCTCTCTTTTAGTTCAAAGATAAATAATATCTCCCCGCCCGATCTTCACTTTCATCACCTCAAGAGGGAAACCCGAAAAAAGTATATAAAAGAGCCACAAATGCCAACAAAGTCCCCATGTAACGACCCCAACCACCGAATTCACCCAAACCACCCAAAACCAAGCCGTACACACGTGAACCGAAAAGGCTACAAACAAGAGATGTGAAGAGGGATACAAAAATGAATGAAATATTTAAAAAGGGAACGAAAGTTGGTGTCAAAGAAGGAAAGTGAAGAGTGCCCCGACCGACCATTTGATAATATATGTCATAAAATTGTAGAGAAAAGTAGGGGGAAATGACGCAATATGAAAGTGAAAGTAAATTGAAAGCGCATATATGCATTCATAAAAATTAACGAAAGAAAAGATGGGCGCGGACGATGTTCCCAATTTCAAGTAACAAGTCCGGTGACAAGATAGTTGAGAAGCAAAGGAGGACTTTTGTGCCAGACAGAGCCAAAAATCAAGATAAAAATAGTATAAAAAAGTATAAAAAAATAAAAAAAAAAGAGAGAAAACACATTACCAGAATGGCAGGGAAATATGTAATGCAAAAGATGAAACTATGTATGAATAGGAAATGTTAACAAGTCATGGGGCTCATGATATGAACGTATGGATATGTAAACGACAGTGGGTATATCGACTGGATATGAACAGACAAAGGTGCAGAGGGCATGTGGATGGGGAGGTGAACGAGAAAGGATTGCGGTTAAATGGTCGTCGTATGTAATGCCAGGGTCAACAAGATGCAAGACACCATGCAAGGGAAGTAATACGAAAAAGAGAGAAGAGAGAGAGAGAGAGGGAGAGAAGAGAAAAAGAGACTGTAAAATGAGAAGCAATCAAGAAATCGAACTTTTGTTGTGATACATCAAATTTCAGTTGCAAGAAGAGAAGGAGAACGACAAAAGGTGGCAAGGCCACGTCTATCCAGGGATACAGAGAATATATCGTACGTAGAACTGGAGAAAATGGTTCGATATGGCGTATATTCCTAGTGTTAAGTGTGCCACAGGGACGGAATTAGGAGTCAACACGTTGTCTCAATGGTGAAACATCGTTTTGATTTTGTGTTTTGCTGATGCATAATGTTGTTGCTGTTAATATTTTACCGCGAAGGAGGACCTGCCACCGCGGTGGGGAAAAGTGAATACGATTTTCGCGTCTTCTGACCACTCGGCCCACGAGTAACGGTAGCAGACCGTTTCCGCCTACCCTCTGGCACCTTATTCTTCGACGAGGAAGTGTCCAGCATGTCAAGGGCAGACGCAGACTTGGCACGGTCATGTACCGGTGCCATGGGCACATGCGGTGAGATGTCAGAACTGTAATCTCCGCCACTTGGGGAGATGCTTGGAATTCGTTGCTGGGTAAGTTCGCGCGCAAGACTTTTGCTGCGTTGATGGATAAGCGGGTGAGAAATGGGGGTGACCATGGAGATACTTTGCTTAGGCTGTTCACCAGTGGAAGACATGGAGTCACGATCCACGACTGAAAGGCTGCAGCTGGGGCTGTGAACTAGATCGGGAACGCTAGTTGTGGAGAGTGAGGAATGATGTTTTCGGGCAACAGATGCTGCGTGCGAAATAATGCTTTCCTGGGAATTGTACTTGCTCATTGGCGAGCTGCTTCCATGGGAAGAATCGAATGATTCAACTACGGGAGTCTGGGTGTAAAGGGGGTAGCCGTCGTCGAACTTAGGGTCGCTGGGGATGAAGCTATCGTAAGACTGGTTGGATGAGAAGTCGTCAAACGACGCTGAGAGAATTGGCACATGCTCAGATCTGAAGTAGCCACCTTGTGCTAGTGAGTCACTTTCAAGACAGACCGGAATACTTCTCGTAGTAATGGGGCTGATACCTCCATTTTTCGCGGGAAAGGAGGATTGTTCTAAAACCAAACAGCCAGCGACAACGGTCTGATCACTCTGTTCCGATTCATCTAGGTTCTCTTGATTTTGGTTTACAGCGGGTATCGCAACTCCATTGGGATTCTCAGTGTCATTGCACTTGGAAATGACAGTCTCAGGCCACGTATCAGGAGCAAGCCTCGCGAATCTTGCTTTCACCTCAGGCTCTTCAAACGATGTGCGGTGCCAGTCAAAATTTGAATTAGACTCAGCAGCATGCTTATAACAATAATCAATATCGTCCTCCCATGTCAAGTCATCTGTGGGTCGAAGCATAACTGAGATCCGCTTCCTGGATTCCCTCTTCTTGGTCTTGGTATCAAAATATTCATTAGAAGGGGTTCCATTGGTTGGAATTGTAGGAGATGGAAGCAGATCTGAAGTTGAATCTATATGCACAGGCAGGCCAGGTAGGGGTTTATCGATGTTCACTCGGGAGGTGGATTGACCAAAGCGGAAAGGTTCGGAGTCAGTTGCAGGCCCCGAGTGGTGCGCCTCACTATGGCGAATTACAACGGTCTCGTCTTCCTCCAGAACGTCTGTGAGATCAAAAGCGTGGGTAGTTGACGTTGGAGATCGGGCCTTAGCAGGTTTACCATCCTCAGTGATGGGTGCATTCCCGGCATCAGGGAAATCGCTGGGGAAAACCAGCATCGGCAAGGTTGACTGGTGTGAATTTTCGTATAAAGTCTCCGGGACTGCCAATGTCGAGTGGAGGCCAAGCAGGGCATCGATAGTCTGGGGCGATGGCTCTGGAATATCCGGGGTTGCCAACTTCGAAGACGACCGGGGAGGACCGATCATTGACGGTGACGAATGTTGTCGGGATAGCCGGGATACTGGACGAGAGAAGTTTTCAATAAATCGAGAATCTCGAGTTGGTCCCAACCTGGAAGGCGAATTGGGGAAAGTCTGTGAGTTATGTAACCGTGGAGGGTTCCAGGCATATTGGGACTTCAACTCCGTTGTGTATGAGCTGGCGTCATGTTTGGAGATAGCATCGGACGGATATTTTTGGGAATGTAGGTTTTCAGCTCTAATACCCTTCAGTTCGTTGACAGGGCGCTGTGAGGCCCTGATAACAGATAGTTCCGTGGCTATATCAAGAAGCTGACTGTTCTCCAAATCGGGCAATTGACCAGGGCTGGTGTGTGTAACATGCTGGAAGTCGAAGGGGTCAGAGATATTCCGTTTTAGGTCACCTATATCGCGGAGAGCAAAAGAAAAACAGTCAGTTATTGCCCGAAAGCATTGTATTCATGCATTTATATTTTTTGATACATGTACGAAATATATAGGATCGACTTACGGGTATCACTGTGCCGCGCTCTGTGGCTACGATAGAAGACACCTGATCCATCCAGTCTCTGGGATCCAGACTGAGCTCCTTTAGTCATCTCGTCTTCCTCGTCTAGAGTTAAGCTGGATGAAATACTAAATTTGTTTCCTCGGCGCTTCAGAATGCGCGTGCCACGCAACAACAAGGACTTGGAAGAGCTGCCTTCTTTCTGTGAGGGACCAGTAGCGTGAGAGAGCTTGCTGTCCTGAGAAGGTCTTCGGAAGAGAGTGTCTACGCTGGTCATAGACGAAGCGGGAGAGCTGTAGGGGGAAGCGATTGAGGGGGCAGCGCTGTTTCGAGAGCGAGCACCAAACACAGAGAGACGTTTGGGGATCTGGCTGTCGGGTCGCGAGCGGGTGGTAGTTTGGAGGTCAGGAATAGGAAAGGTAGGCGACATTCGCGGCGAGCGAGTTCGGTCGCTATACCATTGCGAACGCAGGGAGGAAGAAGAGGAAGAAGAGGAGAGAGTGGAAGTGTGGATCTTAGGTTTGGTGCTGGTCACAGCACAGGGAGCAGGGTCGAACATGACACGAGAGCGTCAGACCTGATTGCAGCGTGTAGGGGGCCACTCTCCGCAGTCAATCAGGACCGGGGGAGAGGGGTTTGCGTGAGGGAGCAGCGGAGGGTTGTAGGAAAGCACCCCAGCGTCGTTTATGTTTTCCTTGTCCAAGGGAGTATTAGAGGAGCCGGGGGTCCCCTTTTCCGGTGTGAGATTGTACTGCTGATCCCTGGAGTGGGAAACGCTGCTTTAATTTTTGGGGGGTTAAAAAAAAAAAAAAGAAAAGGAAAGGAATTGAGGTGTCGCAATGGCCCAATTGGACAGTGAGTTTGGTATATCTCTGAAAGAATAAAAGAAAGGATACAAAGGAGTGAGTGGACAAGCTGGAGGAGGTTTACGGGTACATGTAAATTGGGCGGCAGAAAGATTTTAAAGTCTTCCCGGGGGAGGACGGAGGAAGCAGCGCGAGAGAGTAAGAAGAGCTAGCGAGGACAGAGAATCAAGAGGAAAAATAGATAGTAATAATAATAATAATAATAAGAATAATAATAACAATGGTAGTAATGGTGCAAGGAGAGAGAAGTGAGCAAGCACTTGATCCCTGATAACGAGAACTATGTTTTCGCACTATTCTCTTCGGCTAGCTTATTCCATTCTCTTTCTACAGTATCTCACTGCCTACCCTTGTAGAAGGAGGAGACTGGTGAGAGGGACTGACCGGTCAGGTAGGGTCTTCAGGTCCACACAGAAACCTCAACCTCAACCTCAGACACGACAAGGCAACAAACAAATAGATAATGGGGAGAGGAAGGAAGAGAGAGGAAGAAGGGGAAAAGTAAAAAGGAAAAAGAAAAGAAAAAGAAACAAGTGGCTGAGACACAAGCAGAGAGATGAAGAAGAAGACGAAGAGGAAGATGAAGAAGAGGAAGATGAAGAAGAAGACGAAGAGGAAGAAGAGGATGAAGAGGAAGATAAAGATGAAGAAGGAAGAAAGAAGAAGAAGAAGAAAAAGAGGAAGATGAAGAAGATGAAGAAGAAGAAAGAAGAGAAGGAAGAAGCTGAAGCAGCAGCGATGTAGTAAATATTTAGCACGAGGGGAGCTGCTGCTTGCTGCTTCCTGCTCGCTGCTCGCTGCTTGCTGCTTGCTGCTGCTGCTGCTGCTTCTGCTGCTTCTGCTACTTCTTGCTTTCTGCTGCTGCTGCTGCTGCTGCTTGCTGCTGTTAGCTATTGTTTGTCTGGGAGCAGGAAAAACGACAAACCAAAGTTACCAAAGTTACCAAAGTTACCAAAGTTACCAAAGTTACCAAAGTTACCAAAGTTACCCAAGTTACCAAAGTTACCCAAGTTACCGAAGTTACCAAACCGTGCCTTGGCCCTGATTGACCGAGAGCGATATTTACATACAGTCAGTACACATGCATCGTAGGGAGGTTTGACCAGCTCTCACAACAGCCGTCACACCCCCAAACACCAAACAAGGGTTTCCCTTTTTTTTTTTTTTTTGCAGGTTAGATCCATTCTCTCCAGGGACCCGCCAATCGGGCTTTCCAAGCTTCCAATTGTCGGAGGCGGCAGGCTAGAACGGTTTTAGTGCGATCTGGAGCTGTGCCCCGCCACGTCCGCTGTTTCGCCGTTTCGCCGTTTTACTGTTTCACGACGCCGCCGGTTTTTGCAAAATTCACGGCCGCCTCCCAAGGTAGAACGCCGGATGGCAGCACAGAGCAGGGCCTCTTCTCCCCCATTTCTTGTTTTTATATCAGAGCAATGCCCGATAGTCTCAACCACAATCATCGTCATCGCCACCATCTATTAATAAATGCTCCATGTATTATGCATGCATACATCATACATATATATTATGCGTACATAATATATATACGGAGTAGTTCCGGAGGAAAAGGGACAATAATACTTAACCTGGCGAGCAACAAAAAGGAGAGAGCAACTTCTTACACGTCAAAGGAGCGAACGCAGTTGCTTCTCCACCACTAGCCATGGCCCATGGGACAGTTTGCTTCCAAGGTTAGGTGCCCAGGGGGCGGTCTGGGGTCTCTGGCTCTGTCCTCCTGGATCTCACGTCACTATCACACAGTTTACTTCCTCTCTCTGCCAACGCTGTGTTCAATATCAGAATGCCTATCTAACTACACTCAGCCAGCACACGGTGCACAGGGCACAGGGCACAGGGCACAGGGCACAGGGCACAGTGCACAGAGAGCACGCAGTCAACCTCGGACTGCTGTATGTAGAAGTTATCTATGTAAATCTACTATGTCAGAAATGCTACCCACATGTCAATGACTCAGAAAGTAATAATCCCATAGTTGCTCAATGATTCAAGCCCTGTCGTCCCCCTCAAAACACACTCCGTGGAATTCTCCAAATCTCCAACACGTCCAAACAAAATGAAAAGCGGAAAAAGAAGCGAGTGACCCCATGTGATCCAATCATCCCATTCGTTTAACCAAGAGGAGAAAGATCCGAAGTCGACAGTTGTGGAGAATTTACAAAAAGTCAATGATTTCAACCCTATAAACTCAAAACCCAAAACGTACAAAAAAGTTAACGCCCTTCCTTTCTTTTTGTTTCTTCAGCCGTTTCAAAATAAAACATACAAGCTCCATCACGTTCGAACTTCTTCTTCACCTCGCCCATCACCTAGCCCGGGTTCGGCCCAAGCGTTCCCAAACAACCATGTTAGCGGCAGTTAGGGACAAAGATAGCCTCGCCCACTTCATCAACCACTCTTTTGGCTCTTGGGAAGAAACCCTGGCCCGGTTTCACACGACACAAGCTGCCGTAAAATAATTGTAGTGCTGATTAGGTCGACGATCTTTCATGTTGTAAGTGATATCTCGTCCCGAATAATGGGGTTTTTTTTTTTTTTTCTTTTCTTTTGACTGTTCCTTTCAAGAATCATCAGAGGTTAGGACACCGATGACACCTTTGGCTGGGTCCCTGGCTTTTGGGGGGTTTGTTTGCTGACACTGATCGACCATACCATCCCTCCTCAGTCACTATTTAGTTTGAAGGTTTGTTTGTTGGTCAAATTGTTGGAAGATGCTACTTTGGTATGCCCGTTCAATGCTGATCTTCAACCCATGGTTTAGCATACACTAGGGGCTCTGTCAATCTTTTCTGGGACGGAGCCCAGTGAGTACAATAAGCACTGATTTGAAATCTTTTCCGTAGCTACTTTGTTCTGTCCATTTTCGTTTTTGGTCTATTAATCTTTTCTGGTTAGGTTTGGTGTAGTTCATAGGAAGCAGTTGAGGGAGGTTGTACGACTCCCGTAGCTAACTCCTTCGAAGCTGCGCGGTCCTGTAAAGCAACCTGGCATGGCTGGCCTTGAAGCTGGCCGCATAGCTTGCATATGGGTGTATGGATGATGGATGGAGCAGCAGGAGTAGAAAGTTCCTGTGTTACCTGGACCTTTATTCTCATCTTATTTCACTTCGAGTTTTTTTGATTTTTCTCACGCATGAACCACACCACACCCACTTCCGCTACCGAAACTTCGGGGGTGAGGAAAGATATGCTTCATTGGGAGACAGAACTAACGCCGTCTTTTTCCAGAACCCGGAATAGCTGTAATCCTCCGTGTTTTTGATCATCATCAACTATCCGCCACGATCGACCGTCGCTAAAAGTGCCTTGAGAAGATCCCATACAATAACCCCTCAGCGCCCCAATAAACCGAACTTTTTAAGTCTTCCATGATATTATTACTTTTTTCACAAATAATCAGATTTCACAGCCACAACGGATTTCCCCGGTTTATTGAACCTTCAACAATGTACCGAAAAGATGAAGAATTGCACCATCCATTTTTCTCATTCCCTTCCCTTCCCTTCTTTGACGTGAAGAATTAGAAAACTAGAACAGGAGCCACTCGTGAGGTTCCACCCGCAATCCAACGGTAGTCAAAGAATCCTTGCAGTCAAAATCCCAAATCACAGCACAGAGAAATCTCTTTTCAAGCCCCAGCTACGGGGTAACCCTCTCTAATCCCCCCACCCCGACCTCCCTCCCTCCTCACAAGAACCCACCATCCGTCTTCCTCCTGGCCAAGGAGAGTCGGGGAAATCCCATCGTGAAAGCTTCTGCAGGTACTACTGCGAACTGCTGCGTCCTTCGCTTAAGAGATGCATCTGGAGGGTTCAAGGTGTGTGGTGCGTTGCGTATGTGGACGCGTGGGTCTAGGGACGATGGGTTGAGATGGTTACTTGGTGACGTGCCTCCTTCGTCCTTGGGATCTTGTTCCCAAAAATAGGTAGACACACAGGGTTACCAAGATAGGGACGGGGGGTTGGATGTCACCTCACTTGCTGTCATGATTGTGCATCTTTTGACAGGAGATTGAGAGCGTGGGAACGAGAGAAGCATGCTTGTTCAACCTTATCTTATTTTATCGCTATCGCTTATCGCTTATCGCTATCGCATTTCGCTCTCTATGCTACCCCGCGTAGTTACAGCTGTCAATGCAACTCCAAGTCGAGGATGTCTGACAGGAAGTGGCCCGCCCATGGTTTCTTGGGCTGGCTTGGGATGGTGTCCATATTCTACAGGTATTCGGAGAGATAATTAGGTTTTAGTCAGCCGTCAGAGCGAAGCTGTAATTTATGGTTCCGAAAACGGGGGAGTGGGAACAAACTGGAGGAGGATGATGTTTTAACGTGGAGATTTCTCGGATATATGGTGGGACAAGTTTCTGTGGAATGCAGACAGTTACTTATTTAAGGAATCCCAATAATTGTCCGTTGAAATTCCGTCAAATATCCGCAGTAAGAGTTTGTATGTACAATGGGACAGACAGCACACAGAGCTGCAAATTTGCGAAATAAATTTTTTTTTTTTTTTTTTTTTTTGCCTTCCCATATCTGGAAGATCCTCATGCCTTTTTTTGTCTCTAATAAAGAAAGAAATCCACCAGAGGAACCGTTCCAGGAATTCAAGCATTGCAGAGCAGAGGTGGCGGGCCGGGGGCAAAGCAAGGCTCAGTTTTGAAAAAACCCTTTTGCTTTCGGACATTCACAAGATGATGCGTAACGATACCGTGTTGTATCTATCTGTGTGTATGTGTGTGGCAAGCCAGCAATGCCCTTGAAGTGTGTGTGTGTGCATGCACATATCTTGAATCGAGGACGAGCAACGATCACGAGGGCAAAAATCTTGAAATCTTTGACTCGTTGATTCTGGAAAAAGGAAGTTCTACGCAGGCCCAGGCTTGAGGGGGAAGTTATTTAGTGTAGGAGTCAAGTGTTTTATATAACCCGGAATAAACTGTTCAGAAGGACTTGTCGATGGAGGGTTGGCTAGTGAGAACTTGGTTAGTGAGAACGGAGAACTAAAAGTCTCCTCGGTGACCCAGAGTCTTTCATTCCACTGTACTGTAGATTGTAGTAGGAAGAATTAATCAGGCTCAGTCTTCCCCCCGATATCTTGCTCCCAAAAATTCATAATTGGCTTATTTTCTGATATCATCTTCATTTCATTCTCGTCATTCTCCTCTTACACGTAGGTATGTATGTACAAGTTGGTCTATGGGTATTTTAGTAGTTAGGTGTTTGTTCTCCCGATAAAACTCTCCAGCTGGCGACCCTCTCTCAGTGTGTTTTAAACGGTTCAAACCCCTCTCTTGCTCTTGAATTATGTATGCAAAGAATAGTGTCTGCTTCTGTTGGTCATGAGTAGGCTGGGAACCCTTGGATCCAGGGAACCAAGCTGGGAATATCAACACGTTACATAGCTCACGTTTCCCTGCATCGTTCGCCATGCCTAGGCACGTTACCCATGCCCATAGTTTGTCTATGCGTGGATAGGTTCGTTACAGGAGTCCGGTTGCAAGGCAGGTTAAAGGATTGCGGGACAAATGAGCAAGAGGAGAGAGAATATGAAACATGAAACACGGGGATCAGGAAAATCTAGGTTAACTAATTTAATCCACTCATCCACTCACCTTTTCCCCGCTGGGTTTGAACAAATTTTCAAAAGAACCCACAACCACTCTCAATTTTTATATAGAAATTATATAGCATTTCTCCTTATGAGACTTGTGGACATCATTCAATAGGATGTCCTACAGTGTTGTGGTGCTAACTTTTTTGATCTGGGATTTAAATCCGTTATCTCTTTCTTCATCAGTTGAACAGGCTTCTGAGCTCTCACAGTTCTAAGTAGTTAGTTAACTAATCTTTCTATTAGTCAAGATTCCTTTCTCCACTGTATATGATTTACTTCTCTTCACATTTGCTTTGCATTTGCAGCTCTCAGCTCTTGGTTTTTCTTTGCTAAAATAACTTAATTGTATACAATTAATTGACTTTCTATTTATTGTTTAAAAACTTGATTAATAGTATTAAATTTTTTTTTATATAATATTTAAGCTTATTATTTTAATATTTTTAATTTTTAAAAATTAGTTATACAAATTATTATATATTAAATTTATTCAGTTAAAATTTACAAAAAAAATTAAAAAATTAAAAAAATAAAAAGTTAAATAATTATAATGATTATTAATAATTTTTTATATAATATTTACTATACTTTATCATTATATTAACTTAAACTAAAATTTTAAATCTAATTGTAAAAGAAATATTTATAATAATTAAATATTAATTATTTTTAAATAAAATTTTTTTCTATAAATTATAACTATATAAAATATATAAAATTTTATTTTTACTAAATTTATTTTTTAATTAAAATTTATATTATTATTATTATATACTAAATTATATATAATTTTATTAATAATATTATATTTAATAACCAGATTTAATTTTATAATTATTAATTTTATAATTATTTTAATATAATAACATAAAGAAATAAATATTTATATATTGAATTTTATTTTATAATATATAATTATAATAAGTTTTATAATTTTTTACACTCTGATAATGTTGTTTTATTCACTGTCCATGACACACTGCCCAACCACATGTTGATCTCATGGCTGGGTCGTTCGGATCAGCTCTGCGCCCGCACCGGCTCACCCTCAATCACTCACTTCCCCTTCTCCTCCCTCTCATTCAGGCCCACCAGAAATGAATGTTGGTCCAGTCACTCTACTAACCGCTGCTCATTCACCAATGGATCATGACTTGATATAATGAGTGTCAGCTGCTTCTGGTGCAGCTGTTTAAGGTGTTCAGCAATGCCTTCCGATTTTCACCACGCCTGGTAGGCCGCTGTCATATTCAGCTTGCTTCATATAACCCAACATGCACACATATCCTGAAGCAGGACAATGACACCCTGGCCCTTTCCTGCAATAACATCATCAAAGCCCGCTCCGCTTGTCAGGCTGACACGGCTCTCAGGGAGAGATTTGATGACCTTTTGCTTCTCCTCAGGAATGGTTAACGTGTTGAACGGGGCGTTCGAGAATCTGATCTTATGAATATTCTCCACAGCAAATTCTCCTAGACCAGTAGCGTTAGTCCCAGCTGCAAGAAGCAATCTCATGAGAATCGAAACTCACCCCACCCCAAATCTTTTCATCAGGCGAAAGGCCAAGCACGGTTTGACTGCAAATAGCTAAGTCGTCCTCCACTTACTCTCCAGGATCCATTCCGTTGCCTCGGACACGACTGGTAGTTTCACTATTCACAGCTCAGCCGCATAGGTCGGTGACTGCTAGCTGTTAGTCTCCAGTCTTGCATAATTTGGGATAACCTTCTGGAAAGAGTCTGGCGTCAATCATGATCCTGTTATTCACACGGAGTTTCATGATTTTGTCCTTGATACTGGCGACGATAGCAACCTATCAGCGAGACAAATTTCCGGCCGCTAGATATCAGGCACGGTTTGATTGCTGGATCGGTGTGATATTTGAGAAGGTGGGCACACTCAAGAAAAAGAAAATTAGATGCTAAATTTGTTGTCCCTGAACTCTAGTACAGCCGGAACAATCATTCAGGAGTCATTCAGGAAGAGTTATGCATTGCTTCATGCCAGCTGCATCAAATTAGAACTATAGGTTGAGAAACATGTATGAGTGCTTTGCATCATTTATACCGAGGGATATAATGGTCAACACATCTTAAAAAATAGGTTTGCAGTTTTGTTCCATGCTGTCTCGTCCTGCTCTGTTATGTTCCATTCCATTCCGTCCCGTCCCGTCCCGTCCTGTCCCGTCCCGTCCCGTTCCCCCCAGGCCTGAGTGATTCTTATCATTTCATGCTGACGCTTGATCCAACCTACATCTGAATGACCAGAGAAAAAGCTAGGAGGAGCACCGAAGAAAAATATAATCTATCCCGGGGCAGTCAAAGTTGTCGAGCAAGGCTTTGGATTTATCCAGAATAATGTGAGTTGCAGCCCAAACCAGGACTAACAGCCCGCCCTCTCAGCCGCCAGCGTCACATGAAGAGGGGTTGCCCCTCTCCTCCCGCGGGTGGTGTGGGAGGAGATTGAGCGTCAAATTTCTCTTTTCCCTTTTTCTTTTCTTTTCTTTTCTTTTCTTTTTTCTTTTCTTTTCTTTTTTTTTCTTTTCTTTTTTTTTTTTTTTTTGTGGATAGGATATAGTGGCTCGCAGACTGATTGACGAAGTTGGTTTGACATTTCTCCCAAATTTTCTATAAAAGTCCACAATTTTGCGACCCAAAAAAATAATAAAAATTCATCCCTTTAAGCACTTGTTCTCCCTGCTCATCCAAGATAGCCACAATGGCTGCGACTCAGTTCTATTCGAACATATCTCTAGATACAGAAGATGATGACGAGATTTTGGAGAAAGCTAAGGTCTGCTATCCTGTCTGGATGCTCTCAAAGGTTTTTGAGACTGATATAAGTGCAATCCAGCTAGACAACCAACTCCGAGAATTTCAGGTGGAAATTGACCGTCAATGGACACCCTATATGGTGAAAATGGTAGTTACAAGGCCGTCTCGTCGTTTTTCGTCCGTAAACATCAAATAAAGTTCCCGGGTGCATTAGGGTGTACAAAGCTGGGCACTACCACAAAATTGGGATGTATATACGAGACGAATGGAGCATTTAAAGGCTAAGTCCCGAAAAACTGCGCCTTCGAAGCGATGCTTGTGGAGGTGAACCTTATCACGCAGAAGGATAACCAGAGTTATTTAAATATTCACGGGTAAATGGTGCCTTATCACCTTCTGAAGTTTGGCCTGGTAGAAACTGTATTGACATTTTGATCTTAAGAAGTTAGTTTCGTACTCAAATGTTTTCTCGTGTTGGGGGATCTTACAAGATGTCGATGGGGAGGCTGCGGGCTGGCTCCCCGTTGTAGTAAGTAATACATGGAGGCCTGGTCCACGAACAGCTCTGGGAACTGCACTCTTTGTGACCATTCCTTCAGCTCCCGATAGAATATCTCTCTATCAGTTCTCTTGATACAGTTGCTCAACAAACCCTTTAGGTGACTCGACAATGATGATAACTCCGCTAATGTTAGCGGGATGAAAGGAGTGATTAATTATATTGCAACTACAAACATGTTGAGAACTCTTCTAAGCAGCAAAATTTGCGCCCTAGTCAAAGGTTTCTATAAATCACTGAATGTTAATCCTCACACCGCGGCCCTGAAGGTCATCACACCATCTCCACAAGTGCACTCTTATTCATTCAATGCAGAGAAATTGGCCCAGGTGCAGTAGTAGAGATAAGTCTCATTAATTTCACCTCGCTCTATGATCAGCTTCCTTGAAGAAGAAGGTTATAGTTAGTTAGTGTTTGGCTATGATCTAAGTTAGTGTAAAGAGGAGAACGAGTGAATCCAAGTTAGTACACCATTAGCTCTTCGTCCTCAATAAATCCCCGTTGTTCTCTCCGTGAGACTCTCTGCATGATTGGTCTAGGCTCTGTCAAAGTCTAACCAGACCAGTCTCTCGGGATCATTCCTTACAATTCATCATGTTCCTCGGTTAAGCGTCGCCATGCAGAACCAACGCTCTGTGAATCCCTCAGATGCCACGGATTGCGAAGTTCTCTACCTAATGGACGCGACCTTATTTGCTCCGCTGAGTTGCGATTGCAACGAGGCTGTGACAAACACGTCAAATCTCGTGGAGGAAGCTCTTGGTTGTTCATTCGATACAAATTGCTTCAAATGTATCTGAGCCCCTCTCCACGTGACCCGACCTCAGGTGTTGAGCCCTTTGGCGGCGTATCTAGCCCCTGCCGTGATTATTCGCCCTGTATATAGAGTCGGGCTAGCTAGCTTCCCCTCCCCCAATAGAAGATCAACGTTTATACGTTATGAAGAGAACCTATTAACTATGGTAATGTTGTTACCCCTGACCTCTTCTTTATACGCGCACGGTCCTCGAAATTTGAGTGCCTGGTCACGTGGTCGATCGATCTGTATAAATGCTGGACACGTCAAGTTAGCCAATTGGATCCGGTGTGTGCCGCTTCAACAGCACGCACCCCCTTATATATATAGCCTGCGGCCTCTCAGGCATGGCTTGGGTTACTCTTTATCACATTCTTGCAGCAGCCACTGGCAGCAGTTCCAGTCCACTACCCCCACCCCAGGCCCAGCCGCAACCCTACAAATCAGGCATACAGTTATCTTGACATCCAACGGTCCAAGATCTGGCAGAGCTTTAATCTCGACACAATTCTCCAGCCGCACCAAATTGTCTTGCCCTAATCCTCAATGCTTCCAATCAGATACAAAATTGGTTGCCAAAGTATATTGATGATGAAGAAGAAATTATCAATGCTTTTATTTGTTTGGACAAGCACTATGCTCGTGAAACCCATGCATGTGGTGTTCTAAGCCACAAGAGGAATGAGGGGAATGTGTACCCAGGTTCTGCAGGTCATATTCTTTAAATATTGCTGTGGAGAGGTCTGAAATCTGAACCGTTCAACTTGTTCTGATGGAGTGAGTATATACCAGGAATATCAATGTAACAGGCTAATTAGGAAAAATTTCTCATCATTTCCACCAGTAGATCATCAAATCAGTGATCAAACTTGGCAAGTCAAGTGTGTGAGCAAAAATTTTTACTCATGTATCTAGATATGTAATTATGCTAGAGAAGTTTGATTTTGATTCAAAACAAAATATTCTGTTTCTTGACTTCGCTAATGCCCTTTTCAGTTGCAGAAGAGATGGTTCAGTTGCTATTGAATCAAACCTGTTTCCCTGATCAGTACATTTCACCTCTTCCATGATGAGATGAAACTATGTCAATGCAATTCAATGACTGGATTGATTGAAATTGACTGCTCTAAACTGAAGCTGAGTATGCTTATACTGTGACGGCGCTATGACGGCGTTGGCTACTGCTACGGAAATAGGCATGGTCTGGAAAGGGTAATAGAAACTGCCTAGCAACGGTATAGCACCGCTAGTGGAAAGGGGTATATAAGGAGATGCTTCCCCAGGCCCCCGTTTCGTAGAGCATCTTAGTATTTCGTTGAGATAGCTTACCTAGTTGGCAATCGAACATCTGTTCATCTGCGCCTAGATTGAAGTCGTGACATACTGCTGCAACAATCACATCAGAAATGTGGGACACTCGCTGCTGATGACTTGTCACTGTTGTTTGCTCACTTTGCACTTTGTCCTGCCTTTCAGATCATATCCCAATATCAGTACATCTTATGCGGCAGATGATATCTTTTATCAACTTTATCAGTTTGTTTTGTCTTTTTATTGAATATATGTTAGTTGTCTAACAGGTTTAATACACTGTGACATATTAATGTCAAATTCACTTCTTTATCTATTGTTTCTCATTATTTAGTTTAGAAGTACTAGTGATAAAAGAAATTCTATTTGAAATTCTATATTATAATCGGAACCAAATATTTATTTTACTTGTTCAAAGATAACTAGTTATTAAATTTATGCTTCATAATCTTATCTTTAAGCTTTAAAAGTTTATCACTTTATCAATACTCCTATACAAAGATATGTTGTGAACCTTTTAAAATCTTGAACTATAGTATCAGAAAGAATAAAAACTACTGTTTATTTTTTACAAAATTGGTATGATATTATGCAGAAGTAGTTTTATTAACTTCTTTACATAATATTTAAATATGTAATCTCATAGCTTGCTGAGTTTGTGAATAGTCAACTTCTTTGATCCTTTGAGTCAATCTCTGATTCCTCTCTGTCAACTGTTGTATCTTGAGATTTAATGTGAAGTGCTTTTCTGCTCATCTGTGAGTTCTGTCAAGGCTGTGATATTAGCAATGGGATCAAAAGACCTAGATAGCTGCCCCGGAAGGGACTTTATAGATAGATGCAAATGACTTGTATCAATACTGAGCGACGACATCCATGGATCTTTTATTCTTCTCTGGCATGATCACTTTTCCTCCCATTTTCATTCTTGCAATTCTGGGGATCTGCGCCTACGGGATTACTTTCTCTTGAGTATTTATTTCTGCCGCCCCACCCTTCCACCATCAAGCCGCCGGCTAAGGGGCCGCTGCATTCGAGGGGTCGGGTGGGATATCAAACTTGACATCGATTTCCCGAGAAATTCCTGGACTCCTAAGGTGAAGGAAGATACAGATATGATCTACACGGTATCAATTTTACATGGTACTATTTCTACTCCGGACTCGGAGTAAATGATACCACGGAAAGGTAAGATTTTCCCCTCAAGCTGTAGGAAAAGTTTTCAGCCTGTTCAGAGCTCAAATATTTTTTTTTCTCTAGCACGATCTATTTCTCAAAATTAAGAAGCATAGATGTCAAAGGCTTGTCGTGCATATTGTCATCAATCACCCTTGGAATCCGATGGGTTTTCTAAAAAGCGCATAAAAATTGAATCAGCATCAACAACTTATTGACGAAACATGATTCATGGATGTGATGTGATTTTCATGCAGGATGAAATGTTTATCACTCATTGTTTGCGGATCAAAAAAAAAAAAAAAAAAAAAAAGCCTTGTCTGCAATTTTTGATAACCGTTGAATACGACATTTAGTGATCAAGTGGATTACATAGACAGATGACGATCAGCAAGCTAAAACAATTGCGCCCTGGACTGGACGGAAACAATGAGATGAGTTGAGACGGAAGATGAAGACGGCAACTGTGCTGGACAGCTACTCTCGCATTGAAAAAAAAAAACAAATTTTAGAGGTTTCTCCTTTGTTTTAAACAATGGTTCAATATCAAAGCTGCTCTCCTCTTCGTCGCACGATGACTTTGTGATGATGGAACTCAAGATATTGTCATTTAGTATTCCCGAATCAAAATCGGTTTCTGCGCCATTTGATTTGAATTTTATTTTTCTTTTCCCCGTATTGTAAAGTAGTTTTTGACAATTTATTTTTCAAATACCAAAACAGAGTGAGGTATTTTTTACTTCCAATGGACGATTCATACAGAAAAAGCAAAAACATTCGCCGGCTCAAACTCAAAACGGACTCTGTTCATCCCATTCCAAGATCATCTAATGCCTTTCCCAGATTCAGCCAATAGACAGTCACAATTGTGGATATCCCTGCTTTGGCTTCTGCCGTTGTCTTCACGTTGGTGCTTATCTTATGCACGCGATTTTCAGGCACAAGGGACATCCGCGAGAACAAGGATTCGAGGCGCAACAAGGATTGTCGGCCAGGCCCAGACCAGCACCAAGATCAGGATCAACGTGCAAAAACACGGATAGCTAATGGATGACTTCTGGTCCAGAGAAAATAGCAAGTCGATAACAGGACTGTTTTCATTGTCATACGAGAACTCTTTACCCCTCCACAAAATCGCTCTTTACTGTTGAAACGTCAAATCCCGACATTCAGCGCTGGGGCGTTTTGTTCAGGTCGGTGTGAAATCCACCTCGCTGCCTACGATACGCGGAACAGGAGCTTAGCTTAGTCACTATGTAGTTTACCTGTTCAGTTCGGCCTCCAGTTGCGCAGTTATGATTCGTCTAACCCTGACTCGAAGATTTTGGGTTTAGTGGCGGCGAAGTTAGTTGAATCGAGATCGTTCTGCATCAACACGAGATAAGATCTTTGGACGAAAAACTATTGTCCTCCGTTCCGTGCTTTACCTTTTCGGGTTCTTAAGATACCCCATTCACGATTTTGGCTTGTTGCGTCAAGGGTGATTTGATGTTCCTTTGGATTTGTTCGACGTTTTCATGTCGAGGGGTTCGATCCATCATTTACTCTTTAACATTGGAAATTTCTCCCTGAAGCTGACAAGAGGGAGGGTTGTCAGAGCCTCTGCTTGCAAGGTCGAAATCTCTATATGGGCAAGCGATGGCTACATCGCACAAGCTGTTTCGCGTCTCCTACACTGGAATGCCCTGTATAGAGTATTCCCGGACTCTTCGAAGCCATGCTCTTCCCTATACATGGATTGGTTCGGGCTCTAACCGTGCGTGGAGCTCGAATCAACGAATTGCCACCAGCTTTTTCGTGTTAGCTTGAGGATGAAGCTTGAGGATGAAGTGATTCGTCTGCTATTGCTTTATTGGGGAGCAAGGAGCAGAAAATGGTCGCTTTACAATTTCTTAAATAGGCAGATGGAAGGCAGCAAACAGAGAAACACAACCCTATTGATCCCCAAGGTTTTGGAGGTTGAATTGGAGGGCTGCGTTATCTCGTCAGCAAGCCACAGCTCCTGGAGTGGCTCTTTTGCCGTCGCTCAACTTCCAACGTATCACCGACATGAAAAAGAGGATCAATGGTGCTGGGATTGACTTCAGATTGATTGCTAGAGATCCACACCGTTCAGACGATCCCAAATCTCATCTTTGCCAATGACCTGCTATTGAGAATTGAGAGTGCCGCCAACATTGAAGGGTTAATAATGTCTGTCCCCTTTTCGACCATTAACTATTCAAATTGTTGCTCTCCAAGCATTTGAGACATGGCCCCACTGTTTCAAAACCTCTAGCACGGAAACACTCAGCTAGCGGACTATGGAGTTCAAAGAAACTGTTTGACCCATTTTGAAAAAGATCAAGGTATTAGGAGAAGGAGCAAGTTGATGATTCTCATAAGTTGAAGAAGATGCAACCCATGGAACGAATCCCTATCCCCGTGTGGAGAGTTGAGTCGAGGGATAGAGGAGCTTGTCGCAGGACGCAGCAGCGAGGCGATCACAAGGGAGGGGAAGCCGCTAATACAGCATTGACCCAACCCGGATCCATCTCGAGTTTTGGATAGAAAAACGAGCAGCTTTATAATTTTGGCGCGAGAAAAGAGTTTTAGTCATCACAATGTTCATCTTTCAAGCTCGCTTTAATTTGCATCTTTATATGTAGATGTGAGCCTGCAAGAGGATTACCGGGAGCTCTTTTAGAATTACTATAAAATGCACCTTATGAAATATTGCTAGAACCATGATCTTGGAGTCTCGAGGTTAGATCGTAGAAAGGCGGAGGCAACCCTTTTCAATGCAGCCTGATTGCAACCGTCGAATGTTACCCCTTTTCTTTCTTCAGCGCTACCCTCTATCTGCAGATTTTGGACCCTATAAGTGAGTCCAAGATCTGGTCATGAATCTGGATCGTTTGCAAGATCGTTGCTGAAAGAGGTCAATTGCAGAATCACATCACCCGATACTCAAGAATGATGAGCGTCTAGAAATTTGCAAAGCCTTACTAGAATAAATTGCACTGGTTTTTAATAGTTTAATATCTACAAATAACTCGAGTTACCATGGCTATCCCGGACACGCTCGGCGAGAGCCCATCCACTTCTTTATCGTCCATGGGGTAAGCCAGTCGATGTTGCTTTCAGTGTTGGCTTTACAAAAATATAAAGAACAAGGGAATAACTCGGAATCCCCCCGCGTCAGGGGGAAGTTGGTCGTTGTTTTGATATACGCAGGAAACGGTTCCACATTCCTGAATATGGCGAGCGGCTTTTATCCTCCGTGCATATTAACGACTTGACTCGAAGATAGGGCGATAACTACTTGGTGTTACTGACCTTAACTGCGGATATATCCGTTGCTCCGTCGAGGCGACCTTTCAGAGTCGGTAATAAATACTTCTGCTTGAAACAGTCGCAACTCGAGGACCTCCACCGCGCGCAAAGGATAACTGATCGAAATGGCCCTTATCAAAAAGAATGGTGTTAGCCGCCTGCATCACCCCGCCCGTCCGTTCTCCAAGGGGTACGCGATGAGAAATCAGTCATATGCACAGCACGTCAAAGGCATGTTCACATACGTACATATTACCAAGGCCCATGTCAGTTCCAGCTGTAATCTGGCCCGCTCTTTAACAGAGATTGTTATGTAGGTATTGAGCGCTGTCTGAAGTGATGTATAATAAAGTATACGTCCCCTCTCCTCATACATCCCATTTTTCAAAATTCTTCGCTTCACATTTCTAATCTGGATTCACCTGCATCTTTGACTCCTGATGTTGGACGCACCAACGCCCCCTTTCCTATTTTTCATGCTCGTTTCTCAAAAGAGCCAGTTTCGAGGACACACAGTAACCGGATATACAAGGATCGCTGGAGCTAGTCAGTGGCGCTGGTAGTTTTGTCTTTTGGTGCAATGAATGCATTCCTGAAGATAATTAGCTCGGAGTAGAATGCACGATGCCAGGCATTCTATACGTCTGGATGCACAAGGCTATATTCCGAACGTCTCTCATTTGGAATTTTCCCATACATTGCTTCTGAACGAGAAAGCCTTTTTGGAAAGCCAATAGTGACATGGTTAACCATCGTTAAGGGTGAGAAGGTTTTCACCTCCCAGAGATCAACTCGCGAGAATATGCAAGGAGCCGGGCATTTTTAAGCCACGATATAGAATCCGAGGAAGTCCCACATTTGGGGCAAGGGACATCATACTGTTACTGTTAGAGAGATCCTTGAAAGATCGGCGGGAATAATACTTACGCACATTCCACTGCTTGACTATTGGCACCGAAGTCGCAATACAATACATGCCTTATTTATCTACTAAGAGATCTTCCTAACGGTGTGGGTCATTCTCCAACGATGACGATCCAATACATCCGAACTCTGTTAACCAAACCTCTATGTTTCCACAGAGTTTTTGGGGAAAGGGGGTCAAACGGTATGGGCTCTCGCACCCCATCCAGCATCGCTACAAGACTGCAGACACAGAGACCAGCAACAGCATTTACTAGCGCATGACTTTTTTTCTTTTTTTCTTTTTTTTTTTTTTTCCTTTTATTTATTTTATATTTTTTGGTACTGCATCATTAATGACAGCTCAAATCCGGGGCCTTTGTTCCCAGGCAGATATCACCTCGTTGGTGATGGAGATATCGATATAGCTGTTAGTCCCTCAGGTTGAAACACACCTAGACGCTTTCAAAAGCCTCATTTACCATCCATCATACTACTAGTGTATGTATTCGACTGCACCAGATACGCACCCTTTTCGGAGGATTAAATCTATTTTGCAGAAATACAGGGACGTGTTATCTCTACCATTGTCAGACAGTTAAACCCTCTCTGAAGTAGGGGGGATAGCAACTCATATTATGAAGCAACAGATATCACTTTTGCGCTCTCCGGAAGTCAGGAAAGTTGCTAGATCCTTAGAGCGACCGAGGAAGACAATATGAAAACGGCGGATGAAATGAAGTTGCAAAAAGTAGATGAAACCAAATGCGGCCGTAAATAGCGCTCTTGGAGTTATATACCTCACTTCCAGGGTTGTTGTCGTTTCTTCCAGCAGTACGGCTCCGTACTGTGAGCCTTTTTCAAGCATAGTTATGTTAGTTAAGTACAAAGAAATGAGAAGAATTTGATGCTTCAAGAATATGCTGGAGTTTACATTAATGCTGCACACAGAATAGAGATGAAAAAAAAAAAAAAAGAAAAGTATCTGTGAAGAATTTCTGTGCTATTTAACCTACCCCGTAGTTTGACCTTGACATTGGAGCTTGCAAGAAGCGCTTCAACATGCCAAAGCAACAAACTTTGCCGACATCGGAGCCTGCATAAAAATCATCTTCCAACGGATGGATGACCACATAAGAATGTCTAAATAACAGCATCGAGAAACCGGCGGAATAGCGTGTTTTTACCCTAGATTTGCTTTACGGCGCTTTTGCTTCAATAATCATCAACGGTGTCACCGTAATGAGCGCAGTTTTGGTGCGCAATATAAGTAAAGCATATCGATGGCCAAGCCTGAGATTTTTATCCCGGGTTGGTCTCAGCTGCTTCCTCCACATCAGATTTGATTGCCTCCTGAGGTTTTAATATAGAATTGGAAAATTGAGCATTGGCATGTCGAGCCTCGAAAACCATGCTCGCCATTTCAAACGAAATATCTTTTCCCGCAGCAGCAGCAGCAGCAGCAGCAGCAGAAATGAACACACGATGGACAAGCCAGCAAGGTGTGTTCTAGAGAGGTTGCAACTTTGCCATTCACTTAGCATGTATTGAAGTTGCATTCATTGAAGAGATTTCAGCTGGGGAGATGCGAGGCGTTCATCGATCTCACCAAACAACTCGTCGTTGCCAGAGGGACGGGCTTAGAATTCCTTTAGCGCCGCTTAGCAGGCTTCCGCCCAAGCCTGAATGCAACTTCACCCATATTTCTCCAGCGCATTTACGGGAAAGCAAGGCAGTACCCCTGCTGCGAAACAGCCCGCTTTCCCTTCTTCTGCTGCCTGGGATGTGGGGGAAACTGATCTTTCGCAGCGGACTGCCGTGGAACAAGGCGTATGTCTGAGATGTACGACAGAAATGGATTGCTTGACCAAGAAAGGAAAAGAATCAGACTGCGGCTAGCAGTAGGTATGGAATGCTGCAAAAAAAAAAAAAAAGAGCTACTGGACAAAGGACGACTCTGGAGTTCTGCCGAGATAATCAGGCTCTTGAGCGGTTCGTATAGACATGCTCTGCTAGCTTGCGAGGCATTTGTTTAAGGGGAAGATCTTTCCCCCAGTGCATCTGCGTTTTATATACCCAGGCGGCGCGTGTTTATTTATGTGAGCCTCTCCCATGACAGGTGTCGGTTTTGTCTCTCTTCGACTTCTTCAGTCGCTAACTACATCCTTCACAGGAGTCACTACTACTTTCCCCAAGGCCACAATGCATCTCAATTCCATCCTGCTCTGTTCCCTGGCAATGGCAATGCCCGGCTCTTCCGCTGCACCAAATGCCACAAACGTTGCCGATGTTCCAACTGCTGCTGGACGTCGGCCAATTGTCTATGTCCCCAAATGCCCAAAGAAAGGCACGGTGAAATTCAGCAATTCCGTTCCTAAGGGAACAAAGTTTCCAAAAACCCAAGTCGACCTCTGCTACACCACCGGAAGGTCCTCCGAACTCCGTCTAACCTTCACGGCATTTGATGAAGAGCATTTCCATTTCAATCCCGAACAGGACACCAACGATGATATCTGGGAGTTCTCGGTGATGGAGGCATTCATCAGTTACGGCACGGAGGCACCGCAGACATACCTCGAGTTTGAAGTCAACCCGAACAACGTCACCTACCAGTCATTCATATACAATCCCTCCCGTGTCCGCGCGGAGGGGACCCCGTTTGACCACGCGTTTATTTCCGATCCTATTGGCGATGGAATTACAGCGAAAACAACCCTCAACCGTAACAAGAAGACCTGGGTATCGGATGTGAAAATACCGCTGGCACTGTTTAATGCACCGGAAATACTCTGCGTCACGCGCTGGAGGATGAATTTCTTCCGCACCATCACGTCCCCTGCCACTTTTCCGAAGCAGCAGCTGGGTGGTTGGAATCCACCAGATAAGGCGAGCTTTCACATCACCCCATTCTTTGGAGATGCAGCTTTTGTTTAAGGTCTATGTGTTTCCACGGACAGAGGGGGCGGAATGGTTCATGATATGCTGCTGGATCTGGTGCTTCTGCGGTACGTTACGATGCCCACAAAGGATTCACAGTCGATGTTCTGCGTCTTCCAATTTGTACTTAGCGCCTTTCCCATATGCTCCTGAATGTCAGAGAATTTTAGATCAAGAAGCTAGTGTAGGATGTTGAATTTTTTTTTCAATCTTTAATTTCACATATTTTCCAGAAAATTGAGTCAATTGTTAGAGTATGATCACTGACAACTTTGTTGTTTCCATCAAATCTGTTCTCAAAGTGAACACACACACACACACACACACACACACACACACACACACACACACACATACGTCGTAAACCCTGCAATCCGAACAAAGGTTGCCCAAGACTAGCTTAATGAACCCATCTGATGCAAATCAACGACTCTGGAAATGTAGTTAATATAAGCTAACTAACTGTTGGAACCAGGAACGGATCTCCAAAAGAGAGCTAACTCCTGAGCTCAATTCTAGATGAAGGAGTCCCACCGGTCGCGTATTTCAAATGTAACCCTATTGATTTCTGAGGTGTTTGCTAGCTGGCCCCTCAACTAAATTCCTCCTGGCCTACTACGCTGTTCGTTCCCAGCTTCTTCTCGCTCCAGAGCGCTCACGGTGAAACATCGTTTTGGGCAAATTTTACCAACGGGGAGTAGAGCGGGACATTTTCTGTCAAAAAAAAAAAAAAAAAAAAAAATACGAAGAAAAGTGTCCACACAGGAAGAATGATAAATGTTAACGTTTCTCAAGTGAGTTCCATGGAGGCTTTTTATAGCCTCATGGGGCTTTTGTTGTGGCCTTCTCGTGCTTCGGTTTGATGTCCCGCGTTAAGATCCCAATGGTAGACCCCCAAGCTGCGAGGCCCCCATTGGCCTTTTCGCCCATCGTGCCTCGATGGTAAGCTACTGGATATCGCAGCATAAAGAAGAAAAGACGAGACTTGGATTAGACATTCCTCTTCGGCCATTCCTCATCCCACTCCCGTGTGGATACCAGGAAGAAACCAGGGCGATATAATAAACAAACGTCATTTGCTGCTATCGCTCTTCCCATCTAGCGCCATCATATCCACGCAACCTGTCTCTCCTCCCCCCCCCTACTTGAATTTGTACACAGCAAAAACAAAACCGTGACCCAGCAACTAACGGCTTGTGCCCGGGCGCAGGCCAAGAGTGATCTGGAGTAGCCAACAGTCAACAGGTTTGGATTACAGGTCTCAAATAGATACCAAACCATGGCAACTTTGGTTTGAGGCACCGATCATGATGATTTGGGTGTTGAGCATGAACGGGATGCCGAAACAATGCAGGGTCATTTTCCTGATCACGGAGGGTAATTCGGTACTAGGTGCCCAGTAGAGGGCCAGGCCACTTAGGTAACTATCTGAAAAAAAAAAAAAAAAAACAAAGACGGGCTGAATGAACATAGCAGCCGCTGGGGTTGGGGCGATTGCTCAAATATTAACCGTCAAGGCAAGCGACGAGCTTCATGTCTCTGATAAAGCGCCTGGAAGCACCTATTCTGCGCAATTAAATTATCATGCTACCCATACCACAAGCATGCTCAGTTCCAATGGACGAAAAAAAAGAAACGAGAAAGGAGAATATGGTTAATGCCATTGGGACCAAGAGCAGGCAGTCTTCTTGGGGCGCGTAGGTTCAGAGACTGAATCATCAATCAGTCAGTCCTCACGGGTCGATGCAGTTAGGCATCGATTTAAGCATGAGTCAAGCCAGAGAGATCACTGGGGCTCTAGGCATGAGAGCCCCGAGTCTTAGGCATTATTAGTGTTCCGCTAATGGCACAACCAACCATTTCGTACATTGAGGCGTGGCCATGCCACCGTGGTGTGTCTCCTTTTGGTGCCATGGGCAAAGTAGAGCTTTTGATGAGACTGCATTTCTAAAGAATATGGAAACTTCGTCGGATTGTTGACGGGTTGTTTATTATGGTGAGAGAATCAAATTTACATAAAATATATATATATATATATATATATATATTAAAAACATACGACAGCCGGGATTCGCTGGTGGTCACCCACCCAACTACTAACCGGCCGGCGAGTGGCTTAAGTACGGCTGAGCGGACGGGAAGCCCTGTTTTCCACTCCCTGTGGTCGTATGTACTAGTCATTGGTTTAAGCAGATGATATAGCCAGTTTTATTCAGCATAAATAAGAGAAGCTCTTATTATTTGTACATACAGTGAAGTCGTCTGGATATATCTACAAAAATATTTGGTTGTTGACTGAATGAATGTATTCTGGAAACCAGGTGTGATTGCATGTTGGGAAGAGCAGTGATTGATATAACTAGACTCGCACTGATTGAGTTCCTGAAGGTCGAACAGTAGCAGACGTACTTCCAACTCTTCAGGCCGGGGATGGATGTTCTTCCAACTTTTCAAGTGTCTTCGGGTGGGCTTGCAAGGTGCCATGCCATGGTTGTTTGGGTGCGGTGTGTGTGTGCGGCACACACACACACACACACTCACTCACTCACTCACTCACTCACACACGCGGAAAGTCGCAGATCTACCGCCGACGATACCTCGGATGGTTTTCCTCCTTCTTTCGTTGCATCAACTCGCGTCTTCCAACCATTTTAACTACTCGTTACAGGCACTTGTGCAATTGACTGCGCAATCGCTGGACGACCAGAAAATCCCACTAGAATCCTTATTCCTTGTTCTGAGAATACACGGAGTTATTCCGACCAAATGTCTCCGCAGTAGTTCCTCGCTTCCCGAAAGGAGTCTGGGTGTGTGAGGTTTACGGGCAAAGTTGGAAGAAAAGTGTTTGGGGGGATCCATCTTTGACAATTTACAACTACTCTTATTTTACAACGCAACGTTTGGAAAGATGGCAGTGGCTTCTTTCTGTCTGATGCAGCAGCATAGAAAAGAGTTGTTGGAAGAATTACGGTTTGGGAAGTTTTTGGAAGAAAGGAAAAAAAAAAAAAAAAAAATCCGACACAGGCAGGATTCGAACCTACGCGCCCGAAGGCATGAGATGGTCTAGGCTAACCGAAAGCGGGTTGGATGGCCCGCTCCGGCGGAATTCGAGTCTCACGTATTAACCACTCTACCACTGTGCCTGGGTTGCCAGCGTCTGAGTCGTCCGCCCTTGAGTTTTGTAGCCGGCGGGTTCCCGGCCGGGCAGAGGTTTGTTCCCGCCAAGTTTTCGAGAAACAAAAACATGTATGTATGTATGTATGTATGTATGTATGTATGTATGGGAGATGGTTTAGCATTCGTTCAACTCAGATTTATTTTCACTTTATGTGGAGACTGACTCCTTAACCCTTGAGGTAGTTGTAGTGGCCCGTGATTCAAGATCTTATCTATGTAAGTTACACAGTACCGTGTATAGATTAAATAAAATACAGCATTATAGTTATTATTAGTCTATACTGCCTTGTATTGACAGGAGCAACTGATGAATACGTGAGGTATCTGGAATATTTGGGGGGTTGAGCATCGAAAAGTTTTACTTTTTGCTGAAATTTAAAGCTGAAGAATAATGAATGAGTGAGGCAATGCAATGGTGACGGAGCTTTCTGCTTGGACGATCTCTTGACCAACCCGGGGCGGGGGAACAAACCTCAACGAAGGAATCAAGGGTTATTTATTTATTTCTCACGAAGCTTTCATGACTCCGCTCTCTGCTGAAATTAAATGCACACATACATTCAACAAACAAGAAGCTGAGCCAAAAAGAAATATGGAGTCTATGGCACGTCTTTCGCCTTGTCTGAGACTGAGAGCTGATCGCAACCCGAGAATATACACATCACGTGGAGTGTGAGGTGTGCTTCGTTCGCCTGCCGAAGACGAGTTGTTCCCCACCTTTGTCCTAGCGCCGTGATCGGGCTGAGCCTGGGATGGGCTGTGTGTGTGTGTGTGTGTATGTGTGTGTGTGTGTGTGTGTGTGTGTGTGTGTGTGTGTGTGTGTGTGTGTGTGTGTGTCTTGGAGCCTCACGATCATTGGACGGAACCACGACAAGCCAACGGGGATTGCCTGCATTTGACGAGGCTGAACATTTAACTCGCGGCCATTCCATGGGGAGATCTTCATGGACGGACGGGGCTGTCGGCAAATCCCCCGGATTTCGCGACGGTGTCCCCAGAAGGAAACACGAGAGCAAGCCCAGTGGTGGACAGCTGGCAGGCCTTGTCCATTTTCTGCGCATTCAAAAGCTTCTGCTGGGCTCCTTTTCGGGGCTACTTCTTGTTGGTTCTCGGATTCAGAATATCAAATGTCCTTTTCTGAGCAGGGCGGGGTTGTCCTCTCTTCTTTCTTCGTAATCGCTTCTCGTTTATGAGACCTTCGTTTCTCCAGATATTCTTCGAGATAGAACCTCCTCTCAGTCGTCGAACCACGGACCATGATGACAAGCCGTGTAGTCAAAAACCAATTAATTTTCCGCCTTTCCGATCCAACCAAATCCTCGAAGAAAACTGGGGGAAGGAGTGGTGAACCAAAAGATGCTGTCTACCATGCTCGTCGGCCCCATCGCAAGTCCCGAACTGGCTGCCTGAACTGTAGAACACGGAGAGTCAAGGTACGTACCGAGAGGCTGGGTAACGATTGGTTTCCCAGGTGAAGAATCCCATGTCCCGGAAGAACTTTTCGCGTTCGCGGTACAGCCTGTGTTAAATCATTTCCATTTCTAGTGCGATGAGACAAAGCCCAAGTGTCGAAAATGTGACACGCATGGGATATGCTGTGACTACGTCGTAGCTCTAGCCCACCCTCGTCGAACAGGATCACTTGCGCAATTTGGTCGGGAGGCGACTCGCGTCGATATTTCGCTTTCGGGTATGCAATTATCCATGTCCATGGTCGATTTGGCCGATAGAATTGAACGGGTGATCCGACCCAACATGTCCAGATCAACAACCCATAACACCGTAAAGTACTTTAGTCATTTCAAGACAATGGCCGCGCAGGCTTGTTCGTTGTCAAACACCCATAAGCTGGTCATGGGCGGCGAAATGATCCAAGTTGCTTTCCAGGTACTGTACACTCCGTTTTGCCCATGTCGGCTACACCCCGTTTAAACGGCTAAAGCATGTTCTCTCACTAGGCTCCGTACCTCATGCACGCTATTTTTGGAGTAGCTCTAACGCATCTCCGCCATCTTCTGCCGCATGACACATCGTATGCCATATTTGCGGGGATCCACTGGCACCGTGCAATACAACTGTACCGAAAGGAAATCTCGCAGTCGATCGACGAACACAATATGGACCCTCTTTTGTCTGCCTGCATGCTATTGAGCACTGTCATTTTCGCCGCCGATGAATGCAATCCTTCCGACTCTTGGATATTTTCGTCGGACCCCACAAAACTGAGTTGGCTTCTTGGTCAATCCGGGCTGCAGTATATCCTCGAAGCTGTCTCGGAGGAACAACGACGACAAAGCATTTGGCTCAAGGTTTTTCAGGAGTACGATGATGCGGATTGCAGCTCCCGATGCAACACTCCCGGCCTGGATGGACTGCACCGGGGACTGGCAGAGCTGTGCGAGATCAATGAAACGACCACCGGTGAGACCAGTCCATACCACTGGCCACTTCGATTGCTTAGTCCGATGTTAAGTCTCAGACCGGACGGAGGTAACTTTTCAAAGTTGATCCCATTCATGGGGAGACTGGACCCAGCTTACACTAGTCTCCTCCAGAAGAAAGATCCCAGAGCACTGCTCATACTAAGCTACTGGCTCGGGAAGATGTGTGAAGAGAAGCAGTGGTGGATATACTCTAGAGCCCATTCTGAATGTTTCGCAATTTGCATGTATCTCGAACACAGTGAAGATGAACGAATTGTGAATCTGCTCCGGTACCCCGCTGAGAGATGCGGCTATATTTTCGGCGCCCCCCGCCCCCCCCCCCCCCAACCCCCCTCCATTCTCGATGAAATGATCGGCCAAAGAACGTATCCATACTATTGATTTTCCTTGACCCGGGTTGGGGGGGGGTAATGGATTTCCGATAGCCACGGCGTATCGACGGTAGCTGGGTGCTGTTTCTCACCCTACACCGATTGTTTCGGGTGGCCAGTTCGGGGGTTGGTTTCCGGATGTTGTTGTTTCATATCAATGGGTGTGTAGTTGCGGTGGCACTACCAAGGCGGCAATGGTAGCAAAATGTCTCAGAAGCTTCAAAAGTTAATTAGGTTCGAAAGGCACTCCGAAGTTTAAAACTCTGGGATATTTACCGGACGTTATCGCATTCTGAACCCATTTTGGTTCCGCTTAGTTGAAATGGAAAAGCTAAAGTGATAATCATATCTGATCTAGTTTTAGATGCAAAAATCATAGTAATGTCAGTCAAATGGGTCCGTTCCCTTCGAAGGATTAAGCCAACTTTGCCGATATCGGGTTTTTCTACGACAGTAACTTCGACTTTCAAATCACCTCTCCTTTGAAGGTAGGAAAATAGGCCAGGCCAGCATTTCAGACACCAATAGGAGAGAGCCCAGGTTGTACCAGGGGCCTTTTGCCTTAAAAGTTTATGTAACTACAGTTAGGATCTAGGGCATATGGAACTAGCCTCCCGATGAAACAAAGAGAAGCTCCTAAATATCCCATATTTTTAAGTCCTTGATCTTCTCAATACCAACGACATTGGGAGCCGGCTGGAAATTGATCTATCCAATTTCGGTGAACCGGTGCTTGGATCTTGATTGGAGGATGCTAACAGAAGAAAGTCTGTCATTGGGCGAGACTCAAAAGTGAACTATCAAATATTGAAAGAACTAGGGCAACGTAGTGGCCTGTGAAAAGGCCATGTAAATCCCGTTCCAAAAAGAAGCACAACTATTTAGTGATCCTAAGAAGAGCTGAAGGGGGGATTCATGGATGTGCTATTCGCATACCCCGAGACAGATCGCCATGTAGCGGAATTCCGCGTTGGAAAATGAAGACCTTAGCCAATTGAGGTTTTATCGCATACTCGCGTCGGTGGCTGTAATTTCCTGGGGAGTCTGACTGCGAAGTAGAGTAAAATATTTGGATCGATGGTTCCAATTGTGTGCTCTTGATCAACTGTAAAGAATAGTCATCCATGAGACAACCGCGCTGCCATAATATGTGTTCCTCCATAAGTAAACGCAGACGCGGCATGTTGCTCGTGCCCCCTCTCACCACGGATATTTGTGTATATTCCTCGTCAGTTCAATAGGGGCTGATGATGGGTTAAACCTCTGAAGTCAAAGCCGGCGTACCATTGCCCAGCTACCGGTAACCTCCCAGATCTCCCAGATCTCCTCCTAGTGGCTCACTTGCATTGACGTCCATTTTTCAAGGGGTCTTCATCTCCATGGATATATGAGTAGTAAGATTGGGATATTTAACTTACACTCCGTAGTTGGTAGAAATTGGGTTTTGCTGCTACGCTTGAATATTCGTGAGAGAGAGAGAGAGAGAGAGAGAGAGAGAGAGAGAGAGAGAGAGAGAGAGAGAGAGTCCAACTGACCGGTATTTAAGTCACTGACAGACACGATCCAAGACTTGGTCAAGTTGCTCACATTCTTCGCAAATCATCGACATTAGCTAGTTAAACAACCAAGAACCAAAGCCACAGCCTGCGGACTCCCACGAGAGCTACGGAATATTCCCCCAGGATGCCGGACTTCTCTACTAGCTCGAACTCCTCTGGAGTCTACACCTACAAGTCCTCTGGAACAAACAGCCAGGTGAGAGAGAGAGAGAGAGTCACTCATGCATTCATTCATTCATTCATTAACCGCTCTCCGGGTTGAAGTAGCAATCTCATGATTTATCTCACCCGTGGATGGAATCTACATGCTTAGGGGAATCACTATTGCTCCCGCGACTACGACTCCGGAGCCGCCAACTCCAACTCTTACCACTACTCCAACAGGTGAGTTCTCCGCACAGTCCCCAGATAGAGACCCCTGTGTATTTCCGGAATAGCCGTGAGGGAGGGGATGGACGCATCATTGACGGTCCTCGGTGCACTGCACCCACTGACTGACCTTGATCCTCTTCTCTCTGCCCCTTGCAGCAATGGCTCCTATTACTACAGCAACCCCAGTGGCAGCACCTATTACAACAACGGCAAAGGCTCCTTCACCTTCACCGCTACCAGCGGCAAGAAATAGGTCTATGCTGTCCCTTGCTGTCGGCCGGTGGAAAGTTCGTGATCTGACGGAGGGGGGGGGGGGGGGGGGGATGGATAGTTTGGGACCTGAAAGGTGACTTTTTGACATTCTCTGTTGTGTTTTGTCTTTGATGAGTAGTTTTGGATATATTATGGATGAGATACCCTCATACTACTTTGATTGGTCTTGTAAGGGCTCTCGGCGATCGCGTTGGATAGGATTCGGATTGGCAGTGGAATGAATGTTTTGATATGTAACTTATCTTGCGCTCTGGCAGACAAACAGTGCGTTATCTAGGGCTTTTTGACCCCCGGATTTAATTCAGAGAGTTACATTGATGCATCTTTTCCCCACAAAACTCCTGTGTAATAGACTGGCTATGACGATAGCATGCGCTTATTAGGCATTGAGGAAGAATTAGCTATTTAGCTTGGTGAGGACAACGGTGCTCGGGAATATCCCACAACAAATGGCAGCTGAGCTATCATCAGAATCTTCACCAACTGGTGAAAATCCATTACCTACTGTACAATTAGTTGTCCTTTTCCTCGCTCTCTTCGTTATTCCGCAATCTGCAGGCTGGATACCGATGAACAAGACGTAGTCGCCAGGCTTTACTTGACATCATATCTTGGATTCCTCCGGCTCCCCCACATCCCACGATGATGATGAAGTTCTCTAGAGAACGAACGTGGTCCAAGACGGAGCTTACCTCTAGCAATAATAATGTGCTGCCTCCACTGCAACCTCCGCCGCGTGTCGAGACCGGAACCAGTCCCCGTCGAACAACCCGTACGGCGGAAATGTCACTGCCGTCTATCCACCGCCAGAGAACAACATGGCCTCTGATACTCCCCGCAGGTCCCCCAGACGTCCCATGATTTGAATCTGTTTGGATTTGCCAGTCGCAAATTGGCGGCATGTCCAGCTTGTAGAAAATAAAAAAGGTTGTTGTCGACTATCTTTCTTCTTCCAAATCTCACCTGTCAATTCCTTCGATTACTCAGAAGACGTACTGCACTTTTATCCGGGGCATGTTAACATTGACCGAAGCTACACCGTTATACGGACAAAATGCAACTTGGAGAATGGCAATCCCCCATGCAAAACGTTGCCTGGAGCGCGGTGTGCCCTGCTCTCCCAACAAAACGATGCGTGCCGCACCACTTCCACCACTTCCACCACTTCCACCCCCATGTCCGCCTCTTCGCGGCCATATCTCTTCTCAAAGGAGTAACCCGGTTCAGATGAGCGCATGTTGATGTCGACCCAGTTCCGGTGACTAGCACGAGCAGGAGAGGTTCTCGATGTTTTCAGCCACTGTCCCTGTGCGAGACAGCATCTCGTCCACCGGACTGTGGGCCGGTTGAAGGAATTGATTCTGCGGGTGTGAGGCGCGGCTTGCGCAGGACGTTCAGGGAAAATTGGTGGGGGCGATGAAAATCACAGAGATGTTGGTAGTTATATGATGACGATAACGATAGCCAACAGCAATAGCACGGCCGCGGTTAAGGTAAATAGCATATCTGAAGAGGTGCAGGGCCATTCCACACAACTACAAATCACAACCACAGTCATAATGGCAGTGGTAATACCAGCGGCATATAGCAATCCCCTGGATGATGGTTCCCATTCCAATCAGCGCGCTGGGTGGTTTTATTTGGAGAAATGTGATTTCCTGTCCACGTTGCCGCCGTCGTGGGGAACGAAAATGTTGATTCCTGACATGGGTTATGTTGTATATTAATGATTGATATCCACAGCCTGAGCTGTCCTGAAAATTTTGACTGTCCCCACTAAAATATCAAGAGATACATCTGCTCGACATGTATTATCCATTTTCCCATTCTCTGCTTATAGCTCCTTTGTAACGGAAGCCCCCCCCTAAACCAGCATTAAAGTAGGAATCACTCCCCCCCTCCCCTCCCCTTTACAACTATCTCACTCACGCGATCCACTTTCAACCCGCACCAATGCCCCCTTGGCTTTCAGCTTACAAAACCACAGATTCTCCTCCGCAAACATCCACATCCCATCTGGCGCAAAGCAGAAATTCGCCGTTTCGCCATCAACAACAATCTTCCCCGCCAGAGTCCCTTCACTATCCCAAACATGCACCCCGTCCCCGCACCCAGAATACACATATCCTTTCTCGTCACACTTGATCCCATCCGGCACCCCCTGGTGACAATAGGCAAACAGCCGCCGATTCGCCAACCTCGTGCCGCCTTCAACCACATCGTAAACATAAATAGAAGCCGGGCCCGTGCCGCGGAATGAAAAATTATGGCCATTGCCGATTCCATTGTGGGCCTGTATCGCGCCCGTATCCGTGACATACATGCGCTTGTAGTCCGGGCTGAAACAAAGCCCATTGCACATCTCAAACTTGTCCGCGACGGCCCAGCATTGACCCGTCGCCGGACTGAAGCGATATACTTGTTTTGGCAAACAAGGAGTCGGGCGAAATGCCTGCTGGTACCCGTACGGCGGGTCCGTGAACCAGAGGTCCCCCGTACCGTGGTGGACGACGACGTCATTTATTGAGCAAAATTCACGCCCGTAGAAGTTGTTTACAATGGTCTCTGTGGTGCCAGCGACGGGGTCGACAAGAACGAGGGCGGATGGCTTGTCGCTGCTGCTGCTGCCGCTGCTGCTGCTGCTGCTGCTGCTGCCGCTGCTACTGCCATCGCCTTTCGTCCTCCCAATATCACCCTGGGCGCAGTAGAGGACTTTACCATGGTAATTACAGCCGCCATTCGGCTGGCTTACGGCGTCGAAACCGGGCTTGCAGTTGAGTTTCTCGATCTTCCAGGTGTCAAGGTTAATAGCGTAGAGGTCGATCTTGGGGTCGCTGGTTTGGTAGTTGGATGTGAAGTAGACACTGTTTGTGCTTGGTACGTAGATCCCTGCTTCGTGCGCGAATCTGTCATTCTGGCCCACGCGAGAGGCGACTAGGGTAAGCTGCGGGCTGCTGCCGAGGACGTCGCGGGCGAATCTGTCGCTATAGACTACGAAGGAGGGTGGGGAGTTGAAGGAACGCGCATATGAGATATCAGTGGCGGCGCGCTTGTTGTCGACGTAGGAGATCCGGTCGAATGTCGCCACGGGTGGAGAACGACCGATCGTCATTTTTACGGTTTAAATTTATGTGCGCAGTTTGTGTAACGAGGGAACTGGGCAACGGTTTGAGGTGTTGTAGTAGCTAATGGCGTTAAACTTGAGCGAGTCGCTGAAGACTTGTCGACAATTGAGACGTCCGTCCCTAAGGTGGTGGTTGTTGTTGTTGTTGTTGTTGTTGCAGTCAGCACCGAGAAGAGGGGAAACTGTAGTATACTGCCACCCCGCTGCAGCCCGCGGAACGCAAGGGAGGAAGAACCAGGAAGGGGCATAATTAACAGTTAACTATCTCTATATTTACTCTATCGCAGAGCGAGCCGCTGTTTCTCCACAGAGAGTGTCCTTGGTTTGCGTGTGGCAGCGATTTCCACCCATGTTAAAGTGAGGCCGGGCTGATTGATGATTGTAGCTCCCGGTTATCCAACTTCTCCGCCTCCTCCCAATTGACCCCTTTCGCTGGGTGCCTACAACTTTCCAAAGAAGGGCCATGCAGGCCCGATGAGGAGTTGGGCTACCGGGAAACGAAGCAGTTAATCATCACCCCGAACCCGGTGCCATTCGTACATACATACCATCGAATATCTAACTCCGATTATCTCCAGAGGCAAGAGTCGAAAATAAAGCGCAACTGCATGTGGGAAGGAGGAAGAAACCATATATACCGTGTCCATCTTCGTCCTAGCTACCTACCTATGGTGGATAATGTGTGAACGTAGAGATAGCATACTTGGTCCAAGTACCTGCGACAGGGACAGACGATAGGAGAAACGAGAGGGTGCAGACACTGCAGACACAAGTTGAGAGAGAGAGAGAGAGAGAGAGAGAGAGAGAGAGAGAAATGAAATACGCCTTTGAAAATTGCTGAACTTCGCATATATAAACACAAGGTTAGCTGCACTACACCGGTAAAAGAGACGCCAGCCCATGATCTGAAAACATATAATTAAAAAGCGTTGTCAAGCAAGAAAAGAGGAAGAGAATTGTAGCAAAATCGAAAATGGAAGCAGGCAAGGGAAATGAGAACATCATAAAAAAAGAAGAAGCTTCTGAAGTGTACATCTTTAGTCGAGATCTTGGGAAATCCGAAGGCTGGGGAATAAACCGAGTTGGGTATGGATACTCTGTCTGTATGCTGTGGACAGCTCCATGGAAGGAAAAGGGGGTAAATCGGTTCGTGAAATGGAGCCGACGAGCTGGAGGATAGGACAGGACAGGACAGGACGGGGGATTGAGTTTAGAGTAGTGCGCCGCCTTAGACAGGCCATGATGCTACATGTGAGACAGACACAAATTGGAAAAATGAAAATGCCCCCTTACTCCTCATCCTCATCCTCACCATCGTCCCCGTGATCCTTCATCTCCACATCGTTATCCTGATCTCCCCCCTCCTCCTCACTCCCAGCTTTCTCCCCAGCCTCATCGCCACTAGCCTCTCCGAAAAGGTCATCAGCGTCATCCCCACCCGGCGACGCAGCTCTCTCCCCTCCTTCCTCCTCCTCCTCCTCCTCCTCATCTACGACACGAAGATTAACCTTCTTCCGCCGCCGCTGAACAACGGCATCCTCATCCTCGTCTTCCCCATCACTAGCAGCAACATCGCGCATATCCTCATCCCTATCCTCAACTTCAGAAGAAGAGCCGGCGTCCCCAGGCCCCCCATTGGCAGACCTGGCTCGATCACCGTCCCCACCTTCTCCCTCCTCACTCTCCGACTCAACAACAATCTCACTACTCTTATACTTACTGGACCTAACCACAGACCGTCTCTCCAGTCGTCTCCGCTTGCGCGGTGCCGGCTGATCCTCCGCATCAGAATCCACCACACTCTCCGGACCCGTACTCCGATCCTTCGACTTCCTCCCACCGCCGCCGCCGCCGCCGTCAGCAGCACCATCATCACCATCCTTCTTCTTCCTCTTAATGATAGCCGCCCTCTTCTTCCTCTTCACCTTATCCCCCGTTTCGGAATCGGTAGTATACTCCGCTTCCTCCCTCGCCTTCTCCTCCTCAGCACGTATGGCCGCAAGCCGCTGCGCCTCCTCAATCAACCGCTGTCGATCCTCAGCAATCTGCCGCTTCCGCTCTCTCTCAACCTCTTCCGCCTTCCGCTTCTCCTCCTCACGCCGCCTCAACTCAGCCTCCCGCGCTTCCCGGGCCTGCTGCAGCTTCGTCGCGTTCTTCTCTTCATACTCCTTCTGGCTCTGGAGGGTCCGCTCGAGCTTTCTCCGCATGGTATTTCTGCCCATATTCGCCCGTTGCTCCAGGGCGCCACGGGGGTAGGGTGGTTTCTTGGCCTTGGAGATTTGGGTGAACGTGCTGATCGCCTCATCTAGACCTTTGGATGCGGCTTGGACGTCTCGGAGAGTCTTTTGCGTTTCTGGGAGGGATATGACAAGTAAGGCGATCTGGTTTTGGACGAAAGCGACGTTGAACTCGAGATGAATTTGCTCGGGGGCGATGGCGCGAGCGCGCTGTGTGCAATCCAGAGCGGTGTTCATCGCGGCCAGGCTCTTTTCTTGCATTCCTTTCAAGAGCCAGACACGACCTAGGCAAGCCAAGATCTGGGTATCGTGTTGTCTGTCCTTGGAGAGCGCGGCCTCGTACTAGATTTAAGTCAGCAAACACGTAGCTCGACACTATGTTTTCGAGCAATGAAGGAACAGTGACTTACGTTCTCAATGGACCTAGTAAACTGCCTCAGCTCAGCATACACGTGTCCAAGGTTGAGATAAACACTCGCATCCCTTAATGTGTCCCGGACACGCGTAAAGATCTGCACCGCAGTCGTATAGTCCTTCCTATCATCAACAAGCGCAATCGCAATGCCCTGTGCCGCATAAGCATTCTTCGGATCAAGCTGCAACGCCTTATCAAAGAACTCCACAGCCTTCTCATACATTTTCCTCCGCTTCTCCTTGTCCTGCTCGGTATCTCGTCTCATATCCCGAGCGGCAAGGAGGTAGATGTTACCCATCCCCGTAAGAGAATACCTATCGTGTTTATCATAACCTTGCAGCGTATGTTTGTAGTGTCGCTGTTCATGGTCCTCGGCAATATTTGTTACCCGCCTCTTCGATTTGCTGAGGTACCAGCCAAACAGGGCGCGGACTTCGAGATTGGTCGATTCCAGTTCATACAATTTGGCCATTTTCTTGGGCCCTTCGTCGGTAGGACTTTGGCGCAGTGCGATGTAGGTCAGTCGCGCATTGGCTTCAGTGTAATCATTGTGCCGCTCTAGCAGACCTTCGTACACCTTCTTAGCTTCATCGGGCATAGACGCCGCTTCGTAAGTTCTAGCAAGGTTATAACTGATCGTCGTGACAAGTGCGTCTGTGTCGGTTGTATCGTCTTTCTCTCGTGACTTCACACATGCATTCAGTGCGGTCTGGAACATATGGCGTGCCTGCTCAACCTTCTCAGCATGATACAAGAAGCAGCCCATATTGTTCAGCAATTGAGGAGACAGATTCTCCCGAAGCAGGTTTGTCATTGTTTCTTCATCGTCGATATCCTCGGGACGATCCGTATCCGGGATCTGACCAAGCTGCATCTGTTCCACCTGTTGCAGACACTGCATGCTCTTATCCGGCGCATTGTTCTCGTAAAGCCGTGCAAGGTAGAGCAGAACGGATTCATCAGGCGAGAGCCTTTTCTTCTCGTCCTTCCATGATGCACGAACAGACTCGAGAAGGCTAATAGCTTTCCTCAGCTCAGCTGACTTGTCTTCCTTGAGCGGACTTGCTTCAGCTGCAAACACTTCCTCCGCAAGAAGTGCACCAAGAAGTGTCATTGATTCCGGATTCTTCGTTTGCTGAATGATCTTCTCCAATCGGAACTTGGCCCCATCGTAGTCCCCAGTTTGAACTTGCATCTGGACAGCGCCAAATTTGGCGGGAAGATACCCCTTGTCACTACCACCCCTGGCCTGATCTGACCTGCTGTAATATTCGTTGGCTTTGGAAGCTTCTCCCTCAAAGTGCTCTTTGCGAGCCAGTAGATACCATCCATCACTAGCAATCGCGTTGACATCGGTGAGTTCGATCGCCTTGCGGGCAAGGGCTTCGACGGTTGGGAAGTGTTTGCGGAGGAGGAAATAGCCGCCAAACATGGCACAGGTTATGGGATATTCCTTGTCCAGTTTATATGCCTTCTGCGTGTACTGCGTCATGGCTAACTTGTATATGGACCCGAAGGACGGGTCGTTAGTTGCATGACGAGAGCTATCATAGAGATAGTAAGCTCCAAGAAGGATATTCGCAGCCTTAGATTCAGGATTCTGTGTCGTACAGATTGTTAGTAATGTTCTTGAAGTGGATGAGCTTAATGACTGCACTCACCAAAGCCAAAGCACGAGTCCAAGCTGATTTGGCCTGCTCCTTAAAATCCAGCTGCCACAGACAGCATCCAATACCAATTCGAGGATCCGGATCTCTCATATTAGGCATCTTCATCAGAACCTCCTGGTAACCTTCCAGCGCCTCTGCATATCTACCCAGCATATAATGCGCCCTCGCCCGACCAAGTATAGCCATAACATTTCTGTTCCCGAAAGCCTTAGCCGACTCATCGAAGCATTTCAACGCCTGCCGCAAGGACTCTACTCGTTCCGAAGTATCTACCGTCCCGGGCCTAATAGCCCTTGCGGGAGGATGTAACGAGGCGCGCAATAACGACAAAACTCCCCGTGCGAGAAACAGAGGCGGAAACGCGGGATTTAGCCGCGACGCCTCGTTGAGAATCGACGTAGCAGCTTGGAGGTAGAAATCCTTAGTTTTTGCTTCAGACACCAGCTGGCCCTCCAGGGCCACACGAGGAGCCTGCCTGGCTTTCAGCATGTATAGCCAACAGATCCAACCCAGCAGGCCGAGCTTCTCCTTGGTCATTCCCTGGGCGAGGGACGAGAGACCACGATTGAGAATGTCAATGGCATGGTCAATTTGGTTTTGCTTCGCGTATGCGAGTGCGATGATGACCCAAAAGTTCTTTGCGGCTTTTTCGTTGTCGAGGAGGGTGCAGAGTTCGGTGGGGTCGTCGGGGAGCTCTTCGAGGCTTATCTCGACTTCGCTGTCGAAGGTGGAGGCGGGGATGTCGATGGCGGAGGGAATATCAGAGAAGCGGTAGCCAGACGAAATGGCATTTTGCTCTGTAGATGAGCCGTTTGTATAGCCATTTTGTAGAGGTGCCATGGTTGAAAGCGCAGGGCGGGTTTGGGGATTGAAGGGAGAGAGACAGAGAGGGTATGAGAAGAGGCAAGGCGGCGCGAGGAATAGGCCTGCAAGGGGACGACCAGTGGAAGGTCTAGGTCATTATCGGAGATGTCAGTGGAATACACTGCATGCCACAAACAAAAGCAGGCCGTCTGTAGTAGTGAGTAATCAGTAGAGTAAAAGAGGTGTGTTCTGTATCGGGATGTTGACTTTTGATCTGCTTCAAAAGTTAATGGAGATGTGGCTTGGGGTTGCGAACAACAGTAAATCACCAGCCACAACACACGCCACGTAAGAATTTTGGAGTACTGCACGTGATCCGTCAAATCCCGTGACCTTAGGGCTGCATCTTAAGGGAGTAAAACAAAAAGTCAGTCCATCAAGAGCCAAAGTAAAGGCAGCAATGATAGTTTATGATATTGATCTGGAATATCATAAGAATAGAGCAATGCCGATAGCACCGAAATATCCTCTAAACTAGCTGTTTGCAACTCTGCCAATACTATTATCGCGTGAGCAGATAGTCCGAGGTCGCTATTATCAAACAACACGACAAATCATCCAAGTAATAGTGGTATTAATATTCCAAAATCTCCCTTTTCAGGGGGGACCTCAACTATATCATTACCGTTCTATCCAACAAAATGAAAACTACAAACCAAGTAGCAAAAGTATCCAAAAAAAAAAAAAAAAAAAGGCAGCTACATAAGTCCACCCTTTTCCAAAAAGGACAGCTTATAGCAATGGGTATATATCCAACAACATACACCAAAATCCAAAAAAAGCTTCATTTCCACATCATTTCCACAACTTAGGGAGCTGACATAACACAGCACCCAGTACCGCAAGAACGGCAAATATCTGCAACGACTCCACCCACCACGATAACTTGACTTCAGACTCGAAATAGCTGGGGTTATTAGCCGTGACAACTTTGTCACTGCCAGTGTCACTGCGGTTATGCTGTACTTCACCATCCCTCAAATCAGACTCCCACTCACACGGCGGGAACCGGCCCGTCTCATAGAACTGTTCGAGGAGGTCATCCTTCTCCCTCCAGCGTTGGAGGATCCACCCCTCGAACTCGTTCTGGTCATCCAGCGGGATTTCAGAGATGGGGAAGCGCCTCCAGTAGAAATTGACGACTTTTGGGGGACGGCCTTGGAGGTATGTGGAGCGGATGGTGAAGAAGGCGTCTGGGTAGCTTCCCTTCCTAGTTATATGAAATCGACCGTTAGCTCTTGGCCCTTTATTAGGAACTGGGTTTAGACATCTTACGGTGGGCCCTCATATCCAACTGTACAGTCATATACCCAGTCAACAGTGCCTTTGAGCTGCTGCAAGCAGAAGAATAACCCTGTTGACCGGGGAAGAATCTGATGTCGCAAGGGTGGAATCCCATGCTTTTCACCGTACCCATCGCTGATGCGCTTCGTATTGCGGGACAGATTTGTTCCCTCGGGGAAAATAAGAAGCCACATTGGATCCAAAATGCGCAAACCAGGTCTGCTACAACTCTCATGGTACGTTTTCAGTTTCTCCAGCCGATGTTGCAAGCGTGGTTTATCCGCAGCCCACTTTCTCGCCATGAAGATGAAGCCGTAGAACATCATCCCCTGGCCAATTACGGGGATGTACTTCAGTGACTCCTTGAGAATGATGTAGATGTGCCCGTGCATCTGAGCTGTGTACGAGAACCACCATAAGTAAAGCCAATCCGTGTAGACCTGGTGGTTAGCAATCATCACAATCCGATCGGGGAAATACGTCTTCAACTTCGCGCCACCGCTGGCGCTGCCGCCTCTCGTCAGTCCAAACTGGCCCTGCACGCTCTTATCCCCGCTGACGCGGATGGGGGTTGGACAGCCCCATTCGGTCAGGGCGGTGATGGCGATGCCGAAGGAGCGTTTAGTCATGGCCATGTATTTGTTAAAGTAGTGGCGGTTGATGAAGAAGAGGGGTGCGCCTATCAGTTGGGTGATGACAATGCAAAGGCAACAACAGTTGAACCATGTTATTAGGATGAGGCTGCGAAGGATCTGGATGGTGAGGTTGTAGTTTGCTGCTGGGCGGTGGTGGATGTGGCCCACCACTTCCTTAGGGGAGCCGTTCATCTTGGGTTGTGCCATGCTAGCTGTGAGTGGCTTTGCCGGCTAGTTAAAAAATAAGATGAATATTCAGATGCTTAGTATATATATCAGAGGAACAACGAGGCCAAGATAACAATGGGAATTTTCCCTTTTGCAGAGAGCATAGATTTTATTGAAATTGTTCGGCCCGTCGGAGAGTTGCTGGCAAGGATTTGGGTGGACAGGACAGGACAGAACAGAACAGGACAGGACAAGACAGGACAGGATTGGGATAGGCTGATAGGTTGGAAGGCGGCGAGAAACAGCTTCTCTCAGAGTCACAGTCGACGTCACTGTAGCCTGGGGGTGCCTGGGGTGCCTGGGGATGCCTGGGCAGCTCAAGACATGGGATGACCAGGTAAGGGGTGAGCAGCAAGCAGGGGCTCTGGGCACTGGAGACTACAATATCATGTTTAATAGATGAACTAACTAATAATATATATCTGAACGAGCAGCGCCCTGATGTATCGAACGAACACTGTGTTAAAAAAAAAAAGTTTGGGAGTGGGGGGGAGAAATGTTCCGTTTCACTGTTCCACGTCTCGGTGTTTGTTTGTGGCCCAAGCTTAAAGGCCAAAACCGGCAGCACGGGCCACCTCTTGAGCCGCCCACCTGGCCAATCATATGACAAGAGCCGCAGGTCAGGTGATACAAAGTGCTGACTCAGTTGGTGGGTCGGATTTAGGTTTTGCCGGCAGCCCGGCTGAAGGAAGCGGCTGATGATAAGTTAACTAAGGATTCCATCAAATGAACCAACATAATAATAATGATAGTAATGATGCATCGAACGTTTTCCGACTTCCATCTCCGCCATGCTCTCAGTTCCCAGCTTTCTCCAGTAAACCTGCCGCGACTCCATCCTGCGTCCAGGTCAAGGGAAGACGGCTCAGCATACATTAATTTGCAGTTTACCATGCTCAACACCTAGCAGAAGCATCTAGTCTATTTTCGGGTTCTTTATTTTGTTTGCACGGGCGTACGCGCTGTACCCCTGCCCTGATCGTTTGTGAAGTAATTAGGCGGGGAGCCAGTGCCAGACTAAACGGTCTGCGGGGAGTATGGCATTAATTTATTGTCAGTAAATGTGTATTCAGGTCCCGCATTTGACAAATACGCCGGGCCCCTCCCCAGATATTTACTTATTCCTGCTGGCATACATATCTAGACCCTTGATTTCTCGAGTTTTACGCCCCGCGCACCTGCTGCACATAGCGTACATATAGCATTCCACTCCATACCTGTAACTGTACATACATACAATGGTGCTTGCCATTCGAACCTGTCCCAAGCGGATTCCCTTCTTGGGCGGACTGGCCCAGGGTCTCCAGTGGCGTTCTTTATCCGCAGCGGCCCAGCTCCGCCAAATCGAAGATGTCGCCCGTCTGCCAGACTCAGTGAACCCCCGGTATGAAGGTGTGCGTCAATTTCACCTTCCCACTCCTGCACCAAATAAACATTATAAATATGCTTACGCATTATGGACGTCGTATATAGAATTACCCGGAAGTGACCTCCTGGCTCTCAAGTGGCCGAGACCACCGCAGAATGTCCTGCTTGTTAGAAAGAAAGGGGCGCCGGAGGTGACACAGTCGCTCATTGAGTTTGTGAAGTAAGGTTTTTGGGTCGAGATTGTTATTTTTATTTTATTTTCTTCATGGTGGTACTTTTGTACGTTTGCATGTTACTCATATTTGGCTAACAGCTCGATACTAGGCATCTAAAATCCACTTATGCGCCCATCTCTATCATTCTCGAGCGCGAAACTGCAGCTGAAGTTCACGATATTTTGTCGTATCCTGTATATACCAACACATCCTCCGAAAAATTACCACCGGAGAAGATAGACCTCACAGTCACGATGGGCGGCGACGGGACCATTCTGCGTGCATCGTCTTTTTTCGCAACCTCCAAATTAGTACCACCCATCCTCTCCTTTAGCATGGGTACGTTGGGATTTCTGGGAGAATGGAAGTTTTCAGAATACAAGGGTGCGTTTCGGGAGGTGTACATGTCCGGTGCTGGACCGGGGGAACGCACCCCCACGTTAGAGCAAGGAAAGGAGAGTGAGAGGAGAGAGAAGAAAGGGGCCAGTTCGGAGAACACCACCGCCACAGGTTGGGCCCTCGCCCGTGGCAAGTCGATGGGTACCACCAGGCCCGCCAAAATCCTCGTCCGCAGCCGCTTGCGCGTCGGCATCTACACTCCAGACGGCCAGCCCGTCCATATGCACAGCAACGGCACAACAATAACAACGCCCCCCTCCCCCGACCAAAGCCACGACGACGGCATCCACGCCATGAACGAAGTCGTAATCCACCGCGGCAAACAGCCGCACCTGGCCGTTGTCGAAGTCTTCGTCGGCGGCCGCTTCCTCACCGAAGCCGTCGCGGACGGCATGATCGTCTCAACACCCACGGGCAGCACGGCATACAGCCTCAGCAGCGGCGGGAGCATCATCCACCCGCTCGTCCCCTCGCTGCTGCTAACGCCAATATGCCCGCGGAGTCTGAGTTTTCGGCCACTGGTTATTCCGTCGGGGACGCCGGTGACGTTGAGGCTTAGTCGGAAGAATAGGGGGGCCGAGGTGGAGGTCAGTATTGATGGGGTTATGAGGGGGGAGGGGTTGAGGGTTGGGATGGAGGTGAGGGTTTGGGGAGAGGACATTTGGAAGGGGAGTCTTGGTTCTGGTTCTGGTTCTGGTTCTGCTGCTGGTGGTGGTGGTGATGGAGGGGTTGGGAGGGAGTGGAAGGGGGGCATACCGTGTGTTATGAGGAAGACGTTTGGGAATGGGGATGCGGCGGATGGGTGGGTTGGGGGGTTGAATGGGTTGTTGAAGTTTAACTACCCGTTTGGGTCGGAAGCGTAGGTGGATGGTTTTCTGACGTTCTGTTTATTTTTATTGCAGGCAAATGCAAACTGGTGGTCGCCATCTACTAGTGTCCTCACCTGTCTCTCTCATACCTACTCTAACCCTGGCCCCCAACCGCCATTTTTATTTATTATTATTATTATTATTATTATTATTTTATAAATAGTTACCCTTCAAGCTGCGGCGGTGATGAGAACTGTATGAAGCGTTCTTCTTGATTGGTTTGATTCCTTTCCATTCTGCATCTGCATCGGCATTGGCACAGTTTGTATATACGGCACAACACACCATATTTATATATATATATATATTTTTTAAAGTTGGCACATTAGTTATAGAGTTGAGAAACGAAAATATAACTTCTATCCTTGGATAAACTCGAGGAAAGATTAATATTTACTTCGTGATTAATCTCTCTGTTGTTCTTCTGGTCGGTCTCGTTTTACATCGAGTCCGCTTCCAAAACTCAAGTAAGCGGCGTAGGTACAAGAGAAAGGGGTCTTGCCTCCCAGTATATGAAACTGGAAAACAGAGATGCTAATCTCTATACGGCAATCTACTTCCCTAATGAGGCAATTTAATTCCCAGATATGGTTTAGCGTGGCGCGAAGGGCAGCTGTTTCAAGATTGTTCCGCCACACCCCAGCAGAATTGAAGCAAGCAGCTGCTGCTGCTCTGTGAAAGGGGGGGGGGAGGGTTGTTGATGTTTCAATCTCTGACATGGATGCTCTGAACCATTTCTCACCCGTTCTTTTTCCTTTCTTTTTTTCTTCTTTTTTTCTTCTTTTTTTCTTCTTTTTCTTCTCGTTCTTCTCTTTCATGTTTCCTTTCTGCTTGTTCGTGGACACCTTACCTAAGTGCAGAGCGGGCAGGCAACTGATACGTATGATTGTTTGTTTATCGACTCGAATATGCGGGGTTGGCGGTAGACGACAACTTAAACCCAGTGAGGAGAAACGTTAACTTGGGGGGGGGGGGGGGGAGCATAGGTGGCGGCTGACATTGTTGGACTCCAGAGTTGGAGTTGGTTGACTATTTATTTATGGATTTATAGACGATAGTTATCACCTACCAGCCCCCCTCTTTTCCCTTTCTCGGACATGTGTATCTATCTGATTTGGTAAGGGGAAGAGAGGGGTAGAGAGAGACAGAGACAGAGAGAGAGAGAGAGAGAGAGAGAGAGAGAGAGAGAGAGAGAGACAGAGACAGAGAGAGACAGACAGACACAGAGAGAGAGAGAGAGAGATAGAGAGAGAGAGAGAGAGAGAGACAGAGACAGAGAGAGACAGACAGACACAGAGAGAGAGAGAGAGAGATAGAGAGAGAGAGAGAGAGACAAGGGAGCCGTAACACATTCCTTATATATATGCGGAAACCTTGTCTTTTGAAGATCGAAGCATATCGCAATCTGGATTTTGGGTCGGGCTGGAAACAATTCGGGTTTGTTGCTTTGAGTTAAAAGGGGAACCAGGGACTGAGGACGTGTTTATTTATTTCTTCCCCCCTTTCGTAGATAGGTAATTGGAGGGTGTATTCACGCGGATATCGATATGGAGAATGGGGTGTTTAAATGGTTTATTAATTCATCAATGTTCGTGAGAGGAACTGCCTGGGCGCAAAGTCAAGAGTAGATCTATGATTACGGCGGAAAAGGGGGAGGGACTCCTCCCCAGCCTCTTGAATTCAAACAGGGGATTGTGAGAGAGGGGATGTGTAGTTAGTTTAGCTGGCTGGGAGGAGACAAGGAAGACGAGAGATATATTTGCAAGTAAAATGTCCTCTCTGAGAGTTGCCTCCTTTACGTATTTACTTGATTTTACGGTGTGGTGGATTATTCACGCGGCTCAGTTGGATTTGCCGCCTCAACCTCCGCCTCCGCCTCTGCCTCAAACCCCAACTTCAACTTCAACCTCAACCTCAACCTCCAACCTTCACCCTCTTCAGCTATTTCTTCTGTCTGCTTCTATCTTCAAAATCCCCTCTTCTTCATTAATCTTGTTTTTCTTGTCCCAACCACCCCTCCTCCACCCTCAACGCCTCCTCTACCCGCCTCCCTCACAGTGCATAGACACTAACGGCCGAACCTCGACGCGCTGCTGGTGGACTACAGCGCCAAATCTCTGTAGGGCGTGTCGTCTAGGCCTTGGGCTAAATAATTCACCCTCCTCCCTCTCCCTCGCGACACTCGACACTCGACGCTCGACACAACCTGATACAACACCTCTCCGCTTATCAGTGAGTGTCTTCTCTCTCTGTAGGCTGCTGCTCCCTATCCAAACCACCCCCCCCCCCCCCCCCCTTCTCCCCAAAACAATATGAAAAATGAAAATGAAAAAAGAAAAGCACCCAGTGGACCCATCTTCACCTGCAATATTCTCCCTGGTATGCGGGTTATCTCAATGTCTAACCGGCCTCCGTGCAGTAACTCTCTGCGGCTGAGCAGCAGGCCGTATTCCCCTTGGTTGCATTCCCCGTAGCGGTATCATTTGGCTTGTGAGACTGTCCTTGTTGTCGTGATGCTTCTTAATAATAATGCTGACCTCGAACGTTATAGTTTAAAAAACGTCTTAAAGTTACAGCAAATATAGAGGCGGACTAGCAAACCGCAGCCACCCCCCCCTCCCCCCCCAAATAGTTACACTTTTTCCCATCACTGCCCATCCGTCATCGCTGTCACCTGTCCACAGAGTTTTGCACTCACCCTTCTTCATACACTCTGCAACACCCGAGTTGACTCCCTTATGTGTGCCTTTCTGCCCTGATTCAAAATGGCATCATCTCAATCCAAGTAAGTCTTCAGTCAGCTCCTGTTTTCTATTCTGCTTGAACATGACGTGGTTGTCACTGTGGTTGCTGTGGTCGCTGTGGTCGTGGGTGGTGTGGTGTTATGGGAACACTCCAGACTGTGAATCGCCCTAGCAATGGGCAAGTTTCTCGAAAGTAATCAACAAGAATAAATCAAAAATTACCGACACGACACAACACGACGCAACACAACGCAACATGGCACACTACTTGCCCCTGTCAACCCATAAATTCCATTAACACTCATATTCAATTCACCTTGCACTAACACATAACCAGCGTTTATGGACGGGATCAGTTCATGAATCCAGGGCCTGCTCCACGTCCTCCGGTTGACCGTCCCCGCGTCAATACTTCCAGTTCTACCGCTTCCAGCATTGCTACAAGTTTCAGCCAAATGTCCCTAAACTCGCCCTCTACTCCAACTCTCTCTGTCTTCCCGAATTCCAGCCAGCTTTCGTTGAGCCAGACGAAATCAAACCTAAGCGGCAGCATGGGTGGTGTCAGCGTGATCAAAGAAGGCTACGTCCGATGCAAGGAAGATAAGTTTCTGGCCGGTTGGAACCAACGTTACCTCATCCTGCGCGAATTTCGACTGGATTTCCTGAAAAATGAAACTGGCAAGGTCGTGCTGTCGATCCAACTCAGTAATGTCACTGCCGTAACTCGCTCGGAAGACTGTAAGATGGCCTTTGAGATCACCCGTATCGCAAACCCAAAAGATGCTAGCCCCCGCAACGTTTTGATCAATCGTGACATCCCGACGAAAACAATCACCTGCGAGGTCAAGAATGACGATGAAATCTACGAATGGATTGACAAGATCTACGAGCGATGTCCCGGAATGGGTGGTGTTTCCAACCCAACCAACTTCAGCCATCGCGTGCATGTCGGTTTCGACCCCCGGACTGGTGCCTTTGTGGGCCTTCCGGCTGAGTGGGAGAAGCTGCTATCTACATCCGCAATCACCAAAGAGGACTACAAGAAAAACCCCCAGGCCGTGATCGAAGCCTTGGAATTTTACGATGCCAAAATGCGCGAGCAGAATCCACAATTTTACGAGGGCCAGGCTAGCAAGGGCCATAATGTGTCACCCGTGGGTAGTTCTATTGCCGGCCCAAGGCCAACTCAGCAACCAACTGGGTTGCAGCGTCTTGATAACCAGAATCAGCGGAGTCCTGGAGACCGTTCCCAGAGCTCTTCCCCCGCACATTCGCAGCGCAATGCGTCGGATGCAGATCGCCAACATGACCAACAGTGTTCAGATCAGTCCAAGGAAATGCCAGATATTCAGCAGCGACGTCGCATGGACGAAGAGGCGCGTCGTATCCGGGAACTTCAACGTCAGCGTGAAGAGGAGCAAGCTCGTCGAGAACAAGAGGCGTATAATGCCTCGCTACCCAAGAATCGCGTCCCAATGGCTCAGCAGGAACTTGGAGGCTATGGCAGCTCAGATAGTGACAGATATAACCCCTCTCGACCAGCTCCTCAAGTTCCTGTCTCCGATCGCAATCGACAACAAACTCCAGGATCGTTGAGACAGATGACCGCTCAGCGTGCTGCACCTTCACCACCCAATGGTACGCAACCGTCTTCGCAGAGATCCGGGGATACCCCTAACCACCATGGATCCTTGCGATCTGTTGCACGCCAAGATGGATCTCGACCGCAACCTTCTTCAAACACTGCCCGTTACAACGGCGGTAGCCAGACGCCAGTTAAACGCCCCCAGAACAATGGCACTGGCGCCCAAGGTCCTGCTCCAAGCCGCCTCCCGGCTCCTGTCCAGACAGTTAAACCACTCAACATTGCCAACAAAGCAGTTACCAAGGCGAAGAAAACTCCCGACGGGGTCCGCCAAGCTGAAGTCGCCCTGACGAAGAAAGCCCCCGCGGAGGCTCGGCATAAGGACGTGCGCATGTCCACCATGTCCGAAAGCGAAGTCATGGAACTACTCAAGCAGGTCGTCTCCAAGGATAACCCGACAGAATCGTACAGCAAGCAGCGCAAGATCGGCCAGGGCGCGTCCGGATCAGTGTACGTTGCTCGCGTCAAGGAAAATGCACTCTCCCGCGTTGCGCGGGAGATCTACCGGACCCAGGGCAGCCGGGGACAGGTTGCGATTAAGCAGATGGATCTGCGAAGTCAGCCGCGCAAGGAACTTATTGTCAATGAGATTATAGTGATGAAGGATAGCCAGCATCCGAATATTGTGAATTTCTTGGATTCGTTTTTGCAGGAGCAGAATAATGAGTTGTGGGTTGTTATGGAGTTTATGGAGGGGGGTGCGTTGACGGATGTCATTGATAATAATCCCGTTATTCGGGAGGATCAGATTGCGACGATTTGTTTTGAGGTGAGTTTTTTCCTTTTTCTCTTTTTCTCTTTTCCTTTGCGATCCCCATGTCCTCCTCTTTTTTGGCTCCAGGAGGGTAGGTGCTTATCCTCATCTCTCTTCTCTCTAGACATGCAAAGGATTGGCACATCTACACAGCCAGTCGATCATACATCGTGATATCAAGAGCGACAATGTCCTTCTAGACCGTGTCGGAAACGTCAAAATCAGTACGTATCCGCCCCATACTAACGGTATAAATGCCGTATGATAAAACCTAATACTAACAACCTCACCCCTCCAGCCGACTTTGGCTTCTGCGCCAAACTAACCGAATCAAAATCCAAGCGCGCCACCATGGTCGGCACCCCATACTGGATGGCCCCCGAAGTTGTCAAGCAAAAAGAATACGGTCCTCGCGTCGACATCTGGTCCCTAGGCATCATGGCCATCGAAATGATCGAATCCGAACCCCCGTATCTAAACGAGGAACCGCTCAAAGCCCTATTCCTTATTGCCACGAATGGAACACCGCGTCTCAAAAAGCCTGAGAAACTTAGCAAGGAGCTCAAGTCATTCTTGAGCGTGTGTTTGTGCGTTGATGTAAATAGTCGTGCAGCGTCGGATGAGCTGCTGTCCCATGAGTTTTTGAGGTCCGGGTGTAGTTTGGCGAGTTTGGCAGAGTTGTTGAAGTTTAAGAAAAATCCGGGGCAATGATTTATGGGGTGGAAATACCCGAACCTAAACACAGTAAATGATCTGATACGAACATTTTAACGGTTTTTTTATTCTCTTCACTTTATCTCTTCATCTCATTTCTTGTTTTTTTTTCCCTTTTCTTTTCTTTTCTTTTTTCTTTCTTTCCAATTTCTATGCTCATTCCTAACGGAGCATGTGGGCGGGCACTCAATTATATGGCCAGATTATACTGACAGCAATGGACGGATTAGAGATACTCCTGCCACAGCACTGTTTTTATTTCTTCCTTTTTTGTATCTCTTTTCTTTTCTTTTCTTCCCTTCTCTCTTCTGCGGAGTTTCCTAGAGACACCTTTTGCTCCCACATATATTGCCCATTGTCCCCTGACCTGACCATATCAAAGAGCAAAAGAATACCTCCGATACAGACAGCATCCACTCCCTCTTCAAATTATCTCTTTGATTGCCTTTTGCTTCGTGTTTGTTTTCAACGTTTTCAATCCCTTCAGGTAAAACGTGTGTTTTATCTCCCCTCTGTTAATTAGGTTACGCTTTATACGTGTTTTCCTTTCTTTCTCTTTCTTTCTCTTCTATTTCTCTTTTTCTCCTTTGAGGAACCAGGACTATCCTATTGCTTTTATCAGAGGGCGTTATTCAATTTTCTTTTTCACCCTTTTATCACCCTATCCTCCCATTTACATGATTCTCTTACCTTCTGACTGGGCGAGTCATGTTTTTACTACGTTATATGTATGGACGTTATCCGATTCGAGTTTGGTTCAATGGATATCTTAACTTTTTTTTTCCTTTCTGTTCCTTTCTTGACTCCTTAAGCAGCGAGTTACAATCTCCCAATTCAAATTCATCTCGACCTATTTCGCACTCGTGTCCTTTTCGTTGCCAATTTGAATTTTCTGATAGGTTTCCATGCTCGTTCATAGCTCTATTTTAGAGGAAGTGGAAGGGGAAGGGTTATCAAAATTACATATAAGGATCGTGGAGAGAAAATGAATTGCGAGGGGTAGGGAAGAGAGGGGGAATTGTTATAACATACCTGACAATAAACCAAAAATTTCCTTATTAAATTTCTCGTCTACTTTGATTGTTAAATTCTTATGGCTTTCCTTCCCTCATACTAAGGTGTTGGATATCTTGGCTCTGTATACAAATGGAGGGAGAAGCTCATTGCATTTTATCAACCGGTGTGGAACGCACGTCACTACAATTCTTGGTTGAACCCGACATTTGTGCACAAGATGAAAATAAATAAATTGATATGCATGTTGAGAGAACAATGTGATGCCTATGCTAGGATGAATAAAAACAGGAAGAAGAAAATCCCCCAGAACGCAAGTAAGTGACTTGAGGTGTCAAAAAGCATACAATGCTTCACCGTCCGGGGACCCCTTCACCACCACAACTGCTATATTCAAATTCATAACTTCATAAATTAACCCCTTGTGAATTTTTTTTCTTTTTCTTTTTTTATATTGTCAAGTATATATCAATCAACCGATCAATCAAGATCTCCCCCCACAGCCCCCCCAACAACACCAGCAATCTGTCCAAAAAACAACCCCCGCAAAATTGCCTCTCCCTCCTCAATAGCCCAATGGCCCGCCGCACTGAGTTTGTCCCTCCACGCCTTGCGCTCGTGCTCGTGCAGGTCCTCCCACTTACGATTTTCACGCGCCTTCTCATTGTCGCCATCATTGAGGTCGTAAGGGGCGGTAGTAATGGAGACCTGTTCTGGGTCATGCGGGTGCTCGACAATGATGATTTTCACGGGCGTGGGTTGGTTCGAGTCGTCAGTTGCGGATGGCGGGCCGGCTTCTGGTTCTGCGCGCGTGATAGATGCGAGTATCTCGCGCAGATTTTGCCTGGAGGTTGTTTGGATGACTGGGATGATTGTTGTGCTTGATGCTGTCTCGGTCATCGGTGCTGGTGAGATGGATACACCCGTCGCAGACGGCAATCTCGGTTTCTGATACTGCGTCGGAAGCCCATTCTCAAAAGTGTACGGTCGTGCTATCATCGATCGTATCCTGGGACTCAGCCAGTCCTGCGCACCTAGCGTTGGTGGCACACCGCCACGTATCTCCGTAAAGGCTTGCAGGAAGAACGCGCCTAGCGCGACGACTATCAGTGCCACGAAACCGCTGAAGAGAGTCTGTAGAAGCTCTGAGGGGCCAGGTTGGACGAGTACATAGCGCGGATGGCCAGATTTTGGTGGTAAGGGCGACAAGGGAAGGGTATGTACAGCCACGGTGTTGCCAACACTTACGGAGGCGAGTTTCACATATTGAGGTCGTACATCAGCGGTGACTGGTTGACGGGGTGGGATGAAGGTTGAGAAAACGAGACGCGTCATGGAGAAAGGGTGCACGTTGTGCAGGGTCGTGTACGGGCGGAAATTGCTAAAGGGATTTTTGCTTTTGCCATTGTAATCGAGGGTGAGAAGCTGGATAGAGTTGTCGTTCCCGGATACGGCGATTACAAATTGTCTGGTTCCCACGGGCGATTCAGAGAGGGGGCATACATCAAGGCCCAGGCCGATTTTCATCGAGCGTGGAAGTCGGAATCGTCGAATGACGATGCACTCAGAGCTGAGGCTGAGGGAGATGACGGCGAGTTCGCACCCAGTGCGGTCCGGATTATTCAGTAAGACTAGGAAGGAGGATGGGGAGAGGAATCTGAGAGCGCGAATTTTACTTCTCTTTTTGCTGCCGGCGAAGTAATCCGGGAATGGCACGGTATAGACTGATTTGGTCTCGGGTGCCACATTTGATTTTACTGAGGCGGAGATTTTAAATGTATAAATAGCTTCTCCTTCCGTGTAGGCCACTTCAAATTCCCCATCTTCTCCCTCACTGCTTGGCAGCATATCCACATCTTCAACTTCATCTTTACCCTCCAACCGAATTCGCCCTAGCACATCTGACTGATCCGGGGTTGATGATGTTGCGTCGAAAAGGACCATTTCGCCCTGCGGAGCTAAACCCGTAGCTACCGCGCCAATACGGGGAGCATCCTCTCCTTTCCACGGAGAAAGCCGCAACAATCGCTGATATGTTTCTCTCTTGCCATCTGGTTTATACTGCGGTCTGAAAAGGGATGCGCGAGACAGGGCTGTGATTGTAGGCTTAGCAGGCAGCGCGACAGTTTTCTTGCCCTTTCTAGATTTTGTTGGGGAGGTACTGGTGCTATCCAGTTCATTTCTGGGAGGAAAATCCAGCTGGAAAGATCTGAGATGCTCATTTTTGTCCTGGCCGTGCTCAGCAATGGAGCTATTGATGCCAGCCAAGGCTATAATAGACTTGTCGTTTGACCGCGATATGGCTAGCGAGGTCACAGAGTCTTCATCTCGAGAAAGCTCTATATCAACAACTTCAGATATCTCGTTACGCCGGGACGTATTTAACAAGGTCTAAAATTTTGCCCGCGGGATGGCATGGAGAGTATTAGCCAGATGTCATCTTCGATACGGCCGGGGAACGGGGTTGGTAGAAAGGTTACTTGCGATTTTATTTCCAACTCCGCTGCGCCCTTCACCTCCGCCGCCGCCTACAAGAACAAAGTCACTGTTCCTTGGGTCAAAATCAACGCCGAAGAGCGGGCAAGAGAGAGTTATTTTGGCGGAAGGGGTATCAGGCGCCATTATGGTGAAGGCGTAGAAATATGTATTTTGGGTCGTTTTTTGAATACCAATTGTAAGGATCAATAAGAAATCCAAAGGAAATAACTAGAAAAAATTAATTGATTCATTACATGTGTAGAATTAAGGAGTGGAAATGTAAGAAGAAGAAAAAAGAAGAAAAGAAAACGAAAAAGAAAAAGCAAACTGGGAACATTTGACGGTTTCGTCGATGAAATCATCGACGTTCGTTTCAAGCACGGAATAGTCATGGTCACGTGATATTGCACTTGCAGCCCGAAGGGGATAGGGGTAACACTTGTGATCATACGGAGTACGGGGAAAGGATATATTTGATTGTCTTGAACTCACTCTTCCATGAGTAGAATAACCCCGTCGCATTGACTCTCCGTATGCCTGTTTTTCCGTACAAAACTAACAGATCTATCTAAGCTTTATATATTGTGGTGGTTCCCCCTCAACTACTCAGCATCCTGCGAAACAAACTCGGGAAGACGCTTCTTGATATCGTCCCACGTCTCCTCTCCCTCCACCAAGGACTTGACAGCTTTGCAGATCTCCTCCTCACTGGCACGAACTTGCTTCGTGGTGTCGCGCTCACGGAGGGTGAAGGTGTTGTCCTTCACCGATTGAAAGTCAACAGTAATACCGAATGGGGTTCCGAGTTCGTCGTTTCGCGCATATCGCTTGCCGATACTGGCCGACGAATCATCCACCCGGTTGGACACACCAAGACGGCGGAGCTTGAGAGTGAGGCGGTGAACAAGTGGCTGGAATGATGGGTTATTGGAGAGCGGAACCAGGAGGACCTTAGTTGGGGCTACGATCGGTGGGAATGAAAGTACCTATTAAATTGAGATTTGTCAGACATGTACCACGATCGCGTGTTACTACTGAATAAGAAAGGGTGAGAATAAAAGACCTACACCTCGCGCTTCGTCGTCGGGCCTCGACCAGTAGACGTGCTCCATTAAACAAGCAAGAATTCTGCCAATGCCAAACGAGGGCTCGATAACGTTGGGAGTGTACTCCCGGATATTCTCAACCCGCGTCCGTTTCTCGATGTTAATGATGTCCTTCTCCAGTTCCACCTTGCCAGATCTCACGCCATCCACGTCGATCTCGATCTTGCCATTTTCTGTAAGGTCCAGCGATAGTTTTGCCAGGAGATCTTGAGAGAGCGCATTAACTGCGGCTTCTACCGCCTTGCCATCCTTCCTGAAGCGGGGGCCAAACTTCTTCTTATCCAAGTCTATCTGCCATTCTTCAATGCGCAGTGGCTCCGAGCGCGTCTCCCGTACGAAGAGAGGAGCACCAGTTTTATTCTTGTGTACGGTCAAATCATATGCACTTCTGTCGGCACAGCCAACACACTCAATCCAGCCGTATGTGGTAAAAAGCTCTGCATCCCAGCAGTCCTTTGCGTAGTGGGCCATTTCGTTTTGCATATGTTGGCGCATCCGGATCTTGGATTCATCAATACCGATTTTTAGAAGGAAGAGTTGAATCCGTGCGAGAAAGTAGCCCAAGGTTTCATTGTCCACAATCTTATCAGCCACGGCTTTGCCAATGGTCATTCTCTCCACCTTGGTGCTGCCGGAAAGTTGGACTTCCCGATCTAAGAACGAGAGTTCCAAATCCTGAACTTCGTGGAAACGGGGGTGCTTCTTGCCACCGTCTGGATCCACGAAATGCTCAATCTCAGCCATTAGGAACTCACGCACTCGCAGGAGCCCAGAACGTGGAGAGATCTCATTCCGGAAAGATTTTCCAATCGAAGCAGATGCAAACGGCATTGACTGCTGGTTAAAATCCAGGAGTTTTTGGAAGGAAAGGAACTGCCCTTGCGCTGTCTCCGGTCTGAGGTATCCAGGCAAACCGCCACTAGGGCCAATCGATGTTTGGAACATCAGATTAAACGAGACTGGAGGTAGGACATCTCCGCCAGTAACGGGATTCTTGATTTCATATTTGGTGATGAGCTGCCCAAGTTCTTCGCCGTTGAAGTTGTCAATTTTGGCCAAGACTTCCTCATACTCTTTGACCAGAGCATCATCCAACTTGACAGCTTTGGTCTCCTTAGTCTTCTTCTTTCGCTTTGCCTCCTCCTCCTCGTCAACCTCCACTTTTTGGCCGCGCGCCTCCTTGTCTCCTCTCAGCCGCGTTTCAAGCACCTCCTCTACCAAGTGGTCGGCTCGAAAAATCTCCCCGGTCTTGGGGTCTTTGCACATCCAATCAGCGAATTTATCAACGTGCCCACTTGTTTTTAGAACGTCATGCGGAGTCAACATTGTGCAGTCGACTTCTAACATGTCCTCTTCCAAAACAAAGTGTTTTCTCCAAAGATCAACGACATTGGCCTGGAGTGCGCAACCCGGGGGGCCATAGTCATAAAGGCCAGATACACCGCCGTAGACTTCAAAGGAGGGCGTGTAAAAGAGCCGTCGACGGAGGAGGGAGTCTAGAGTAGCACGGTCGAGGGGTTGGCCGGTTTTAGTACTATTTGTAGCCATTTTGGCTTTATTTGGCCTGTTTGGAAGCTTGAATCGTAGCGGTGTTGAGCTGCAGGAGAAAAGTCTTGCTTGGAGAGCGTGGGCTCGTAAAGCTCGTAAAAAGAGTAGAATGGGAGAATGACGCATACACAATGCAATTATGGACAAATTGCGAGGCTAGAGGGAGAAAATAGCCAAGAGTAAAAGACAGGTAAGAGGAAGGCAAGAAGAGGACCCAAAAGATGTAGAGAGAGAGAGAGAATATGAAGAAAAGGATTGTTTTGGCCGTTGTTGATTAAATGCGATGCGATGATGTTTTTTCATGTTCAATAACTTTTTTGAGGTTTTGTTGGAGACAACAAGCAAAGATGGGGTCGGGGAAAAAAATCTTCCGGGCCGAGATTTTCCATGTCAACTCGAAAATTTATAAAGAACTAAAAGAAAAGAAAAAGAAACAAAGCCAAAAACGGAGCAGCATACGAAAGATATACCGCAACATAGTTATATCTCTGGGGACAATTGGGATTATCCTGGCATCTAGCACTCACAAAGATGCCGTCGAAGAAGTCAAAGCTTCTTCCGTCCGGAGGGATGGAGTTCAAACCAGCCAACAAGGACAAACGAAAAATCCTGCATATCAAGCGGAAGAAGGTCAAGGACGCCCAGTCCCGTGCAGAACGATTCGCAAGGAAGAAGGAAGAGGCTAAGAATCCAAAGCTCAAGGCAGAGCGGCTGCGACGGAATATACCCCTAACGCTAGAGAGAAAACGGGTGTGGGATGATGTGGACAGCGATGTCGAGGACGGCCTGGGAATGAGCTTCGATGTGGAGCGGGTTAAACGACACAAGATGGAAGAGGAGGCATGGCGGGAGAAGATTGATGAAATCAATGCTACAAGTGGTAATGAGGGAAAGGGTGGCGAAGGCGAAGAAGCAGATGAACACGGAGACAACGATGAGGTGGATAGCATGATCGCATCCGAGAGTGATGAGGATGAAGATTCAGAGGGAAACGATCGGATTCAAGAGTCAAATCGCACGCGGAAATCAAAACTACCCTCCGCAACAGAGCGCGCAACAAGTCCTACGCAGTCTACTAGAAGCACCAACCTCGATCTCGCTCCTGACGCCCTGGCCGCCAAATTCCCTACCCTCTTCACCAAAGAACTCCCTCCAGCTCCGAAAATCCTAATCACCACCTCTATCAACTCTACTTTACACGACCAAGCCCAGCTCCTGACCGATTTGTTTCCTAATAGCGTCTACATCCGCCGTTCCGCCCATAAATACGCCCATAAATACTCCGTGAGAGAAATATCCAAATTTGCCTCGAACCGGAATTTCACAGCGCTGGTAGTCGTGGAGGAAGACCAAAAGCGCGTATCGGGTATGACGATAGTTCATCTGCCCGTGGGACCGACTTTCCACTTCAGCGTCAGCAACTGGGTCGAAGGCAAAAAGCTTCCCGGACACGGGAATTCCACAGGCCACTGGCCCGAGTTGATCTTGAATAATTTCCGGACCCCTCTTGGAATGTTGGCGGCACATCTATTCCGCACTCTTTTCCCAGCACAACCCGAGCTAGTAGGGCGGCAGGTGGTGACGCTGCACAACCAACGAGATTACATATTCGTGCGAAGGCACCGATATGTGTTTCGTGAGAAGAGGGAGACGGAGAAAAGCGTGGTGGGTGCTGATGGGAAGGAGATGAAGGGTGTGGAGGGTATTAGGACTGGGTTGCAAGAACTGGGTCCGCGGTTTACGCTGAAGCTGAGGAGAGTTGATAAGGGGATACAGCGGGCGAGTGGACAAGAGTGGGAGTGGAAGGGGGGAATGGAGAAACAGCGGACGAAGTTTCAGCTGTAGCCTGCCTGTCCTGTCAGAGTATATATACCCTTTCTTGCGTCCTTCTCTGAGCTTGCCAGCTACGTTATTCCTTATTCTTTCTTGGGCATTACTCGATGAATCTGATGAACATAGAGGGATATATCTCCCAAGTTCTCTCCTGGTCTTGTGCACTTTTCATGATTTTTCTGGCTGCATGCTATGTCTTTTTATTGATCCCCTGGGCATTTAATATTAGTGAGCAGAAGTTCCCCTGGCCTCTGTCAGTTTAACTTGCGCTGTCGACCTAGCCCCCCTGGGATGCGCATCACAAGGCGAAGTTCTGAGAGAAACCCAGATCAATTCCATCCACCTAGAACATCGTACCAGAGCGAGTATTTTCGCGGGGTCTCTGTTGGTAAAGCCAAAAGAACTACCTTTGCAGCAATACCTTCAGTAATAAATAGTTAAGAAGTAAACAGAAAGGCCTCCAACACCCCATAGATAACGGGTGGAGCCTTCATGAGGCACAGAGAGCTGTTGAATGAGGGATTCAGAGCAGCAGCTTCTTGAATAGACCAACCTCGAGACCATATTGACTGATAGTTACAGTTATCTATGCATAGAGATTGGAGGATGATGAGACTGTACGGCATGCGATGGATGCAATTTACCGTAGTCAGTCAGTTATAAATAGTCAGTTCATAGTTTACAACTTACATCATACGCTGAGGAGCCGAACTCTCTCTATAGTAGATAACAGAGGCTTCAGTGTCCACTCCGACAGTCTGGTAAGTTGGCTAGTTGCGGTTGATGTGCGGTTAAAGAGCCATTGATCCACGGAATTGTACCTAATCAACTTTACCAGATAGTTAATCAATTGCGGGGACAGCGCGAAACTCTAAGACTCCATCAAACCCCGCGCCTTTTCTGCTGATTACATAGATTTTATATATAGGGTCGATTCCCGCCGGCTGAGGGGAAGGCCACAGCATATAACCAACTCTCTCTTCTGATTTGACTGAACCCCCAACGTCATGGTTACTTTACTGCACAATAACCAGAGAGCGCTCTCAAACACAGAAGGGAAACTTATATAGTTACAGAGACTTCCATGACACCACCTCCAGACCCCACCCCACACCTCACCTCTCTCCAACGCGATGGCTTTGTCGTAATCCCCGGGCTTCTCTCCCAATCTCAGCTCAAGGCATTGCGCGCCGCCGCCTCGCACGCTGCCGACCTGGCCCGCAGCGGGAAATGGCCACATATCCGCACAGTCGCAAAGCAATTCCCGCCATGGCCCTCAACCCCCCCACCAGCCCAAGAGGGTGGAATCTGGGGAGTGCAGCATCTCATGCACCCCGAAATGCCCGGGCGCAATGAGTTCGCGAAGCTCTACTTTTCCCCTCGTGTGCTCGAGATCGTAGAGGAATTGGTCGGCGTCAAAAAGACCAAACCCGGATCAAATGCGGAATCACCACAAGGAGAAGAGCAAGAGCAAGAGCAAGACCAAGACCAAGAGCAAGACCAAGAGCAAGACCAAGAGCAAGACCAAGACCAAGAACCACTAACCATGGAACTCCTCAACCTGCTCATTTCCCCCACATATGTCCCATTCGCCCTACGCTGGCATCGCGATGAAATACCCACTCCACCCACGCTCAGCGCTGAGGATGAGCTGGCTGCCCTTGTGCAGAAGTCCCCGCCTGATCGCCCGGCGTCGCACGCCCAGTACAATATCCCCCTGTACGAAGATGCGTCGCTCATTGTCGTTCCGGGGTCGCATCGACGGGCGCGCAACCAGGTAGAGCGCGAGGCAGATCCCTATGAGGATAATCTACCCTGTCAGATGGTTGTGGAATTGCGGCCGGGGGACGCGGTGTTCTACGACAGTAATATTTGGCATAGAGGAGTGTACGACGGCGTTGATCCCGATGTCAAGGGGGAAGATGGGGTGGTGCAGGGGCTGAGATTGACCATTCATGGGAGTGTAGGGCTGGCGGTTGGCAGTGGCGATGGTGTTGGGGGGGAGGAAGGGAAGAAGGCGAATGCCAGAGCCAAGGTGGTCTTGCAGCACGGGGTAGGGTTCTGGGTTAATAGAGAGGATGCCTCGTTTAATGGGTTGGATGCTGTTGTTGAAAAGAGGGCAGAGAGGATGCGGAAGAGGCTTATTGAGATGGGAAGTGGAGAGGGGATTGGGTATGCCCTTGAAGGGTAGGAGGAAGTGGTTATATGTATGGCGTGAATTTGATACTCCAGTATCATTCTATTGCGAACGGATATAGTTACTGAATGAATGAGCTCGTAAATATTTTCTCTGTGCTTCCAGCGCTCTCTGGATGAATCGCGTGGCGCCTTTGTGTATATTTATTTCGCACATCGATGTTAGATAAGAACATATTCTTCTCACATCTCGAGCAAGAAAAAGGTAATTTCAGGCCTCGGAAATACCACCAAACCCCCAATAATGAAAGTGCCAATAAAAAAGGTCCAATCCCCCTTTTCTCTTGGTCCGTAACCACCACAGCGTATGGTGAAATCAAAAAAAAAAAAAAAAAAAAAAAAAAAAGACAACAAGGAAATAGCCTGCCATTCGAGGTCCAACAATATTCGCGGGCGAAAGTACAATACAACGTCAGAAAATCATAAGATAGAAAGGAGGAAAACCGTAGTGCTTATCATAAATCATCGTTATCGAGTTTAAACCGAGTCACTGTTTGGTTTACTGGCCGTAACCACCCTCACAACGCCCTTCGCGCCCTCAGCTCCTCCCATCACAATCTCCATCTTCACCTTGTCACAAAGATCCCTCACCCCCTCCGGTGTCCACCCCACGTACTTGGTCAATGACCGCATACTCATTGCCTCCAGCCCTTCCAGCAACACAATGAGCACCATCTTCCCCAGCGTATTCCCCCTAGGATCCCCCTCACGCCAGGTCCCAATCGGCACCTCAATATTATGCGTCCGGATCTGAACAAACCCCGCCGCTGCTAGCGCGGACACACGCAGATGTTGCAGATCGCACGGGTAGCCCGCTACATCCGCCGCGGAGCGAATGGCAGCTGTGAATATGCTCAGATACGAATTGGCTGGTGCGTTGTGTGCGTTTAGTAAACCGGAGGTAAAATCTACATCGGTGACCTCAATGCTGCCGCCAGGTTCCAGATTCTGGAAGGCCTTGCGGTACAGGGCGGGCCAGTCCGCGATCCCCCCGGATAAGCCACGTATGTGGATGAAGTGGGACGGTTGGTGGTAGCCCCATTCGCCGCACTCGACGTTGTCGATTTGGAAGAAGACGTTGGGCGGCGCGATGGAGACGGTGTCTGAGTCGAAGACGGAGATGTCGACAGAGAGGATCTCGGCGTCGGGGTAGAGTTCGCCCATAGCGAGCGCCCAGTCGCCGGTTCCCGTTCCGATGTCGAAGATGCGGGCTGTTTCTGGGGGTAGTTTGGTTTTTGTGAGTTCGCCGTTGTAGATTATCAAGTAGATTTGGTGAACTATGGTTAGTCTAGTCTGCTCAGCTTCGTCGTTTGGCATAAAATAGGTTTCATTGCAGTAACGGCGGCCATTTTCGAGGATATCTTCAATTATATGTTCGGAGAGGGATTTGGAAGATCTGTGACGTAGTTCGAGGTGTAAGTGGGCATGTCAATTTCCATTAGGGGGGGATAATACGTAGAGCAAAGGCAATCCCCGATGTGTGTGAGCACGGACAAATAAGATATGTAGAGACGTAGAATTGGACGGCGACGTTCAATGACATAAGAAAATATAGGGGATAGACGAACGATAATGAGTGTGAATGCGGTGTATACGGATCTGTTGACACAGCAATCGTAGTGCCATTTAGCTGGTCTGAAAGATAGCAGTCGTTCTGTGGCATTGGCTCGCCTTTGGCTGTCTGGGCATCCATGTTCTCCTCCTGCACCTCCATGTTGGAACCGATGTCCTTGAGGAGTGGCTTAGTGTTCGGAAGTGAGATGTCTTCGGCCATGACATGGCTGTATGGATCAGGGTTGGTGCAGGGCGCAGTGGGACGGAATTTTGGAGATCAGTCGTAGGAAACTGCGTATTCAGGACATCTAGAACTTTTCATGTCATTGATACCCCTTATATAGTGGTTTAGGTGGGTGTGCCCTTTTTAATTGCAGCAGGTTTATAGAAACAAAATAAAATAAACCAAAAAATATAGAAGAGATATACAACAAAATGGGATTACAATTCAGATGCAAGCCCATAAAATAAAAATAACGGTCACATCAATTGACCCGGCCATTATCTTCAAACCGCCATATCTTCACATGGAATTGTATTCTTAGATCATGTAACAAAAGCCTTGCAAGATCGAACGAGGCAATCGGTAGAAATAAATACGAGACAATGGAATTATCCATTGCCTCAATGGTTCCACGATGAGAAAGTGAAATATGAGGCACACGGTGGTAGAAGGCTAAACGGTAAACAAACTACAACGGCGAGAATGTGAAAGGAGTTAGAAAACATACCCCTCTGAGTGATATCAAGAAAATCTTGTGTGATGTTTCGCCTCTCAATGATAGCGTTTGGGCTACCCGACCTTCCAACCGTTCTGTGTTAATTGTTGCAATGGCTCACGGACCCGATATCCTAGGGTACGCAGAAGATTGCCAGCTGGAACTCATATATTGGGGAATGGGTTTCTCTTCGATAATCGCCGATGTCAAATAACGGGTAATAGGGTTGTGGTTCAAGATATGTTGAACGACCGACAAACCCTCAAGCGAATAAGGCTATCAAGCCATGGGCGTTCCAGGGATATTAATCATGTTCTCCAAGAGGAGCCGCCGCAGAATTAACGTATTGTAGTTTATGCCTAGGTAGCAAAGAAACACTTTTTTTTCCAAGGTTTTCTCGCAGCACTTTTGTTGTGCGCTGCTGTTATATCGGTCCTTTGTGAAGCTTCTCTTTCTACCGCGAAGGGGGAGATGGAAGAGCTTGTTGAAAGCGGGTCGTTTGTTGCCCAGCTTGTCCAGTTGATAGCGAGAAAGGAAACCAGTCTAGGGGAGATAGAGTGATCGACGTTGGTTTCCCGGCCTTCTGGCTTTAATATCAGCGCGATGGGGAGTTTGATTGTGCAGAGAATCAAATAGATTGTTGATGAACGGACGTCGGAAATCACAAAAATGTAGACAGGGGCTAGGAACTGGGAGATATTTGGCATTTATGATTCCCCCTCTTATGAATCTTTTGGCCGTGTTTGTTTTTCGTTTGGTTTTTTGACTTTCTTTTGCTTTTGCTTAGTTTCTCCACATCTCAAGCCAAACGTGTTCCGTTGGCGACATAAGTATGGAGGCACCTGGTGAGCTCTTAGTGGGAGGGGAAACCCCATACTATCCCCATCACCACCCCAGTCAACAACGGAGAACGGATTGCTAGAAGCAAGACGACAGAAAAAGAAAGCAATCTCAGATGCGGGACACGACATTTAGTGGCCAATGCACGACACAATTAGCCGGTCCAATTATCTTCTTCGAAAGTGAAAGGATATGAATAAAAACCTCGAGGTAAAAGTCGTCAGTCAACAGCTGAAAACTCAAGTTCCCAATTCTTCATATGCGCGATATCCATCCCGTGGCCCTGGGTCATTCGTCCTGGCATGAACCTGGGCTACAAGGCCGACTTAGAACCAGTCAACGACGTTCGTCGTCAACGCATTAGCTTAAGCACCAACAGCTCAGATCCAGAAGGGCCCTGTTAACCCAACGAAGCATATAGCTTTCAGTTCTAAGTAATCGATGCTTAAGCCAGTCCGTTGATATAACTAATGAAACTGCGGGCAATCTCTCTTTCCTGGTGAGCCAATGATTGCCTGGAGCATTACATAGCATGGATGATCCAGTAGTAAGCGAGATGTCAGAGGGTCCGGGGGAATGGACATGCAGGAACCTGTCCCAGGCTTGATGATGTCGTGGCATCGTAATTTATCGAGGGCCGTCCGAAGTAATGCTACCAATCGCATGGAGGTTGAAGGATGCTTTAACTTCACCTAATCGTGCGCTAATAATTAACCGTCTTGAATCCAGGAAGTCTGAATTGCCCCCTTTTACAACTCCACCCAACCCAACATGTCAGTTTACTTCTTTTTAAATTTTGACCAACGTTCCGAAGTTTAGTTCGACGTTAGGACGTTAGGACGTTAGGACCCTTTACGATACTGTTTTTAGATCAATTCATTTTGCCCTCGTCCTACTTCCGGATGTTCAACGCCCGGCAGGAAGAGCTTCTTTTGAAGAAGAGGGCCAGTCAGTAACTAATCATGACGGCTGTTATTTGTGTCTTTAATGCTTCACCTGGAATCAAGCTAAGAAGGGCTAGCTTTATACCATTTGGTATATAAGGGCCCATTTATTCTTGTGATGGTTCCGGAACACGGACGGGAGGATCGCGAGGTTCCAGCAAACTCAACAACCAGAAGCGAAGAAAGATTTCGAAGATCTCACGCCACGTAGCTTGGACCAAGATCCACTGTGATTCACGTGTAAAATCCTGCCAACCAACGAATTGAAAGTGGTCATAGACGAGAGAATCGTCGTTAGAATAAGTAGGGAGAGGCTTATCCGAGGTAACAATTTAACTAGTTAAACCAGCCAACTCCGATGTGACTAAGTCGCCCGTGCCCCTGATTCCCAGCCCTAACCCTGAGCCCTAACAACATCGACACGTAAATAAACAAACTCTTGTACTCTTACCTTGAATAACTTCAAGAAGATATAATCTGTTGCCACGTCAAATCACGCTACACTTGCTTGCCTTTCAGGTTTCCTGGGGCACTTCGGAGTATGAGAAGATTAGCTGGAAACTGTCCATTGGTTAGTGCAATACTGTTCTGTGTTTCTAGTCATAAACCTGATGTGCAGCGGTTTCATTTCTTGATTCTGCGGACAACTTGCGAACCGGACTAGATTCCTTCCGCGGCTGACAAACTTACCGTTGTGAACCGTTTTGTCGGCGCCACAATCCAGGCCAGAATAAAGTTTTCGAATGGGCCATGGAAGTATATGCTTCCGGTCACGTCTGTTGGCAATTGACGGACGGGCGAATCATCTTTAGACATGGGGTTTGCATGTCGGTAGCATCCAGACTCCCGGAGAAGGGCGGACCTTTTGAGGTATATTTTAACCCTCTAACCCCCAAGTGAGATTCACGAAAGAAATGATGACGGCAGATCCAACACCTACACAGTCACTCTTAGATCCAATTTAAATCCAACCCCCTAGGGAATTGTTCTTCACTCGGAGCACTCCGTTTCGAGATGATTACGAAGGACCTAGCGAAGGGAAGGAGTGTTGATTTACCCATGGTTTCAACAGGAACTTCCTTGCAGTATGGGCATTTTTAAGATGCTGCCAGGTGATACGATATGTCCGGCATGACGCCGGTGGCATGTTTCCCTCCCCCCCCGTTTCGGGCCCCCCGGTGTCTCTCACATTTTGTTTGATTGTTCACCATCCTTCCCAGAATCCCGAGTCCCGAAAAAAAACAAAAGAAAGAAGAAGGAAAAAATGTCTAGAGAAGGTCTAGACTTTCTGATCTTCGAGAACACCTGCCTCACCCCACCGCCCACAGCAATGCGCCAAACTGACCAGTCTCACTTTTCTCTCTCAGTCTTCAACTCTTTCTCAATTAATGCATGTCCCCATACATTGGATCTGCATTTGCGTAATTATAGCCAGTGATAGTTTTAGACCGGTGTGGAATGAGCAGAATATCGTGCGCCTACGTCTCGAGGATGATACAGAGGCTACCCAACCAGCTTTCCTGTCTGGTCGTTGGGAAAGAATCGATCCTGGAGACAAACGGGAAGGGAAAGGAAATAAAGATTAGGAGGGGAGGGAAAGAAGGCTTCAATGCAGTCCGGGGGCCCACTGATGAAGTTTTGCATCGTATGTTGGTATGATTGAACCACTGTATGTTGGGGGAGCAGGGTTCACTGTGAAGAAGCCTTTCTGGAATAACATTCCAGATAGGTCAGCGAACGAGTAGAATGAGGTATCAGCTCTCAATTGAACTCTCCTGAACCAGGCGAGATTAAAGATGTAAGACACTGAATAATTAACAAGATATGTTCTCTTATGACATCCTTATTTTCCCATGAAATGTCCCCAGTGGATGTCCCTCAAATTGAAATTTTGCACTCTCTAATAACCACACATGTATACAATGTTTCCCCAAAACCAGATCATTGGGAAAAGGAGGCCCCTAGATACCAGAACCCCGGGCCTTCACATGCATGCATGTGTGACAGTCATATCGATGATCGCACTTATGAAATATCTGATCAATCCCATTTCAGCTTCAAAAGTTGACGGAGACAAAGGAAATTTGTTTCAATATCAGAGAGACGTGCGCAGATAATAAACTGCACTTGAATATGCAAATGTATGTTAACTAGGGACCTAGGGAAAATATCAAAATATCACCATAACGGCGAGAGCCCTTCTTCCTTGATTTTCGCGACTCTCTCTCGTCCGAGATCACTCCGTGCCCCCTTTAATGCCACTGGAAGCGCATTCGCGCTTAGCCAAAGAGAAAAGAAAAGAAAAAGAAAAAGACCTGTCTGAAATGAACTCCCGAGCCTTTGTATGTGATGTGTTGTCTCTCTAGCAGGAGTCCCAGCTGTATACGCCTCTCTTCCGGTGCTGGGCTTCACAAGTTTTCTGCAAATTTCGGAGGCAATGTGCGGAGAGGAGATGCGAAAATCATGAACAGGCTTCCTTTGATCACTTTGGCGTCTTTCCAAAACCGCTGCTGTTCTATTGAGGCTGTCAATGCAGTTGGCGGATATAGTGCGGAATCTTGAATGATGCAACAACTGACTAGTTAGTAAAACAGTGATAGCATTGAATTTTAAAGCCACATCTATAGACTCCGTAAGATCAACGTGAGATCAAGATAAATGCCCAAAAGGAATATCATTCTGTGTTCGAATGCCCCAACTATTAGCAGAGACTTGCCCTGTCCACTTATCACAACAGAACTGAAAAGGGTTGATGAGAGCTGACGAGCACCTTACATAATCGCATTCTGACCTTCAACGCCCCAAACTCCCATGGGAAATAGTTAAATGTATGAAGTTGGAAAAGGTCGAGCAACTTAAAACATGATCAATTAAACTAACCCATTCCCCTCTGAACCACCCATGTCCCCCACCCCTCCCCTCTTCCTCGCCTCAATAGGCAATCCACCTCCGCGATGGCATAAAACCCTCCATTCCGCAGGCCATATCCTCCTCCGCATACTTTCCCAACACCTAAAAGCCCCTTTACAGCCACTATCCCCGTACTCAATTCCTTCCCACCCGCCCCCGCGAGACTATCCGGGACCCTACACTGCCCGCGCCCAGCTTCCCAACAGCGACACGCATTTGACTCTTTGGCAGTCGCCGACTGTGATGAATGTATCTGGCCCTACACTAGTGAGGGCATACGAGAAGTGGTGCGCACAGAACGGGGGGAGGGGCCCAATCGTTGGAGCTGTTGCAAACGCCAACGCAAGTATAACCAACCCAGACCGCCAGAAGGACAACGCGAGAGACGAATCAAATTCCATCCCCCTAAACCTCATCCTTCTCCATGACGACCTCGAGCTAAGTCCTGGAAAACTCTCTGTGCGGCGCGGGGGTGCCTCCCTCTCCGCCCGCGGTCATAATGGCGTCAAGAGCGTAGTGAATAGTCTTGTGAAGGCCGGCATGCTTGCTTCGACGCGCGGGGCGGGGAAGGAAAAGGGAACAGGTGTTGGGATGAGCGGCATATTGGGTGCAGGTTCAAGTGCAAGTGCGTTTGACCCCACCCGCTTCCAGTTGACGAGGATTGGGGTGGGGATTGGGCGGCCGGCGAGTCGCGAGCCAGCGGAGGTCGCGGAGTACGTGCTGGGGAGAATGCCGGATCGGCAGGTGGAAGTGACGGAAGGGCTTGTGGGCAAATTGGTGGAAATATTGAAGAAGGAGGCGGAGATGATTAGGGGGAAGTTGAGAGGGGATATTGAGTAGTAGTTTCTACGCTATGTATAGAACTAATGTCTATATATCATGTTGGTTACTGGATTTTACCCTTCAATTCTCCTGTTCTCATATTTTCGGTGTTACCCGGTTGGATGAGGTTTCGTTTCTTTAGATGACATTTTCTAGATCAGCACCACTATGGTTCAGCGGAAGATACCCATGGAAATTATTTACGGATTAAAGGCGAAGGGAAGGAAATTATATCATGGTTTGGTCTTTCAGCTTGTGATTATGTCTTCATGCATTATTTGCCATGAAACTGCGGAAAATTGATGAGAAATCGAGCTAACTTTATACCTGTGATCTGATCATTAAAGCAAGAATCCTATATTGAGTAATCAGCGTGTTAATTCTTATCTGAAGATTTCAATATTCATAGTTTGAAAATATCATTCTTATTCTTTCAAATTGATAGTGTGACTTAATCATGCTCTGAAACATCTAGTTATATTAATTAATCATATCTAGGAACATGGTATATTAGGTAAGGGGACGTTGTCGGACCCTTCTGTCACTTGATCTATATTCCACCGTATATAGTCGTTCTCGTAGTTATCAACCTTTAACATCGATCATGCTTGTCATTCTGCCAGAAAGATATATAAAAGGTATATGTATAAAAAAAAGTGTAGTCAACGCTCGTTTATACCTCTTCTCTGATCATTTTTGTTGCTTCCTCTTCTTCATCGCAAATCACAATCTCCCTCTGCATGTTATCTTTCAATGCCATCATTCCAAGAAATAATAGGTCGTACTGCCTCCAATTGTTATACCGGAATTTCCCCTCCAAAAGAAGCCCAATTCTATTCTTTCTTTTGCCTAAAATGGCCACTCTCCCTCCTCACCCGGCCAAGTATTGAACGTAAGCTACTCCGAGACTTTTGCGTAGCAGGCGTCTTCGCCGTGGCTGCGGTCGCGTTGATTGAATCCGTCATGTCAACGGTAGCACTTGTCGATTTCGTGAAGAGAGACCGGATGGCGGATGGGGATACTTGGGTTTGTTGTTCTGCTTCTACTTGTCGTTCCGAAGAGGCGGCAGGCTCTGCCTCGCCGCCTGCTTCCACACTCCTACCCTTTCCCTCCGGAGTTTGTTCTTGGGACGATATATCCACGGAACCAACAGCTGCAACTTCTGCCGCAATTTCACGAGTGTTTTCATCTGCGGGAGTCAAAACAGGCAGGGTAGTTGATACGCCCGCAACAGGTGGGTCGCCTTTCTGTTCCGATCCCGCATCTGCTGCCTGCCTCAACAACTTACCCAGAGTTGATTCCTTCCCCTCAACGCGGCGGGTAAGGTACACCTTTGGCGTCGGGGCATGTCGTGCCAGACTCTGTTTCCGAATCCGCTCGACCTCCTCCGTATACGCCGTTTCATAGATGTCGATATCCGCTGCACCAGGCGATTCACTCACGATGGGTACTGGACCCATTTCAGAGGTCGTCGGGAAGCCATAGGTGCCGCTGACATCGTTGCTGTTATTGGAAATATCCCGTGTTTCTGTAGCAGAGGAACAGGGGGTAGTGGCAGTGGTGAAGTAGCCCAATGATATTCTCTCGTCCTCTGCTGTAAGAACGCCGGTGAATGTTGATGGACCAATGAAAAGAAACGGGTGTTCTTCCTCCAGTGGATCTCGCGCGTGGCCACGAGTTCCTTCTGAAAAGCTCTGTTTGCTCGGGGTGTTGGTACGAGAGATCTGCGGGGGTGGAGAGGAGGAATTGGTGGTTGACACCAGGCTGTGCTGGCAGGCCCCCTGCAGCGATTCTTCTGGGTTATTATTTGTGAGACGGGAAGCATTGTCGCTTTTCCGCATGGCGGGATTTATGTTAAGATTTCTTTCGGCAATTTGGCGCCTGGAGTCTGTTAAACCAGTTTTTGAATGGATACTCCTGGACCCTGGGGGAGTATTTTGGGTTGCTGTATGCGCAGAAGAGAATTCCACGCCGGGAGCCTCCATGGATAGTGGCGGTTGGACGAAATGTGGCTCCACATCTTGGCCCAAGATGCTTTGCATTGGCGGGGCATTTTCTGGTTCGATGAGCCTTTTGAATTTTTGTACTGCCCTTACCTGGAAGCTTATCAGAACAGTTTAGACATGGAGGTGGACTATCTTATAAAAATAACATACCACTGTAAGCACATTACCGATCTTCTTGGTAATGGCAGTGTTCACTTCTTCTTCGGTCAGATCCCCAATGAGATTGGCAGTGTTTTCCTCAGCTGATAGTAAGGGATCACTACCCCTTTTTGTGACCCATGGATGATCCTACCTTTGGTTAGCTCGGGGGATTCTCTAAATGAACAGGAAAAGCTCTTTGAGCAACTTACCCTTAACCCCGGCATCTTGATCCTTTTCGCTGGATCCTTTTCCAAGATTCTTGACATCAGGTCCATAAAATCCTCGTCTGTTTCATTCTCATACTGGGCTTCGTCATTCCGAATAGACTCGTACAACTCAAAGATGCTCTCTTTTTCGAATGGTATTCGCCCATAGCGAAGACAGTAAAGCGTCACTCCCATAGACCAAATATCCGCTGCAGTACCTGATATATCCCCGTGCTTAGCTACACAGAGTTCCGGGGGTAGAAAAGCAGGCGACCCTGCCGATTTCGCGGTATACATATCAGAATCCCTCTGAAACATTTCGGACACGCCAAAGTCGACGACTTTTAGCACATCATCGTTAGTCAGTAGGCAATTGTCCGGTTTGATATCCCGGTGGACGATATTCTGCGCATGGAGGTACTCCACACCCAGGATCAAATCACGAAACCAGCAACGGCAGTGTTCGTTGTCATACGGGTCGGATTCTTCCCCCAAGCCCACTTTCATGATTACCCCTTTTTTGCACATCTCCATGACCATATACAACGAGTCTTCCGTGGGATCGTCGAGCACTTCGATTAGAGCCACCAGGTTATTATGATGTAGTTTTTTCATAATGGCGATTTCCTCTTTGATCAAATATAGGGGATTGCCACCGTCCTCATCTTCATGGCTCGATGGATGGCGGTGGAGCGGAGAGTTGAAACCCAGGCCGGCGGCGATGACACCAGGACGCCTGGTTCCCCGGGGATTGCGCAAGACATGGGATTGGGCTCGCTTTCGCAATCGAGACTTGGAGAATTCTTTCACAGCCTTGAAAGTCTCTCAGCTTTTCTTTATTTCTTTTCCGCCCCTTGAATGTTACATCGGATGTAAAAGCCACTCACGTATTCCTGGCCGTATTGATCGACAGCAAGATGGACAGCGCCAAAAGAGCCCCTTCCAATCTCCTGTTTTATGAGATATTGGTTTATACGGTGTTCAGCGGTACCGTCATCTTCACTATTTGTGTATTCAGAACGAGCGTTGAGGGTTTCCTTGGGTGCAATTGGGGTTGATGTCAGTACAAAAACGGCAACACTGTTTTGATAACAGCAGAATAGGAATGGCGCACTTTTACTCGTCGAGGAGCAGTATGGCTTCGTGTATAATGTCTCAGGGGACTGTCATAAGAGGGAGTGGCCGATCTGGGGTTTCAAACATTAGGTCAGCCCAAGCTGAGCAGAGGTATTGAGCTGTGCTGGCGCTAAACCACGCACCCATCCAGAACGATTTTTCTTCCTTTTTGCTTTCCTTTTGGAAGATAATGAGAGGGATATAGGATAGCAAATAGCAGAGTACATACCTGAAAATACATGGTTCAACGGTAGTCTCAGAGCAGCCGGTTGTGATCTTTCGGAGCACCGATTTTTGGTGCTTATCGAGGGCTTGGTCTTGGGCCATTTAATGGAGGTTCTGGCGGTCGGGAGAGTGGGAAGGGAGAGTAATATAGCTGATATCAGATACGTAGGATCTGTTCCTGAATGTTTGCCAGTCTTTCTCTCTGTCTATTGATATATCCGTCTCTGCGAAACCAAGCCAAGCGTTGCTCGACAGGGCTGAATGTGGGGTGGAAGAGTAGCGTTGTGAGTGTTGATGTTGTCGGGGGCTGTGAATGGCTACCCTTAATGGGACTCGAGCAGGATGAATACACCAATCCCACAATCTGGAGGGGTTGATGCATTCAATCCAGCTATATTATGATTGGGGATAAGGTGCGCAGTAAGTAATAGGTTATTGGGATCTGAGGTCACGATCGTCGAGATCTAAACTAACGCGTAAGTGTAAACATGAGCAAAGGTTGCGGAGAAGTAAAAAGCAATTCAATCCGCAGCTGTCATTGCTATTATTCCTTGACCAAATGATAGCATCAACACAGGAAGGATGATTGATTAAAATAATCGATATTTAAAAATAATTTTTAAAGACGAGGGATTTGTTTTAACTTACTATGCGGAGAACAACAATAAGCCAACCGTGGCTCGGAGTGGATGGTGCGTGGTGATAATATCTGATCATCCTCCCAGTCGAGTCAATCGATGATTATAGCGGGGTATTATTATTGCCACGCCCTTTGGAACTGAATGCGCACCTCCGCCGATGTCCAAACCTCAAACCTTCAAAGTCATGCTGAATTTATATACCCGCAGATAAGATATACACACATTACATACATCCGCCGCCACGAGATATACCCGACAAGGAAACGCATAAAAACGCCTTTGATTCCTTGCTATTCACCCTTCTGCAGTCTATATTCTCTTCCCGTCTCTGCTAATTCGACAGTTGACCCCTTACCGCTCTTGCCATGGTCGTCTACTCATTTTACATTTTCGACCGCCATGGTATGGCTGTATCCCACTCTCTTGCTCCGTTATCCCCTATTTATACGTCGAATACAACACCAGTCTAACCTCCACCTCTAGCGGAATGCATCTACAAACGCCGCTGGCTCCCGCGTCCAACCTCTACTGGTTCTAAACCTCCCAGGCCAACCTCAGACTCTGCTGCCCTCAGCAACGGCCTCCCAAAATTCATTCCAGTTTCAAGCCAAAGCCTGACAGCCGAAGATGACGCAAAGCTGATATTCGGCGCGGTATTCTCGCTCCGGAATATGGTGCGCAAACTCGGTGGAGACGATGATAAGTACGAATATATCATATGCCGCTATATGCACACACACACACACACACACACACACACACACACACACACAGAGAGAGAGAGAGAGAGAGAGAGAGAGAGAGATTGTTATTATCCACTGGCTAATGCCATATCATATAGCTTTGTCTGCTACCGAACAAGCCAGTATAAGCTGCATTACTACGAAACTCCCACCAATATCAAGTTTGTCATGCTCACGGATACAAAGTCGGGCAGCATGCAGCTGGCCCTGCAGCAGATATATGTCAATCTTTATGTGGAATATGGTCCGTATGATATCTGCTAGTATATCTATTTTTTGTTCTGTTATCTGTTACATATATATATATGCGTGTGCGCTCTGGCAGCAATGTTTTCTAACCAAGCCCGTTGTATTTTCTTGCAGTGGTCAAGAACCCCTTGGCTCCAGTCGAGCACCCTGGCGGACTAGGTGTAAACAACGAGCTTTTCGAGGAGTCCCTGGAACAGTTTGTGGTACGTCATTCGTCCATTTCAACCCCCAATCTTGCTATTAATTTATTTGTTTCTTATATTTTTATACCTGCCATAATTCGACTGACCCCATTGTCCGACTCCAGACAAGGGTTCTAGCTTAAAAATATCTTCCTTAAGCTAGGATTAAGTATACCCTTCAACTTTTCAATGGGTTATGCACCTTTCCGAGATCCTAGACAATTTATTCGTCTTTTGTCGGGAAACATCAAAGCGTGATTTTCTCACGTCTGTGGAGAGTCGACCAATCTACGCCCAGCCAGCCAAACAAAGCTACCATCCTGGAGACTATGGAGTTTAACACCTTGGCATAGACCACACCAAGACGACCATTTCTTTAGCCCGTTGTGTGGTTGACTTGAAGGGTGTATGGACGTGGCTAGAGGGGAGATTTCTAAGGCCCTCTGAAGCAATACAATTTATTCAGTCGATCAGTAGATTTCCTCGCTCATCGAAGGCTTGGTCAGATCTTACGCAGACCACGTGATTATCTCTAATCATCTCCGCAGCATTCGAGTCCGCGGGTATTCAGCCTCTGCTTAACTCCTGGTGACGCGAGAAATCTTTCGACATCTTGCAAATGGAGAACGTTAGGTCAGCGTGTAACAACAGACGATAGACATCATCCTACAGGTAATCTGGAGAGCGTCATGTTTCGAATGACAAGCAAACCTCCGGGGGCATTTCCATACGCACATGTCATTTCCTCTTGTCGATCCATATTCATTCTCAGGGTATGATCATTCTTAAAAACTACCGTGTGTGCCACGGTGATTTTCCTCTCGTTTTTTTTCGTGTTTCAAAATCGACATTTATGAGCATACATAATAGGACTGCATTGCTATTCACCTCAACATCTACTCCTCTCCTTATTAACTATAGGGAGAACATGTTAGCTGGCTTTCGCTATCATTAATGCAATTGTGCTACGCCTGCTTCCCCCCCCTGAAATCGGAACCGCTTGTCGTTAATCGTTTAGGAAAGGATTTGCATATAGGTCAACACCGATATCTGCTTAGAGGGAATGCATAGGGGGAGAGTTTCTGAGATGAAATAACGGATACAAGCAATAGATGATTGAAAAGTAAAATAGACCAAAGGAGAGAGATTAGTTCATTTGGGTCTGGATCTGGGTCTAATGGAGTCGGGGTAGCCTTTGCATTTTCGTCTTTTCCAGGAGCCGGCTGATCGGTAGTAGAAGAGTTGAACTGGGATCTACGATCAAAAGATACTTTTATACCCGACTGAACATTGTGAGGAGAGTTGCTTGTTGTCGAGCTGCCTCTGACACATACGAGGGGGATTTTGCATCGTCCTCTTGTCTGTGCTTTGCTGTATACGGGGATCGCTTCAACCGAGGAAACCAGCCACATGAGGATATAATCTCTCTTCTGGTGGCCTGCTGGAAAGTTGGCTGGCATTCGTTGGAACACTCTTTGGCACTTTTGATAGTTCTCCATTCATGTGCCACAGACGATTGTGGGAGTTTTCCCCCAGCGCAATGGAACACACATAGGGTAGAGATCAAGGCGAAATTATTCCAGCCTTCTCCCCGTGAATATATATTAGCTAAGGATTGATGCTTCCAGTCAAGCAGTCAGACTCTCCGAGATGTGCATCCGTTACGACTGCATCTTCAGCAACGGACAGGAAGCAATTAGGAGACCTCAACCCGCTGGGCTCCATACGTTCATTCGTCTTTGGGGAGAAGCTTTAATCCAAAGACTGGTTCCCTTCCTCCCCATTGATATTAGATGGTTGTGCAAGCGATAATCATGAGATTTGGCCCAGCGCAGTTGGTGGCAGTTGGCGTGTGAGCAGTTTGCATTCATGCTGTCAAGTTTGCAAGTATCCTTATGGTCTAACTCTCTTTTCACATATAATGTTGATCATATTTCTTTAGCATAGATTATTAAAGTTTCTTGAACATCAGATGTGAAAATGTCAGAATTAATAAGCTAGTGAACGAGTCCTTTATGTTAGAATTTAAGAAGTAAATTATTTTATTTTAAATACGAGGAAGAATTTATTTACAATGCCTTCTTCAATTCTCTTAATGCAGGCTAGAAAGTAACTCGGCAACTAGTAAAATTGGAAAAAGTGTGCATGAGAAATGACAAAATTTGTCATACATTCAACTTTCTTTTTCCTTTCTTTTATATTTTATTTCTGAAGAAAAGGTTATATGTAGTTTCTGTGCTGTAATTAGTCGCACTAGATATCACCTGTTCTCACAGATGCAAAGCATAACATAACCAATCACAAAATCAAACTACCAAACTGTCAAACCCTCAATTCCCCTCATCCCCAGGACGTTAATCAATTCCACCCTAAACAAACCCCTCTCCCCACAAGCCAAACATTCAACCCCCTCCTCCCTATCACCCGCCTCAGCGTCGCAATTACCCCATCCTCGCCAAAGTCCATATCATCCAAACTCACATGACGCGCGTGGGACCAGAGGAGAAGTAATTGCAGAGATTGCGGGTCCGCAATTCTATCTGTTGCTGTATCGGTAGTCGTATCTGCATGTCCAGAGCCGTAATTATTGACATATTTGTCCAGAAACGTATTAGAATTTGGCGCAACGAGGAGGACCGGATTATCGTAGTTGATGGCGACTTTGTGAGTACCAATACTGTTCTGAGCATGTTCTTGTTCTCGTTTCTGCGTAGGTGAAGAATGCCACTGCTCGCATTTGGGAACTGCCTGCTCGAGTCTCTGCATCATATCCAATCCCGGGATGCCCATCAGGTCCACGGTAGAAATGTTGGAGAAGGAGAGGGGAGGTACGCCTGTGGCGTTGCTGACGCTCAGATCACCTAGCAACCACGTGGGTGGAGAGTAAGTCTTCCACCAGAAGACCGTTGCGGTGCCGTTGGGCATTGGCGGGCTACCTGTATTCCTCGCGAGGGAATGGGGAGGTGGTGCTGTGGAGTTGGCGAGGATGGTGGGGATTTGAAGCTGCACTGGTATCACGCCTCCCTGGTGATAGATGCCCATGAGCGTGCCTAGGGCGGCGTTGAAGAGGACCCATGATATAAGGAAGAGGCGGGAGCGGGGAGGGTGGAAGCAGGTTAGTAGGAGGGGAATACAGGGGATGAGGAAGCGGGATTCTTGGTGGGGGAAGATGGAGAGGATGGCAGTGGCGGACAGGGAGGAGATGGCGCGGAGGTTGCGGAGGGAGAAATAGGAGGTGCTTGGGGATTTGAAGGAGTAGAAGAGGAGGAGGTAGATGGGGCCGAGGAGCTGGGGGAGGTTAATGAGGACATGGGTGTAGCGTGGGTGCAGGCCGTGATTGGCGAGATTTGACGTGGTAGAATTGTACAGGAGGTTGTTTAGGGGGGTTATGATGGGTTTGCGCAAGATGGAGGTGAGGGATGTTGGAGATGCACTGTAGAAGGCTGTGTCGATGGATATGGCGATGAGACAGGATATGAAACCGAATGTTATCACTGCCAGGAGGGAAAGGGGTCTGCAGCAAATGTTAGCGATTCTTAGACGGGGTTGATGTGAAGGGAGAGGGCATACTTATTAAGGAAATGGGGGACCAATTTAAGTCCGGGTATCAAAACAAAGGCTGGAAAAGTGATTCTATTAAAAACCCCCGTAACAAGCACGAAGGATAAGATAGCGCATGCGAAAATCGAAGAGTGTTGCTGAAGAAATTGGGAGCAAAATATAAGCTACACGGTCAATTTATTCAAGATCGCCTTCCCGGGGGAATGGAATATTCCGGGGTATCCTGCGCACCTTATTCTCAAGAATGCGCTGTATCAAAACCAAGCCCCAGGCCACGAGCAAAGTCTCCAACGAGTTCGAAAACGTATGCGATTGATATGTCCAGGTAACATAGGAGGATGCGACCAGTACCACGGCCTGGCGACGATGGCGCGGGGACGACACGAGCTCATGCATAGCCCAGTCCTCAAGCACGAAGCTCAGGAGGAACATCCCGCCTCGAAGCACGTAGTATATCAGGTCTGTAGGGGTACTCCCCGTGCCGGCCTCAGCCCACAACCACTTCAGGAGGGTCATGGGCAGGCCGTAGACGATCCATAGTGGGAAGACGCTGCGGATGGGATGGTCCGAAGTGAACTCCCAAGTTCGGTGGGATGGGTAGGAGAATACTTGGCCTGGAACAATACAGTGTTAGCGGACATAAACAAACAAGCTGAAATACATCAATGCGATGCAATAGAGGAGAAAGGAATCTCTACAGCAACAATGAAGCCAACCCCCAATACAGGTTAACAGGGGGTGTTAAACTTCGAGTAAGCAGAAATCGCGATTGGGTCAAGCTGATCAACGTAGGGGGAAACATCCAACACTGACATTGAGTTAAAGAAATCAAAATGAACTAGAAAAGTAAAATATGCTGTTCCATACCAGCGAAAACCTCGGGCCCCTGGAAATTCTCATCGGGATGGATATAGCTGGGGGAGAAGGCGAAGTAGACGCGGACCAGGAGGAGCAGCAGGTAAGTTCGTCTCCACATTGCGCAGGATGGTTTAGGGCATGAAGCTGCGCAACCATGGATGAAGGCATGGGAGCATTGTATGCACAAACCTTGTTGACAACGAATGAATGCACTGTGATGTAAGATGAGATGAGAGGGAAATGTTACCGTTGAAGAGAGAGCATTTATGCAGGATTTGAAAAGAACCAGCAGCGCATATAGGAGTAAAACCAACTAAATCACTATCTTCAAGGCAGCAACCCGGCACCTGGAGCAAGCAGCCTTCAAAAGTACCGTGCCATAGTAATTTACCCTAGCGGTGACATCTTGCGCACGTGACCCGCTTTGTCATCAGCTGCTCCCCCACGTCTGGCTGGCTGCAACCTCCTCAACAATTACAACAATCATCAACAACATCTACAATCTCAACCTTGATGTTCATCTCTTTTCATATTCACTCTTCACGCTGCCAGATACCAAAACACACCATCCTGAGAACTTACGATTCTAGCCTTCTTCCTCTTCTCTCGCCGCCACCAACGTTCTTGCTGCGGCTTCCGCAAACCTCGCTCGACTTGGCCAAACCTTCGTGTCACGGTATTTACCCCCCCCCTTAGCCTCTTTCTGTGCTCACAGGAGATCCATGCGCTAACTCCCCAGTCTGCGCATATATAGAGCTTCTGAATCTCTCTACAGGATCTCGCGTTGACATTTTCTACCCAAAACAGGCCTCCAGATATACCTCGCTCGAAGCATGTCGGCCCCCGAGAATTCTAAAATCACCCTGATCCCATCCGATGAGCCCGAAGATGGCCGTGGAATCGAAGTTGGTATGCTAGTCATTCTCTCCTCCTAGAATCTGATCGAGGTGCAAAAGAGAGATGTCGTTGCTCTACCCGGGTGTTGGTGTATTTGTTCCCTTTGCTGACCTATGTGCTCTTCGGCGATTTAGAACGTGTAATCATCGAGCGATCCATCTTGATCAAGAACATGCTCGAGGATCTAGGTGATTCTGGGGAACCTATTCCAATTCCAAATGTACTGTTCTTCCTTTCCTGCACCTCCCTTGCATACCTTCTCTATTTCTTGATGAGGGAATACCTAACATGCCTTTGTAAACAACAGGTTAATAAAGCTGTCCTCGAAAAGGTCATCGAATGGTGCGAACATCACAGGAACGACCCACCAACCACCAATGATGAGGACTACGACTCGCGCAGAAAGACCACTGACATCGACGAGTGGGACCAAAAATTCATGCTGGTTGACCAAGAGATGCTTTTTGAGATAATCCTGGTATACACTTCCCCACATACCTACATATCCACTTATCTGTCGCGCCAGCACACACTCTATGCGGGGGCATGTATGCTAACAGCTTTGACACCACCATCAGGCCGCCAACTATCTTGATATCAAAGCCCTGCTAGACGTAGGCTGCAAGACCGTCGCCAATTTGATCAAGGGCAAGTCGCCAGATGATATCCGGAAGACCTTCAACATCCAGAACGACTTCAGCGAGCAGGAGGAGGCTCAAATCCGTGCTGAGAATGAATGGGCAGAGGAGTAGGTTTCACCCTCTATTCCATATCTTTTTGTCTATTCATTTATCTTGGTATGGTATCATATACTGACTCCAATCTACAGTCGTTAATTTCACCTACATAATCGGCATATGAATACATATGAAAACCAACCCAACGACCCAGCACACATCTCCCCCTAGTCCCTCCTCTCCACCATTATCTGGACGTATAATGCAATGTATGCACACCTACCTCGCAACTTCCTGAGGTCATCAATCACCTTCCCCTTTCCATGCCCACAAAACAAAATAGGCAAATCGGGCTTAGTCGGAGTTGGATTCCGGAACCCGGTGGAGGGAGGGGAGCCAGGCGGGAGAATATTAAATTAGGGGGGTTGAATGGGAATAATGAAACGAGAAGAAACATTCATGTCCAATTTATTCTATTCTGCCCATTTTTTGTTTTGTCTTGCTCAGACGTGCCTTTCAGTGTTCCCTATTATGCCCATCTCTTGTCCTTTGAACTCCTCTATTCCCCTTTCTTTATGACTCCTTACCATTTAGCTTCTTCTCTCTCTCTCTCTCTCTCTCTCTCTCTCTCTCTCTTTTTTTGGTTTGTGTGTGTGTGTGTCTTGTTCTTTTGCGTATTCTTAGGCATACAGCCCTCCTGGGTTGTATCAACATACCGCAACACACATGACATGAAAATATGCGCATCAAGGGCCCTTCTTGACAATTCCGTCAATTTGCCAGTAAACTAATTGCTTCCTTTACTTCCTGATTCCTTCCTGGTGCATTTAGCTTTGAGGCTCTTCCAGTCCTCTTGTCTCTGGGACCCTCATCAGCGTTCATGTGTACGTGCTTATCAATAGTAATCAATCAGTTAAACCACTCCCGTGGTATCGGGCTCCATTTGGCGTCTTTGCGTCTTTGCTTTGAAGAAAAAGTAAAAGGCCCGGTCATCCAATTCCAATTCTAACTCTATTTTCTGATCTCTCTTATTTTCTTTAAATATTATGCTATGACTGTGGATATGGCTCTTTGCTGCAGAATTTACTGACTGAAAGAACTACCTTCTCTCCCTCTTCCCATTCAGGGGCTATTCCTATTGTTCTAACTAGAAGAGAGCAAACATCCCGTCAACGGATCAAGAACAAAATCGAATCTGAGAATGCAGTTATATTCCCCTTTCTTTCTTTCCTTTTTTTTTTTTTTTTCTCTTAACACTTTTTGCTTTCCTTTTCCATTACGGCTCAATAGAATCGATACAAGGGATCCTCAGATGCCAAAGAGGACAGAAAACACGTAACCCTCCCTTTTCTTCTCTGGCTAGGACACTGTCCTGGAGGGGCGCCTCGATACCTCATATGGATTACGACTTATGGATTGAGCGTTGGGGAGTCATTTATGCCGCCGTTGTTGTTGTTGTTGTTGTTTGCTCCAAGTACATACCCCTGCGATTGGGCAGGGCAAAGGTAACATTTGCCCGTCGTCGTGTGGTTTCCATTTCCCTTCTTCAGTCATACATCCATATCATGTTATATTAATAGGCGAACTGAGAGGGCCGGTGATGGGTGCCTACGAATTGAGGAAACTGAGCAGACGGTGTCTCGGATACCGTGGCATTGGGTCCATCGTGCATCAGGCACGGATTCCAAAACCTGCCTGGTAGCAATGGGCATGGGGCATAAAAGCGATTGTGATGTCATTAGGTCTTCTTTTGATTGATTTCGTAACGCGAGAAGAACAGGAAAAAAAAAAAAAGGAAAAAGGAAAAAGGAAAAAGGAAAAGGAAAAGCTTGTATTTGATGGCTTGTCGTGTACATAAGAGAGAACAGAACCAGAAGAAAGCACATCGTCTCCATCCACCCCCGAAGCCCCCCAAAGCCAATCGCAATAACTCTTGACTGACACATATTCCATCATAACTCGATTGTCGTAATGCCGGGGTGGATTATGCGGTTTTTGAAAGGTTGGGGGGGGGGGGAAGGTGGCCATTCACTACGACATTCATCTAAATGCCGAGACGAGCCTTGCGCCAATGCCTCCGCTTGGCGTTATATCTGTGTTGTGGGAACAAAGGGTTTCTGTTAGCCATTATCTTCCTCTTTGCGTTTCCTATGCAGCTGGTTTCCTTGCAATGGAGTTCTTCGCGACATTTTCTGAAATACGTGGTGTTTGCAATGCATCAGGCGGCGTCGTTGGATGGCGGTGGAACATTGACTTTCGAGCACTGAATTTCTACAACCTCGTTCTTTCACATATCTCTCCCGCGATTCCATCTTTCTCCAATATTTCTCTTCCTTTCCGTCCAGCCTTTCCACATCGCATAAATATGCCAAAAAAAAAAAAAAAAAGGGAGAAGCGAAATTTAAATTTACCTGATAGTGTTTCCGGTCCGCAGACGAATCCATTGGGGGATGGGACGGTTCCGCTTCTGGGCTTTGGCAAGCTTCTGCTTGGTGCGGAACGTTTTGTGGCTCTGTATTCGGTATTAGTGATGATCCCCATGCTCTCGCGCGGGCCGGGATATCTCCAGGGCATGTTCATCATGTTCACTCACCGGCATCGTGACGATCTAGGGCACTGCAGATGCTCAAGATGTGATGGGATGGGTGGTTGTTGATGTCGGAGGGCTGGGACTGGGAGGTTTTTGTGTGGGTTTTCTGGCTGGATTCGCTTAAACCTTCAGAGTAAGATCATGTGACTTGGCTGGAGAGGCGGCGGGATAGGCGGTGTAGAGAGGCATTACTTCTGTCGGGCTTGAGCTATTTTCAGCAAAATTGTAATTAGTCGATTTTGCAGTTGATCTACGAGGTTGTTGCATGCAGAAATGGGGCTAAGCACCTTGTAGACTGTAGACTATGACTGAAAAGGCGGTTTCGGCAAGTCGTATTCGATGGAGCCATCCGACTTCAAGCCTCAGAAGGCTGTTGTTGGGAAGCATCCAAAGGGGACAAAGTCCGATTCCCATCGTATATGAATACAAGATCAATTCAAGGAAGGATACGGGCTGCTGCTTTCTCCTTGCTTCCTCACTGTATGATGCTGTCCTGTATATAGAGAGACAACGGTACAAGTAGATGGCTCTATCCGATGATGCAGAGAGCAATTACATAAACAATATCCGGCATCATTCAGCCGCGATGCATTCTTTATTAAATTCTTTTTTTTTTTTTTTTTTTTTTTTTTTTTTTTTTTTTTACATTAACGAACTGCAGATCCCCACTGCACTCCAGGTTCTTATGCCACCAAGCCTGCGCCTGCACGACCCCGCGTCTGTGGTTCTGGAAAGCTGAGACCTTCGATTCGAGGCTGCAGCCCCGCGGTTTGGAGAGCGATCGATTGCGCCACAGGATCAAAGGAGGGAAACAACGAGTTGCAAGACTCATCACTGAGCCTGATGTTTGTGTGTGTCCATATCAGGTGCCTTTTTGAGAACACTTGTCCGTATCTACAAGGGTGTGTTGCCTGACAACTAGGATGGAAAGGAGCTGACAGGGTGAGGAAATTTCAGAATCACCAGAGTGAGTCAAACCGAGACAAGCTTTTTTTTTTGTTTTCTTTTTTTCTTTTCTTTTTTTTTCTTTTCTTTTTTTTCTTTCTTTCTTTCTTTTTTTTTTTTTTTTTTTTTTTTTTTTTTTAAATCGAACGAATGGACCAATTCGGGGATTTATGGCGGCTGCTGCCTGGGTGATGCATAAATTTTTCAACACCTGAGCTGTAATGGCGCGGAGTCATAAAGCTAATCTCACTGTCCAATGCAGTCTCTGATCTGAATCTCGAGAGAAGAGGTCATTCTACTGTGGTTGGCCTGCTTGGAGACATGCATATTCAACACATCGCTAAATCCGCTGTCCCGTGGCTGAGGTAATTGCAAACGGATCTTTGGCCTGGCCCAAAAGGGGCTCTCGTATTGGACCGGCAGATGCTGGTTAGAGCGACGAACGCAGTGTGTCTCGGATGCAGTTGAAGAAAGGATGTGAGAAGGTTATATTAATGAGACGGGAAATATCGATGATTAGACAGGTTGCAAGATGGCAACGCCCCTAGGTAGTTGACTAAGTCACTAGCTAATCACAGAGACAGACTACCACGGAGTTTCACCCAGCTGGGATTGCACTGGTTGTGTCTGGTGCCTGGTGTTTCAAGAAGGAAAAGCCAGAGCAATCCGATGAGTAAGGCATCCATTGGTTCTAGTTTAGCGAACACGCTGTCTGGCATCCATCCCACCAAGCAGGATTGGGAGACACTAGACAGGGTCATTGACTCATTATTAATTCTTCCAAGATTAATTATGCCAAATTGCGACACCATGGTGGTCGTATTTTCACTGTGAACAAGGCCTCAACTAGCTCCTAGGTTACTCCGTAGAACAGTTAGAGCCCTGGGGGAACGATGGACTGTACCATTGGTCCAAAACATCGTATCGGATGACCCGCACGGCGTAACAGACGATTACAAGAAACCTAACCTAACCTAACCTGCCTGCCTGCCTACCTGCCTGCCTGCCTGCCTGCCTGCAAGCAAGCAAGCAAGCACGCACGCACGCACGCACTGCGGGTTTTCAGCTTGGTTCAAGCTGCGCCCCCTAATCCCAATCCGGCTACTGTCGAGGCTGTCCGGTTTGGCTTGGGTAGGAAGGTTTTACGGAGCCAATACTCACTCCCCTGGAGGACTGCGGGGATGCATAATTACAGGCGAATACGATCCGAAAGACGGTCTGCCGCCCCGTGTGCTGTGCGTAATTTACCTCTCGGAACGGGATCTCGCCAGAGCCAACCGACCCGGTTTATGAAAGATGTGCAGCTGTGCCCAGCAACCCCCCAGCAACCAAGCAACTAAGCAACTAAGCAACCAAGCAACTAAGCAACTAAGAAACTAAGCAACTAAGCAACAAAGCAACAAAGCAACACAAGCAACACCCAGCAAGCCCGGCCTCTGAGCCTAGGGTAGGGCGATACCACCGCTGGGTGGGTAGTGTAGTTGTCGTAGAAGAAGGAACGGTAGGTACCTACGGAGCAACATACATCCTCGGCCTCTGGAATGACGTCTAAGCCTTTGGCCCAAGGCCTCGGTGTGTCGGGGTTCAACATAGTCCGGCCCGTCGCTCGAGCCAAGCTGATGGGGACGGCGGGAAAAACGACCGTCTGGCGCCCGCTCCCTCCCAGTCCCCCCCCCCCACCCCCAAACCGCCAACGAGGAGGAGTGTGGCGAGGGAGCGAGAGCAGCAACGCACCGCACTGCGTCTCACGGACGAACCGGTTGCATAGAATCATAAATGTTCGTTCATAAATTCAACCAGCCCGGCCAGCGTCAGCGCGTCAGCGTCAGCGTCAGCGTCAAGCGTCATCGGTCGGTAACTCCCCGTGCCCGAAAGGTACACGGCTGCAGGCGCGTTATATATATATATATATGTATATGTATATACAGATAGGAGCATGCATGCAAGAACGGTACCTTGGTCCTTCCACCCTACAGCACGTTGTCTCCCCGTTGATGAATATATATATATATATATATACATAATACACATATCTAAAACTAGCCGCTGTTCGGAAGAGGCCGTTGGTAGGTCTCATTATTTAGGTCTCATTATTTACAGAGGTTAGCCCGGATAGTCGCTGACCGCGCTGCCGGGTTTTTTTTTTTTTTTTTTTTTTTTTTTTTTTTCCCTCTTCCTCTCTTCCCACCCCGCCTCCTTGAATAATACATAGCTGGTTGATTCTCTCCACCCCATCCAGCGACTTTCCCCCTCTTTCTCCCTTCTTCCCCACTCGCGGTAAAGATCGAAGCGTCTGTGGGAGGGGGGGCCTGGACCTTCCTATCGGCAGTTCGCCCGCTCCATGACCTGGTGGCAGCACAGAACCCAACCACATCTCTCCCCTAGGAAACACACTTCACTTCTGGATTAAACACAGATTTGCATTGACCAAACCAAACCTTTCTGACTGTGTGACGGTATTCGTGGGAGCCGCTTCTCAGAGGCGATGGACCGTGATCCAGAGAACATTGGTCCTCCTGCGGAGAAACCGTCCGGAGAGTCCAGTGCGGGACCGGATATCTCCTCCTGCTCCCACGCACAGGCCGCTGCGGCATCAGTTCTAGACGGGGAGAAACAGCCCGATGCTGCTACTGCTGCTGCTGCTGCTGCTAATAATAATAATCACAGTAACAATATCGAATTATCGGGATCGGGATCGGCCGCCAGCAATGAAGATCTCAGGAAACTGGACTCGAGAGTGGTTGCCGCGCCTGAGGAAAAGGATCTCGACGTGGCGCTCGCCCATCTCCCGGAACAGGAACAGGAAATCCTCAAGGAACAGCTCGACATCCCAGACGTCAAGGTCACTTACCTCACACTGTTTCGATATGCCACAAAAGCTGACGTCGTCCTGCTCCTCCTGGGCTCCTTTACCTCCATTGCGGGTGGCGCTCTGCTGCCCTTGTTTACCGTACGTGCTCTAACCTGCCTGTGTTTGCTTTTCCTTTTTTTTTTTTTTTTTTTTTCTCTACTCTCTGCTTCTGGGCAAGGATGTGTGTGTGCAGGTTTTGCTAAGTTCACCCTTGTAGATTCTTTTCGGGCAAATGGGGGGCACCTTCCAAGCCATCGCCCTCGGAAAGATTACCCTCAGCAAGTTCAACGCTGAGGTGTCCAAGTTTGCTCTCTACTTCGTCTATCTTGGAATTGCCATGTTCGTCCTGATCTATATCGGGACGGTTGCTTTCATCTATGTCGGCGAACACATCTCCCAGAAGATCAGAGAAAACTATCTTGCCGCCATCTTGCGCCAGAACATCGCGTTCTTCGACAGATTGGGCGCCGGGGAGATCACCACTCGCATCACCGCCGATACCAACCTGATCCAGGACGGCATATCGGAGAAGGTTGGATTGACAATGACCGCGGTCGCCACCTTCATCACTGCTTTTGTCATTGGATTTGTCAAATTCTGGAAGCTGACCCTAATTTGCTCGTCAACCGTCGTCGCTCTCACGGTGCTGATGGGCGCAGCGTCCAGGTTCATTGTTGCCTATAGCAAAAAGTCTCTGGAGAGTTACGGCGTGGGCGGGACGGTGGCAGAGGAGGTGCTCAGCTCTATTCGGAACGCCACCGCCTTTGGCACGCAGGAGAAGCTCGCCCGACAGTACGACGCTCATCTCGCCGAGGCCCGGAAGTGGGGAACAAAACTACAGATTGTGCTAGGCTGTATGGTGGGAGGAATGATGGGCATCATCTTCCTAAATTACGGGTTGGGTTTCTGGATGGGTTCTCGATTCCTTGTTGCTGGAGAGGCCACCCTCTCCGACATCCTGACTATCCTCCTGGCCATTATCATTGGGTCTTTCAGCTTGGGCAACGTCACTCCCCACGGACAGGCGTTCACCGCTGCAATCAGCGCTGGCCAGAAAATCTTCAGCACCATCGACCGACCTTCCCCCATCGACCCCACCTCCGACGCAGGCGAAACCCTGGAGAAGGTCGAAGGCACCGTCGAATTCCGAAACATCAAACACATCTATCCGTCCCGCCCGGAGGTCGTTGTCATGGACGATGTTAGTTTGGTC